CCAGTAATGAACCAAAAAAGACTTATGACAAAAATGTTTGCCACACAGCCAAAGCATTCAGCAGAACAAAAGAACACAAATCAGTTTAAATTGGAACGTTTAGGAAATATGTAAGGCCTGACTTGAGCTGAGCTGGACCAGAGCGAGAGTTCGGGATGTAGCGTGTTTGTTAACCCAAGCGCGGAGTGACTGACGCCGGGCAGGTTGACACGCAGTTTGTTCTAGGAGTCAAACCGTATAATGACTGGAGAGCACGGCGGCTCCAAAGGTAACAAGCTGACTTACTTTGAGTCGGCAGGGTGAGTAGCACGGGCTGATCTGGTCAGAACGGGCTGAGTGATCGGGTTGGATCTGGTAGGAACGCGGAGCACAGTTCGATTAGAACGATGACTGAGTGGTTTGGCATTGAGCTGTACTTCCTTATGTAGATGTGGCGGGTGACGTGGGCCGGAAGACTGGCGCTGGGAATGCTGGGTAGTGGAGTTCGGTTGGCCTGAGTGCGTGTGTGGTCCTCCCCCGGAGGATGTCGAGGGTTGTGAAGGAGGCAGCGTGACAGGACCCCCCACCTGAGGGACGGCTCCAGAAGTCCCAGGGTGGCGGGTCCAGAAGTCCGAGATGAGCGAGGGGTCCATGATTGCACTCGTCGGCTCCCAGGAGCGTTCCTCTGGGCCGTAAACCGCCCAATCCACTAGGTACTGCCAACCTCTGCCACGGCGACGGGCGTCCAGCAGGCGCCGCACAGTGAAAAGCCCATTCTCGCTAACCCCTCGAGGTGGAGGCTCGGGATCCGGAGGAGGAGCGAGGGGAGAAGTCCTTACTGGTCTTAGCTGGGACACATGGAAGACGGGATGGACTTTGAGAAGCCTGGGCAGGCGGATACGATACGCCACCGGGTTAATGACCCTCTCCACAGGGTAGGGCCCTAAAAATTGTGGAGTGAGCTTCCGGGAGCCAGCGGGTAGGCGCATGTTCCGGGTAGACACCCATACCCTGTCGCCAGGTTGAAAAGTTGGCCCAGTCAGGTGGCAACGTTTGTGCTGACGAGAGTACTCTTTGTTAGCTTGCTTGATGGCTGCCTGAGCACGGACCCAGGCGAGGCGGCAATGCCGGATCAGGGTCTGGGAAGCGGGGACCTCAGTCTCCAGTTCCTGGTGGTGGAAGAGAGGGGGCTGATATCCGTAACATAACTCAAACGGGGAGAGACCAGTGGCCGAGGAGACGTGGAGATTGTGGGACATCTCCACCCACAACAGGTATTTGGGCCAAGTGCTTGGTTGGGACGAGGCAAAGCAGCGGAGGTACCGACCAAGTTGCTGATTGGCACGCTCAGTCTGCCCATTAGTTTGGGGGTGGTAGCCAGAGGAGAGACTGCTACTGGCACCAACCACCCGACAGAAGGCCTTCCAGAATCTTGACATAAACTGGGGTCCCCGATCTGAGACAATGTCCTGGGGAAACCCATGGAGGCGCACCACCTGCTCCAGGAGGATTTTGGCCATCTGCTTGGCTGTGGGCAGGCCAGGAAGAGCCACTAGGTGGACCGCCTTCGAGAATCTGTCCATGATGGTTAGGATGGTCTCGAGCTGGTTGACAGGAGGTAACCCCGTGACAAAGTCTAGGCCGATGTGGGACCATGGTCGGTGTGGAATTGTGAGAGGTTGTATATCTCCAGTCGGGGGTTGGTTTGGGGTCTTGGAGCGGGCGCAAGTGGGACAGGCGGCCACGTATTCTTGGACATCTTTGGCCATAGAGGGCCACCATAGCGCATGTCGTAGGAACTGGAGGGTTTGGGTCTCCCCTTGGTGACCAGCCAGGCTGGATGCATGCCCCTAGGCCAGGGCTTCAGAGCGGCAGGTGGAAGGCACATAAAGCCGGTCGGAGGGTGCATCGGCAGGTGCGGGATCGGTGGGCAAGGCAGCCCGGATGGTGTCCTCTACTGGCCAGTGGAGAGCTGCGATAAACTTCTGGGCTGGGAGAATGGGTGGCGGTTTCCTGACGGGTGCAGATTGGGTATAACGGCAGGAAAGGGCGTCAGCCTTCAGATTCTTTGAACCAGGGTGGTAGGCCAGGTGGAAGTGAAATGATTCAAAAAACAGTGCCCAGCGGGCCTGACGGGGATTGAGTTGTCGAGCGTTCTGGATGTGGATGAGGTTCTAGTGGTCCGTCCAAATGGTAAATGGGTCCGATGTACCCAACAACCACTGCCGCCATTCCTCCAAGCCCCATTTAATGGCCAGGAGCTCCCTGTCGCCTACCCCGTAATTACTTTGGGTTGGAGAGAATTTACGGGAAAAGTAGGCACAGGGATGAAGCTTAGAGTCGGGACCGCGTTGGGACAGGACCGCCCCTGCCCCCACCTCAGAAGCATCCACCTCCACAACAAAAGGTCTTGTTGGATCCGGATTTACGAGGATGGGAGCAGTGGTGAAGTGGTGGACCAGGATGTAGAAAGCCTGTGTGGCCTCAGGAGTTAGACGGAATGGGCGGGTCTGGTTTGACGATCTGGTTAGGGCAGTGAGAGGAGCCGCGATGGAGCTGAAACCGCGTATAAAGCTGCGATAGAAATTCGAGGAACCCAGGAAACTCTGAAGCTGTTTCAGGGAAGTGGGTATCGGCCACTGGGCCACAGCCTGGACATTCTGGGACTCCATTGAGAACCCCTGAGATGAGACAATGAACCCCAGGAAGGAAATGGTCTCCTGATGAAAAGCACATTTCTCTAACTTACAGTAGAGCCGGTTTTCCAACAACCGGGAAAGGACTGCTCGGACGTGTGTGACGTGCTCCTCCAGGGTTCGGGAATAAATCAATATGTCGTTGAGATAAACGAAAACCCATCTGCCCAACATGCCCCTCAGGACATCCGAGATCAAGCGTTGGAAAACTGCGGGGCTGTTGCATAGGCCAAAAGGCATCACTAAGTATTCCCAGTGGCCTGTCGGGGTGATAAAGGCGGTCTTCCACTCGTCGCCTTGCTTTATCCTGACTAGATTGTAAGCACTGTGCAGGTCCAACTTGGTGAAGATGGTGGACTGGGACACTACGTCCAGGGCGGTAGTCATCAAAGGCAAGGGGTGACGATCTCGGACCGTGATCTTATTTAAACCCCGATAGTCAATGCAGGGTCGAAGACCCCCTTCCTTCTCTTCACGAAGAAGAACCCCGCAGCTCCTGGCGAGGTGGAAGGGCGGATGAACCCATGTTGAAGAGCGTCGGCGATATAGACATCCATGGCCTGAGTCTCTGCTGGGGACAGGGAGTACAAGCTGCCCCATGGTGGAACAGAACCGGGCAGGAGTTTTATCTCCAGGTCATAAGGGCGGTGAGGAGGCAAGACAGTTGTAGGACTCTTTGAGAAAACCTGAGCCAGGTCATGAAAACAGGAGGGGAACTGTGAACTATCGACATCCTCAGGAACTGGGTGTGCCAGGCTCTGAGTCGGGTTGAGGAGGTCGATGAGAATGGCAGGCAGCACCCCAGGTAAGCACTCGGCCAGATTACCAGGAGATCTGGGGATTATGGCGCAGGAAGCAGGAGTGACCCAGGATCGGGGGGGGGGGGGGGGGGGCAAAGGAGCTGTCACAATGAGGAACCGGAGAGTCTCGGAGTGGGGAAGTATGTCCATGCGGAGACCAACCGTCTCTTGGCGGATTGGATAGGGTCAGATAGGGGTTCCATCCACGGAGGTGATGGGAATGGTCTGGCGGAGGGAGGACAGGGAAACCCGAAGTCGAGAGGCTAGATCTTGATCCATGAAGCAGTTGGCTGCTCCAGAGTCCAGGAGCGCCTCCAGCTCGACGGGTCCCTGGGGAAGATGAAGAGTGACTGTGGTTAAGGTGCGGGTCGAGGGGGCTCCGGTTACTCCAAGTAGGACCCCTCTGCTGCTGCCTACTTGGAGTAGGCGTTTCCCGGCCGGAGGGGACAGGTGACACGCCGATGGCCAGGAGCACCACAGTAGGTGCACAGCCCCTCCCTATAGTGTCTCTCTCTCTCTCTCTTCTGGGTTCAGGTGTCCCAGCTGCATGGGTTCATCAGGGGACAAACTGACTGGGCGAGGACGGGCTGGTGCTGAGGTCGTTGTTACAGGCGGTTCAGCGGGTCGACGGGTAAAAAGACGCAGGTCCATCTGAAGAGCGAGGTCGGTCGCCTCGTCCAGGGTCTCTGGGGTCTCCCTCCCTATCATCCCGTCGCGGATACGCGGGGAGAGCCCCTCAAGGTAGACTGCTTTCAGGGCATCATCCCCCCATTGCAGTTTGGCAGCCGTGGTTCGGAACCGGGACGTGTACTGGGCTACAGTCTGACTCCCCTGTCGGAGCTGAAGGAGTTGGGCCTCTGTCGATATCTCACCGCTGGGGGGAACAATAGCCCTCCTCAGTTCGGCCACAAAAACATCATAGTCATTGCAGGCCTCCAATTTTTTGTTATACAGGGCTGCGGCCCACTCCTGAGCTCGGCCGGTGAGGAGGGAGGTGAGCAGCGCCACGCGGGAGCGGGCTGTGGCATAGCGGTGGGGCTGACACTCGAAGGTCATGGTGAGTATGGCTAACATTCCCTTAGGGGAGCCGTGCATGCCGTCCCACTTCTCCGGGAGGCTGAGGATCGGTAACTCCCATTCTCTGGAGGTCTGCTGCTGCTGCTGCGCAGCGGAAAGCTGGAGAACTACTGTGGCTATGGACTCCACCTTGTCAGCTAGTAATGCTGGGTAGTGGAGTTTGGTTGTCCTGAGTGAGTGTGCGGTCCTCCCCCAGAGGATGTCGAGGGTTGTGAAGGAGGCAGCGTGACAGGCAGCGTGACAAAATACAAAAGAACTTGAGACACATATGAGTCTAAAACAGCTTTAAATTTATTAGAAATAGCTATAAAAACATTTAAAAGTACAGGACAGAAAATCCAGCAAGGTTAAAGAAAAGTTTAATGTTCACAAAACAATATTTAAAAAAGGCCAGATCTGAAATAACTTAAAAGAGAGATTTTCAAAATAAAATCACTTTTTCTTGCAGTGGTCTACCTGTGCTGCACCTTGGACGTGTTCAGGAAACTGATGATCCAGTTCTGGAAGGAGGGTGTGGAGCTGGAAAACTTTGTCTTCTTCTTCGCTGATCTTTTCGCTGAGGATCTGGGTGGCGGTCGACCCATTAAGCCCTGGTTTAAAGGAGACCAGGATGACAATGTGGCCAAACTTGCCTTCAGGGTGAGAAGTCTTCCTCTTCCTTTTTGTTTCATTCTTTAAGACTTTTAGACAAGATAATTTCCAGACGATGATCAGTGTGAAGATGACCTTTTCCTGTTTTAAAAACTGACACAAATTCAGACTAATTTGGTTATGAACTGGTAAATGACATGTCCTTGTCAGAGTGTGAAGCTGCTGACCTACACGGAGCCTCAAAATCCAGAGTATCCCCAGTTTGTGAAAACTCTGAAGAGCGAAGCAAAGCAGATGTCCAACTTTACTATTGAAGACTCTCTGGTAGACGATATTTTTATTAACTCATGCATGAAACTTTCTGAATCATTTGATAACATCCAACTGTCTATCAGTTCAACCTGATAGCTGCAGGCTTCTACGATGGAGTGATGATGTACTCTCAGGCTCTGAACGAGACCCTGAGCCAGCAGATGGCAGGATCCGGACCGGTGAAGAGACCCAGTGGACATGTGGTGACCCAGAGGATGTGGAACAAGACCTTCCCAGGTGATCCTTTCTCATGCACTTTTGCTCAGATATGTGGCCGCACAGGAATGTGCAGCCAGCTTTGGACCAATCAGAGCTCAGTCCTGGATGAAAACAATCTGCTCTGACAATGTGTGTTATTAATCAGAAAACCACAACGAGTAGAAATATCCATCTCATCATCCACATTTGGGCAAAATCCTGCAGAAAGAGTAATGGAATTTTACCATAATAGCATTTAATAGAAACGTGTCTGCAGAAGATAAAGGATTAGTTGTTAAAACAGCAACTATATAATAAATGAGACTAATCAACTTAGGCACATATTTCTAAATGTGGAAAGCATTTGTGATCAAAAATGTGCTTGGTTAACAAGTCTTTATCTAGGGCTTACAACTTGGTTTATACCTTTTTAAACTTTCAACCAGTTGACGTCATACATTTGTATGTTTGGTGCTTTTATTGTGAAGGTTTGTTGGAGAATGGACCTCATCTCAAACGGATTCTTGTTGTTTACTCTGTAAAATAACACTGATGACCCGAATCATGAGATTTAGTAACTAGTAAAGTCTTAGGAATAGGGCCTTGCTTTAGCAAACATTTTGATTAAATCCTAAAACTTAACTCAACCATCACAAAATACTTAATTGAACGTGTGGAAATTCCTTTCATGTTTTTACTGTTTGTCCAACAAGTTATTTTTGACCATAATCATGTTGTTCTGCTAATATGAGCTGCAGTGGATCTTGACACAAACCAGCCTCTCGCTCTCTGCCACCAATCAATCATGCTGCTGATTAGCTAATGAGCCCCGTCGGCCTATCAGGAGCCTCGGGAGCTCTGTGAGGTCACCATGGGAATCTGACTCTCATTCTCATGGCTGTGTTGTGTGTCAGCAGGGAGTTGGCGTGTTACCGTAGAGCGTAAATTTGTACCAGCTGGCAGTGACACTGGGAACAGGAGGTTTTAGACCCAAACCAACAACCAGGAAGGGAAAGTCATACCACAGTAAATTTAAAGGAAAGATTCCACTTTTGAAAGGGTTGTTGGTTTGTTTACGAGGGTTAGTTCCGTACTGTAAGTCAGGCTGACCCAGCTCCAGGTTCTGGGTTTTGAACTTGATGTGAAGCGAAATGTTGAGGCAGGACTGTCGTATTGTTAGCACCAACAGGAAGTCGTCCGTCATTTTTCAGAGCTCTAACACCTTCAGGAAACAGTTGAGGAGGGTGAAAACAGCGAAAATGGTTGCCTAATTTTGCTGCTGACAGGGTTAAGATAGAAACGTGTGTGTGTGTGTGTGTGTGTGTGTGTGTGTGTGTGTGTGTGTGTGTGTGTGTGTGTGTGTGTGTGTGTGTGTGTGTGTGTGTGTGTGAGGGAGAGAGAGATAATCAAAAGATGTCGTAAGTATACATTTAATTGTGCTGATTTCTTTTTTCTTCTGTTAAACACTGTTTTTTAATCATTTTAATGGGCATTTTTAGAATGAATTAAACACAGATAAAAAATCTCATTAGTCTTGGATCATTGAAGCGGATGTTTGCTAAGAAACGTATAATACTTGTTCTTTTTTAAATGTGGTCTGTCACGCTGCGTTTCACCTACAGGCCGATTCTAGCCCTACTTCCTGCATTAGCCACCAAAAGAAAACAGACAGGGAAACACGTTACGTCACACTGTAAATTTAGCATTCACTGACTCTTGCAAAAACAGAAACTTGTGTTGATTTTGCAGCCAGAAGAGAGCAGAGCGCGTCTCAGCTGTAGAAGCTAACAATTAGCATTAGAAACTCCATAGCATGGTGAAACACGCTCAGACTTGTGTTATTTGTGGAGATGAATCATCAAAATTGCATTTTTTAAGGTAAGAAGGACGAGCAAATGAAGGCAGTGAAGGAGTTGCATTGCTTTTAGGCAATCAGAGACAATGTGTTCACATATTGTGAATATTAATCAGTAGGACTCCAAATCCTGTCTTTTTTTGCCCCATTCTCCGGTTTGAGATAACACGTGTGTGACCACTTTAAACACACAAAAAGCGATTTGTCTTTAAGCTAAGTCTGGCTAAGTTAGACTGATTTCTTGCTTGTTTTCCATCTTGTTCTAACTTGAACTGGTATGAAAGTGGTTTCAGACAGAAATCCACCTTAACGTTGAACTCACTTTAAATTAGGTTTGCTTGAATTCAGATAGGAGTCGGGGCTGTTTTAATTAAGATGTGCTACTGTAGAGCAGGTTGTCCAGTAATCGGAAGGTTGCAGGTTCGACCCCGGCTCCGGACAGATAATTCTGCTGTTGTGTCATTGGGCAAGGCATGTAACCCACCTTGCCTGCTGGTGGTGGTTGGAGGGACCGGCGGCGCCAGTGCTCGGCAGCCTCGCCTCTGTCAGTGCGCCCCAGGGTAGCTGTGGCTACAATGTAGCTCATCACCATCAGTGTGTGAATGTGTGTGTGAATGGATGAATGATAAACTGTAGTGTAAAGCGCTTTGGAGTCCTTACTCTGAGAGGCGCTACACAAGTGCGGGTCATTTATCATTTATCATTCATACTACCATCTAAAGAAAGTTTATTTTCCTAAGGTGTTTTAAACCATTCTACCCAGTTTCTCCATGATTTGGGCTTTTTTTTTTACTTTGTGAAGAGTAAATTTAGGCTAAAACAACATCAAAAAGCTTGAAGCGCTGATGGCAGCCACATCTCATCAGGGATGGGTCAGAGCGACTCTGGCTTAGTGGGGAAGAGCGATGGTTGTTTGATCTTTAATGCATGGTGAACCATTCCATAAATTCTTGCTTTGCTTTCCTCATTTCAAGTAATTAAACCAACACTAAAAATGATAAAAAAAGATAATAGGACATTTATTTTGACTATGTTGGGCTGCCATATCTAGATAGAAATTGTTAAAAATAATGATTTTTTTTTTTTTACTTTAATATATTATTAGTCACATGTATTGTATATGTTGTGTTTCTTTTAATAGATTCTCCAAATCCCACACAATGACTCCCCACCCAGCAGGTCTGACAGGAAGAACAATATTTCTATAAGAATTCTTATTTATTTCATCCAGTTCCCCTCAAAAACAATTCAGAGTTTAAATATTTTCAGATGCATTTCCCTTGGACTCATCTTCAACAGTTTAACTCATCCTTTCAGATTTTATCAGTTTTTTGTCTTTTGGGCCTGAAAGTCTGAAAACAGCAGTTAGCATTTGTTGAGTTTGGACCTTTAGACTGAAATAGCTTCTTCTTTTTGTTTCACCACAAAACCAAACAAAGAGAGAGAGACTGCTGAACAAATAGCGAAGACAGACTGTGATCTATCATCAAACCGACCTAGAGTTTATGGACCATAAAACCGTCTCCGTCCATCAGCCGTAGATGTTGATTCAAACTTTAGACAAATAGCTTGACTGTTGTTCTAGTTAGTGAAATATTCAAAAAACAAACAGATAAGGACTTTCGTCGTTTTTTTAATTAAGCAGCAGAAAAGCGCTGAGTCACAGACGTTTTTACAAAGTGAGACTGAGACACTGGGAGGACAGGGCTAAACAAAAGAGGACATAAAATGAGACAAGATTATGTTTATTTTCATTTTGTCTTTATTTAAGATTTACAAAGTACCGACTAAACATCATAGAATGAGAAGTAAACAAAGAAAATATTTGTTGTCAAAAGCAAAAAACCTGGACACAAAAAACTGAACAAACAGGAGTTTTTAAATGAGGCAAGAAAGGGGAAAAGGCCCAGGTGTGGGAGACAAACGTCCAAATAAGCGACCATATGTTCCAGGAAGTGGACTCAGCTGGAGACAAACACTAATCTGATCACTGTGTCCTGTTTATGTATTCATGATGTGGAGAATCATAAAATATAAAAGAATCCTATTGATTGAATTATTTTGATTCTTCTCTCCTTTGGCCGTGGCAACAGCTCGTTTCTTCTTCTTCTAAGTTTTTTTTTAGTGATTAGCAATCTCTACATCGTCTGCTCCATGAACAACACACATAACTCAACCCCATGACAACAGTGTGCAGTCCTTTTAGAGGTCTGATTTGTTTCATTTCAACCCCAAACATGCTTTTTATGAAAACATGACCTCCTTTGATAATTTTTTTACATCTGAAAGTCACGTTTTATTTGTTGGGATTTTAAACTTAAACAAAAATAAGGTAATTAAACACATTTAAACTAAATTCTGTTTTTTTTCCTTTTGAACTCATGATTGATTACTTATTGATTATTAGCTGCAGAACAGGCTGAAGCTAAAATTAGAAAGAGTCAGTCTTGTCCTGTAGTAACCTTTTCAAAGTTAGAAAAACTGGACCATCTGGTTCTGTTCTAGTTAAGGCTGCTGACCCTAATCCCCATATGTATATAATAATATATATATATATATATATATATATATATATATATATATATATATTATATTTATCACAACTAAAGCAGGTAGTGTTATTTATAGTGTATAAGTATATATCGTATAAGGAAACCGATACTATGAGTGCATTAGTTTAATGGGAACTAAATTTAAATCTCGACAACAATGTAATCCAATACCAGGATCAGACTCAGGTCCCTGAAAACACACTCGAGTGTGTATCTGAGTGTGTGGATGGTGCTGATAAACAGGGCGCTCTGCCTGCTCGTTATTAGATTGAGTTGCTTTTATCCACCAACACACTCTGAAACTGAGTCAGAAGCCATCAATCACTGAACTTGTGCGTCAGTGGAGGAGAGACATGTGCTGCTTGAGTTTAGGAAGAAATGTAGGAAAAGTATGGCCATGACTTCCAATAGGGGGAGCTCTAAAGTTGAATCTTCTCTTTTGTTTTTACCTGATTGATCCAAGTTGTAATCTGAAATGATCATTTTAAATTCAGCAAAACTCACCTTTTGCATCCTTTTGTGCTGCCGCGCGGGTCTCTTCTGCCTCTATAAACACTTCAAACATGAATAAAGCATCCATCTGTTTTTGTCAGTGTTTGGTTTTAGAAATTATGTGCCTTGAACAAGCCATATCAAAAAGTCGCCATTTGTGATGTCACAAACAGGGAAAATTAGAATAGAACCACCAACCTCTCACACACAGGAGAAAGCTGCTGGAGTAGCTCCTCTCTCCGAGCACTTCCTTCATATGGGAACTTCTCAGCTTATGGCAGCTTGAGCAGGGAGATGGAGGTGTGTAGTCAGCTCCAGCCTGAAGCGTGGCCGAGACTCGTCTGCAGAGCAATCCGTAAAACAGTATGGGCAACGTCACTGGCTACTTCTTAGCCATTAGCTATGGCTGATTCAAATTCAATGAGTTGAAAACTAAAGAAGGTGCTATAATGACGGTTTTAAGCAGAATTGTTTTATTTTAAAAAAGATTAGCTAAAATGCCAAAATAATGACTACACATGTCTACTGCACTATTAGACACTCATTTATACAGTTTATCAGAAAAATAGTGGTAACGCTTCCTTTTACAGTCCCTAATGACTAAGTACTCACATGGTAATTACATAGTAAGTTAAAGTGTATTATTGTGTAATTAAAGTGTATACTTGTAATAAAGTGTAATTATAGTGTAAAGCAGTATTTACTGGGAATGATTAATAAAACTTAAAACTAGAATTGAACATGAGTTATATGGTTATAACTGTTTAAGAACTCAGACACAATAATACACTTGAACTTACTATGTAATTACCATGTAAGTACTTAGTAATTAGGGGAATGTAAAAGGAAGCATTACCAAAAAAGGTTTGGGGGTGACTTGCTCTTTAAATATGATCACAGAAGAAAGACCCTGTATCCCATTTTCCTGGTTTTCCTTGTTAGATCTTATGTAAAGGAAAGCTTTTTGATTGTTTCTTCATTAAACTTTGCTGGAACTTTGTATCTGATATTTCTCAGGAAACAAAGGATAGTTAGCTTTGACTGGTTCTTCAAAGCGAGTCCCCCGTGCCTAAAAGAGCCATAATCAATCCTGATTTTAAATCACACAAGCTGCAAATATTGTTTTTATTTGTGATGGTTTGCATTTGGTAGAAATTTATATGAAATCATCTACATTTATTCATCAAATTACTTGTTCAAGAAGGTCAAAAAACAAAGTTCTAAGCCTCAAAAATGAAACCTGAGATCCTCCCCCGAGCATGTTTTAGTCACATTGTTGGTTGATGTCAGTTGACTGTGTTGCCTTTCTCCAGGAGTGATGGGGATGGTGGAAATGGACGCCTCTGGAGACAGAGAGACGGACTTTGCTCTGTGGGACATGACGGATGTGGAGTCTGGGGAATTTCAGGTAAAATACCTGACTTGTGATGTCATTGATGTGCAAACTGATACCCACGCTTCCTGAGCACCTGGCTTCTGTGTAAACAGGATGGACTTAATTATGCACAGACTTTTATTCAGACTTTTTTCTACATGAATATTGAATCATTGATGTTTTGGTCACTTGCCTGATTTTAGGATTTTGCAGAGACATGGTATTTGCTTTAGATACTTAATGATAAATTTAAATAATGAACTGAATATATTTTTTACTGAATGTAATAAAGAGCTGATAGAAAACACACAAACTGGAACATGAAGCAAGGAGTAATGAATATCTACCTATTGGACAGGCATGTAACTCAAAGTGTTTTGTGTTTTCAGATAGTGTGTGTGTATAACAGCAGCATAAAGCAGCTGGTCCTGCAGAACGGCCTAAACTTCCAGTGGCCCAGCGGCAATCCTCCTCCCGACGTCCCCGTGTGCGGCTTCAAGAACGACAACCCAGCCTGCCTCACACGTACGGATGTCGGCTACAACTCTTTCACAGAGCTCAGCTAAAACCCCACAAATCACACAGCCACTATAATACTGTAGTTGCTAAGAAAGAGGAAATAAATAATTTCATTTATAATTGCATTTTTTTAATGCATTAGGACTGCAGTGTCCAAAGACTAGGCAATAATAGTGTGATTTTGTAAATTATATAAATGTAAAAAATATTTCAATGGTGATTTTTAGCTGTATTGCTAGAGAGGTGGCCAATTTGTAAGAAAACATTGCAAAAATTTCCTTTAAGTATTTCAAATTCTATTGAGGAACTACAATAAAACAGCAATTTAGTTACAATTACCGGTACTTTAGTTATAACTGCTTTTAAATAGGTTGTAAAAAATATGTTATCTGAGTTATTTATGTTAGTTATGACAACATAAAAATGATTTTCTAAGCCTTTCTTTTCCATTTCAGCTGAATGCATTCACATGCTTTGGTTCCATAACTCATATTAGACTAAATTATCACAAAAAAATCAATACTTATTCATGCTTAGGCTCCGCCCTCATCAAGGGAGGCCACAGGGGGGTACGAGCATGCTGTTAGGGTGGCACTGGCCCACCCTGGATCCCCCTAAAACCACACCTGCTGCTCAAGGAAAACCCTCATACTAGTAGAATTCTGAAGTGAAGTGATGATCTGCATCAGCACCTTGCTGGAGAGACAAAATTACACTGCACAAAATCACTTTAAGGGCCCCAGGCTGTACCTTGGACATGCCTGCTTTTGGACAAAGAATAGGTAGAAAAGCTAACCTAACCTATTGCAGCTTTTTTGTTTAAAAAGTTCCTCCTGAAATAAGATTTGTTAAAGTTACTTTTACAAATTTAGAAAAAATGTAATTAAAATTTGGGAAATGTCACTATAATGTCAACAAAATTTAAAAACAAGGGATTTTCAAAAAGTTCATTTTACCATTGTTTTTTTATATATAAATCTAGCCAAAATGAACAAAAAACTTTGATACATGTCTTTTATTTTTTGTGTTTTGTTCATATTTAAAGAGGCATTATAGAAGTTTTACAGCCAAAAATGTATAGCAATAATACATTTCTTCTTAATACATTCTCCTGCAATGCCCTGGTCCTGTAAAATGAGCCCTGGCATTTTTACTGTGATTGCCTGTTTTTCTGTAAAATCACAGAAAAAGAGAGATGCTTGGGTCGAGCAGGCTGCTTCATGCGCGTTCACGCTCAGGCATAGCCCTCCGAATTGTTCTTAAATGGTACAGATACAAAAGACGTCACTGGCACGGTAGCTCGCCTAGTAAAATGTCGGACTTTCGTGCAGAAGACCCGGGTTTGATTCTGGATGTGAACATAGTTTATTTAGAGTTTCTTTTTACATTAATGGTATATTTTTTTTACAGTAAGATGCCCAAATTTTTATTTGAGACACGCCGAACGGCATTGAATTCACATAAAAAAGTTGTGGGTTCAACTTTCATTTTGGAACAATTTTTCAAGAGCATGCAGGAGGACTGACCCATCTTAAACCTTTGTCAGCTGTGCTGAAGAGAAAGGTACAGAACCAAATTATTTAATTAATTAGCTGCGCGTTCTCCTGTCCTCTGTCCTCCGGGCCACACACACACACACACACGGAGCTGACTGTCTCAGCTGTTATTTTCATTAAGGAGTGTGCATGTACAGCATGCGCGCCTCGTGCACGAGCCTACTATTGAAGCTGCCGTTACGCTTTTGGCCTGAGGGGGCAATCGCGAGCATAAAAATTCAAAACTCCGTAAAGTCCCTTTAACTTCATTTCCTGTTTTATTTTGTAAGAATGAATCCTGTCTACATTCCTTAATAGGGAGCCTCAAGCTTGGTTTATGCTTGACGCATTCAATTTCCGCTTGGTGATGCGGCTCGCGGATGGAACGCGCTTCACAATTTGCAGTGTTTATGGTTCGTGCGACTCGTCTCTGCGGTGAGCCAATATTCTCCCAAACTGAACAGGGCAGCATGGAGCTCTACAGCATGCAACCAACACTCCACCATAGTAGAAGTAGAAATTACTGTTTACAACATGGCATTTCAGCATTTTTAACAGCGTCCTCGTCTTTTCCGACAGTGCGAGCTATTTCTCTCCAAGAATTATTAACAACATGTTGATCACGGTGATCTCTGAGAGCTGAATCATACAAATGTCTGTATTTACGAACCTCTGCCATACTAGTTCTTGCCGGTCTGCCATGTTTTTCCGTGTCCGTCCGTCCGCGTGGTTAGAAATTTTCCGAGGTGCGTGTTGCGGAAATTCTGGGCCGTGCGGAGGCGCGGTGGAGGGGCGTGGTTGTTAAAATGACGCAACTTTTCCGCGAGAAGCCGTGCGGACCACGCGGACGCGTCAAGCATAAACCAACCTTAAGTCTCCTCCCTTTCTGGCTGGCTCATGGGTCCCCGGAAGAACGAATAATTGAATGCAAGTCAACGGGGCTAAAAACGCTATTTTCTAATCCGCTTTGCCTTACGCCCTGGAGAAATTTAATCAGTTTCCCTCTGGGATTAATAAAGTATTTTTGGATTTGAATTTGAATTGAATTGAATCACACTTATGTTTGTAGCAGTTAATGAACTACATATTTAGGAATTAAAGGCTGTTGCTATTCAGCTTATGTTTTAATTCCTAAGAGATCAAACATATTGACGAATGAAATTATATGCACATATATATGTGTGTGTGTGTGTGTGTGTGTGTGTGTGTGTGTGTGTGTGTGTGTGTGTGTGTGTGTGTGTGTGCGTATAATTTCATTCGTCAATATGTTTGATCTCTTAGGAATTAAAACATAAGCTATATATATATATATATATAATGGATAGAAATTCATACACCAACTTGCTTGGTCTATGTTTAATCAAAATATTAATATTTAATCTTAAATATTTAATTTAATGGCAAAGTTATTTGTTAATTCAGAAGATCTAAAGATCTTTGTTCGTTCAGTGATCAATATACACCCACTCTTTGTTTATTTCAATGAAGAGTCAAGTTTAAAAAGTTAAGAATTTTATTACTAAACAATTTTAAACGTGACAATTTAAAAGACAATTTATAAAAGCTTTGGTATTAAAAACAACCTCTGTGTTGGATGGATCTAAGATGAAGTGTGTTTTCTTGCTGGTGAATGCAATGTTCTCAGAATGTGTATCTTGAGAGAAGACGCGTTCTGGGTAGAAAGAATTTGGTTTGCAGATAAACTAAAGTTGTTCTTATTAAAGAGCATTCGGACTCAATCTGTCGGAAGTGTCTACCTCACCCAGCTAGGAGACCCCCTTTTGGATCCGAGATGTCAGGAGGAGATGATGACCCCAAGTACGAGGTGGGTAGAAGAACCTTAGTGAGTCGGTCCTGAGATGTCTCTGGGTCACAACGACTGATGAAACTGGTTGCGTCTTAAAAATAATAACTCAGAAGGAGTTTGTGTCAGCTTTGTTCTGCAGGTTTCGTTTGTTGTGTCGTAGCAATTCTGCCAGCGTGACAGAGATCGCTTGTTGGTTAAAGAGCATGTGGGTGGCCTTCCCAACTTTTCTAGAACTCACTCGCTAAATGCCAAGAGTTCTGTTTTATAAGATGGGCATTTCCTGGTCCACGAATCAGGTTTTGACATGTAGAAATTTTAACATACCTCAGAAGCCTGCCTTCCCAAGATAGAAAGCTCTGGTGTTATGGAAAAAGACATGTGAGTGCAGTTAACCTTAACCTGATTTACTGTGTCCTGTATGAGTGTGTATAAGTGCACATGATCTTCTTGACACTGTTAAACATTACTGATTATCATAAATAATAATTATTATTAACCAAAGAATAATAATTATTTTCAGTAATTAAACACTGTTAAAATGAACCATGATGATTATTTATGAACATTGTAATAGACAGTGAAAAGAGTTTATTAAAAATGATTATTTTAAATCTTGAAGTGTCCTTCGTCTTGCGGATGGAACAGCAGTCAGAAAAAGTCAGTCAGATTAAAGGGGTGGTAGACCGACATTCAGTCTCCTGTGAAAGAAACACTGTAGATTGTCGTAGCAGCCAGGATCAAGGTGACCCAGGCTGTGTCTCTGACCTGAGGGTCAAGAATCAGGCCATTCAGTGATGCTACATGTAGTACTGCAATTTAAATGAAAAATAATGTTGGGTGTTTCGACCACACCAGTCACATACTTTGAGATTTATTAGCTTGTAAACGTTCATAATTAGCATGACTACTAACTAGAAATCGGCACATCACATATGTGCCACATAATCTCCTCTCCCCAAAGTAGTTGCTACTTACCAAATGACCAGATTTATGGTGGTTCTTTCCTCCTGTGGGAAGTTTGCTGAACTTACAGCCCTTTTCCCTCAGTTTTCTCTGTGTCTGGTTCGATGACCTCACTTTCGTGAAGCACATTTGTAGTCCTGGACTTATTTTCATACAAAACCTAAGATAGCGTTCCCCTCCCGTTGGAAAATAAGTGCTTTCTTTGTATCAAAATGCGTCTTTAAAATTCACAGACATCATATATGAAATCCTTGGCACGTAACAAGCGGAAATAGAAAATTAGCGTTTCAGCCCCATTGACTTGCATTCATTTTTTTTGTTCTTCTGGGGACCCATGATGCGGAAGTGACTTAGGCTCCCTATTGGTTCCTGTGCTTTTTTAGGTTCCACACCTGTGTTCCATTCTACTGATTCTATCCCAGTTCTTCTTCATTCTGCCTATTTTTGGGTTTCTTCTAAAACAATTTTAAATCTCAATCAGAAATCACAGTTTGACACAAAAATAAGATTTCAGCATCACTAAAATGAGCTGTTAGCTGTAAACTTTCAGATGTAGGATGGAACCTCTCACTTTTTGTTTCGGTCTTATTTGGATGTGGGTTTTTTTTTCTGTTTCTTATCTTTTAGCTCATGTTCTGATCAAGCTGCTTGTGTGTTTTTACGCCTGACGCTTAAATGAAAAGCCCCCCCTCACACACCCAGTCACTTCCCCTGAGCCTCTTTTGATTTAACAACATGTGGATTTTGTCTCTAAAACAACATTCTGACAAATAACTGCTCCTCACAAAGAGGCCTTTGGAGGGAACATTGTCTTCCTGTGTTGATGGGTGCTTCTTTCCTTTTCTCGCCCACATAGGCACAGTTACAATGCATCAGATGGTTGCCATAGTGATCTGCTTCGTCTTCATCATCATTGTCACCATCACCATATTTATCTACAGGTGAGAATCAACATTTGTAATTTTTTTTTTTTATGAAATGTGAATAAAGAGTTGAGTGGAATTTTTAAATCATGAACTAAAATGTAAAACGATCATCTTGGTTTTTCTTTGAATTAAAGAAGAATTTAGAGTATTTTTCCTTTAGAAAATCCTTATTTTGTCATTTAACTTTTACTCTTGTTTGGTTTATTGCATGTTGCAACAGTTGTGTTCAAATTAGCTAGAAAGAAGTCAAAATCATGAGAAAAAATGCTTTCTTGCAACCGTCCTGGAGAGACGAATGGACACACTGGTTCTGAAATCTCTAGATAGAGACACAGATGCACCAACGGTGCTGAGCCAACAGGAACTGAACTCCTGCCACTTTTTACTAAAGCTTCCATGCTGTTCATTAGTTTTGCTGAGGGGTTGTTTGCACTAATCGTGCATCTTGTAGGGGTTGTTTGCACTAATCGTGCATCTTATCACCCCAAATATTTCAATTGTCACTTTAAATTTATTTATTTAGTTATTAAAGAAACTTAGATTGCTGCACAAGAGACTATTCCACAGTAAAAAAAAAAAAGTATTTGTTCATTGTATACTGATAAACTTGTAAGAAAGTAAAATTTATTAGATATAACAATTAATTTAGTGAAAACTCCAAGTGCTCTAAAACATGAGGACATCTCTTGATTTATTTCCTCTTGTGTGTGTCCATCATAGTTGTTACTGTTATTTTCCTCCTTGAGGGTTGTTTCTGGTTTGAATAATTACCGCTTCTTCTCCTGATTTTCTGTGACTAGTCATTCCAGCCTGCCGCACCAGCATCTGGCACACTCCACCATCCTGTTTATTCACTTTAGACCAAATAAAAGCTGATTCATTTCTCCAGATTTATTTCTTTTATTTATTTTATTTATTTATTTTTTATTGCTCATGAAATTGAACCTGAGTAAATACAAACATTTAGACACATCTAAGCCCTGACAAAATGAGAGTTTGAACTAAGAGGTTAAAAGAGATGCACAAGAGCACACAGTTTTGTGTCAGTTTAAACTCTCACAGCACTTCTTTCTCTCTCCATTTTATTTGTATTTCTCTTTGCTGTCCTCTCTCCATCCCTTCTTTTTTCACATATCCTCTTCCTTTCCTTCTTTTTCTTTTTCTGTCATAAACAGAGAAATCACTGTGAGGCCCAGAATGAGAGGATGGAGGGTTAATATTTGAAAAATGAATTAAAATAAATAGTTTTTGTTCAGGAAACTAAACTCAATTGTAAGCTAATCTGCCTGTGTAAATGTTACAATATTATAAATGACAGTTTTTAAACATAATACTATGTATTGTATAGTATTTGCACCATACAGGTTCTTAAATAATATTTATATTAACGTGCTACAATAATAGATTTTATGTTTGTCACAGTTTATTAAATGATAAGCTGTATATATATATATATATTTAGTTAAAGGGGTTGATGACATATAGATAAATGGAAATGGTTCAGTGCGCTGCTCTTTCTCAACACAAACAAATCCTGCTCTTGTTTATGAAATATTAATAAAGATTCAGAACAAGAACATGAAGATTTTTTTTCAGTTCTTATATGAATGTTCTCAATAAATAAAAAGTTTGAATTTTTTGTGAAAATGCAAAGTTACGAAGGATTTTGCTCCTTTCAGAAGTTGAATACTAAATATTATTTGAAATATTTAAAATTAATGTTTAAATTGTGACTTAAGAGCCTGGAAAAACATGGAGCGTGATTAAACTATTCCTAAACTATGGGTGGTCACACATGTACATTTTTGTGTTTCTACGGTGTTTGGTATCAAGGACATGTTAAAAATGTCCATATTTAAAGAAAAAATATTGTATCTTATTGTGAACTCCTTGTAGTTCAGGGTAGCTTTTGAGAAAGCGGGTCATTACAACCATTGCAGACACATTACATGACAGAAGACCAAAAGAATCATACATTTTAATGTAGAATTTAACGTTCTATAAAAGGTATATTGGCGTATGCCCAGTTGTCAAAAGTTCAGACTGCTTTAAAAGAATTATTGCGTCATGAATTGTATCATAAAATTAGAAATGAACCAAAAACTCAATGACTTCAACTGTGATATCAGCAAAAACTTTCACAGAAAGTTAAATATTTAAAGAGTCAGTAAAACTTAAAACCGCATTTACTCTGTTGTTGTTGAATTTAGGTGGTCTGGGGTTTCTACTTAAGCATAACAAACCTTGTTTCCTTTGTAAGTGACTATTGTGATGGCTCTGGCAAAACTATTCATTCTGAGAAAGCTTAACACTTCATAAGCAAGACACACCCCTAAATCTGCTTGTCCCAACCCACTTCAACCAACATAAAACTGTGTTAATGCTAACTGCAGAACAACGCTAGCCTTGAAATACTGTTAACATTAGGCTCAGCTATTGCTTATGCTAGCTCAAGCTAATGCAAACGCTAGCCTCAGCTACTGCTAGCATCTTTGTTGGACGAGAAGAAAAGAATTAACATTGAAGCACTCACGACCCAGGATGCACTAGGGCACTTACATTTTGTTCGTTACAAATCTTCGCTCCACAACCCGGTGGACAGTCACTTTCCCAAACTCTCACTCGCACTCCTGGGTCATTGTGAGCCCCAACAAAGTTTTGTTTACTTTATAGAGGCTCTAAGAACAGTTTCCAATTTTAATTAAACACAGACCCTTTAAAAATGTATAAAAGTTACCATTATCAAACGTCTGAGCTGTCATGCCGTCGCCAAGCAGACCGTTTTGATACCTGGATGACTGAAATAGTCGCAAAGTAAGCAGAGGGATTTAGGTGCAGTGTCTCTTTATGACTCTGCTCTGTAGGCAGATGCACAGATTTGTGTTTGGCCTCCATTTATGTCTCTGTCTTCATCGCCTCTCTTAGGATTTCCTCTCTTTATTTTAACCCACACGTATACACCTACTCTACAAACACACGCACACACACCTGTCCTCCTGTCTGTTGAATAGGAAGTTGAAGCTAGAGAGTGAACTGGTTGCTGAGCTGTGGAGAGTTTCCTGGGAAGACATCCAAATGAGCAACCTAGAAAAAACCATGAGAAGGACTTGCAGCAGGCTCACCATGTCTCTGGTAAATTAAATATATAATTCTTAGGTTTTTTTCTTTCCTTCTTTCTGCACACCTGGTCGTATTGTCGCATCAGAAAACTGTTTGGTAGGGTTTGTGGTTTAGTAAAGTAATTAAAGAGCAAGTCACCCCCTACCAGAGTCTAACTCCACTCCCACTTCATGTTTGAAAAATGCAACAAACGCTGTTGCCTGGCAGACCGAGAGGGCGGAGCTGCTAACAAATACACACACACACAGGCTCACGACAGCATTGTGACATCATAATGTACCAGTTTACATCATAGCATACCTCTTAGCCAATAGCGGTGGCAGATTTAAATTAGAATACAGTGCAGAGTTTTTACCTGACAACGGCACAACACTGCCAGTTTTAGGCAGAATATTTAAATTTTAACTAAGATGCACTGAAGTGCCAAATTATTGACGACACGTGTCTGCAGCACGATTAGACACTCGTTTATTTAGTTTATCAGCAAAAAAAAGTTGATTTGGGGGTGACTTCAGCGCCTTGGGCTTCCTGACAGGGTTGCAGAAGGTGCTTTATAAATAAATCTTTGATTGATTGATTGATTGATTGATTGATTGATTGATTGGCTTGCTCTTTAATGTTGGTTTTCTTGTTTTCAGAAAGGATCTAACTATGGTTCTCTGATGACCATGGAGGGAAATTTTCAGATCTACACTAAAACTGGATACTACAAGGTCATTAAATCCCTGTAACAGTCTAATTTTATGCAAATGAGCAGATAGATAACCTTGTAGATTTTCTCTCCCTCAGGGTAATCTGGCAGCCATCAAATACATCAACAAGAAGCGAATTGAGCTGACGAGAAAAGTTTTGTTTGAACTTAAACATGTAAGAATACAAGTACCTGAAGCATTGTTGACAAATGGGTTTCTATTTATATGTCGGTGTCCTGCTTACGTAAATGGATTTTATATAATTTACTGTTCTATGTTTTGCAGATGCGAGATGTTCACAATGAACATTTAACTCGTTTTATTGGTGCCTGCCTCGACCCACCAAACATGTGCATCATTACAGAGTACTGTCCCAGGGGCAGCCTTCAGGTATGACACACCTGGGTAATATACCCAATTTGCACCATGTCAGCAGATACTATGTCAATAGCTGACCATGAAAATTCTTTAAGGCTGGGTCACATCATTTAAAAATTTTAGAATAACTTTAGAGATGCTTAAATTTGATCTGTCCTTGTTATTAAGTAGGTAAGGTTTCATAGTTTATATTTCCCCTAAGGCCTTTCCCTAGCCTGTACAGCGAAACTGATGATTTACGCGAGCCCAGAGCGTTGACCAGTAGATATGTGTGTCCACAACAGGGAGCTGTCAATCAACAAAAGTGCATCCCAGTCCCCAGCATGCACTATAGGGTGACTCTACAGACCCCAGCTCTTATTAAAGTGATACTTTGCAACTTTTTCATCTGTTTAAATAATTTCCTTGAGCCAGTATGTGCTAAAATGACCCTGAAAATTGCTGACATACCTGATGCTGCAGTCTGCTTCCAGCACATTTCCTGCATGTTTTCGATCATGAACACAACTGATTTGTTTTATTTAGTGATGAACCGCTCCTGTAGACACTAAGGAAGGTTAGGGAGACATTTCAGCAGTTAGATTTAGGTGTTAAAAAGAGGAATGCAGAGCGAGGACATAAGTTTTGATTTTGGTTCTACTAAACAAACACTAGGGGGTGCTAAAAGCAAGGCTAAACTGCCTAGTTTCCCTTTAACCGTCAACACCTCAGAATGAGCCATTATTATTATTCTATAGACTTCAAACATCTTAGGTATAAATCAGTGCTCAATAGTTAAGTCTAAGATATTTTTACAGATATTTTGAAGTGTATTTTGAGTATTTTTACATTATTTTGTTATTTAAAAGAAAAAATAAACAGTAGTTCAAATCTAATTCCAGTTATATCCTGTTTATTCTTCATACTTTAATGTCCACACCAAGAAAAAAAAACATTATTCGTTTTTTTTAACGGGAGAGTAGAACATTTCAGTATAATATTTTAAAATAATATTAGCGGTGTGGTTTACTTGTTTATTCAATACATTTGCAGTGTTCTCTAGTGTAAATCAATGCTTTACATTTATTTAAATTTTTTTTAAAGCTATGATGCTCCTTTTCTGAGATGCAGATGTTTGCTGGTGCAGAAGTGGGCTGAAAACAGCAGGATTACTCATTATTATTAATGATATGCACACATCTTGCTTCTGATTGGCTAACAGAACATGTTCAGCTATGTTGCAAAGTCACTATCACCAAGACACTCTCTGCTCTCTCTCCCCGCTACAAAAAAACATTTTTCTTAAAAAGCCTTCCTGTGGGCGGGCATAAGCCGAGACGGGCGAGGTCATGAATGCTAATCCAGTGTGACATAGATCTGTGAGGTTTTTCAAATCCTAGCATTTTACGTCTATTTTCTATCAGAAGCTAAGGCAGGAGATAGGTGTAGGAGACTGCTGTCATGTTCAGCCTGCATGAAAAACTCTGAGTGACCGATTATAACCTGAAATAATAATTAAAAATGTTTTTCAGTCAACAACACCTTTAAGAATAATGTAATAATGTTTAACTTTTCATCAAGTATCCAATTTTAAAAATTCTGTCATTTTTTGCTTTTTATGTTGTTTTAAGGTAGGATCAGTATGCTTTATTCCTCCTAATCAGATCTAATCAATCAGCAGGTCGATAACCTTCCATCAGCCATTCGTTCTGCTCATAGCTGATCGTATCGCTGCAGAGGTAGCAGGTAGCATTTCCTCTAAAACTTCCTCATACCTTGTGTCTTCTCCTACACCTCAGTTATCTTTCAGCACTGTAGCCTAGCAACCTTCTGGTAGGGTTACCTAGCAACGGGAGGAGGTAAGTCAGTCTGCAGCAGGCTGATGTGGGCTGCGTGGGTTTGGGGTTGTTGCCAGATGACCGCAGAATCCATGAGCAGAACAAGTTATTTTCTGCCCCTGCAAGGATGCAGATGCTTTTAGCTCGGAGGGAAAAGCATTTGTGAGGAGGGAAAGCGTGCATGAAGACAACGAGCGTCCCCTGCAGAGGCAGATGGGAACATTTTACCACATGAAGACATGTCCTTGCGTTTGAGAAATCAAATGTTCTGATAAAAATGTCTTATGTTTGACGGATCAAAGTGGAATTTGATTTAGGGAAAGCATAGCAGTAAAGATCTGATATTATTTCTCAGCTTCTAAACTTTGCCTCAAGCTCCGAAAGTCTCCGCTTGAATGCAAACATGTCCTCAGACGCACTGACGCTTGTTCAATTGTCCTGCTCTTGACAAAGACCTCGCACTTTTTCTCTTTTCTGTGCATCTCGCAAGACCATCTACTTGCTCTATGACTGTTTTAAAGCAAAAATTTATAATAATAAAATGATGTCACCAACATGTGTGTTTGTTTATCTTCCAGGACCTGATGGAGAGCGACGGGATCACTCTGGACTGGATGTTCAGATACTCTCTCATCACTGACATCGTCAAGGTAACGATCTGGCTGAGACAGAGGACAGTGTTGGTGGGCGGGGCAACTGCGGACTGCACCTATCAGTCAAACACTATTGTGATGCAATAATAAATAAATAAAAACACAGGCAGAGTTAGAGAACTAACAGAAAAAAGAGGAAAATATATATTTTCCACGTTCTTTAATTTGATCCTCCATTCTTTTTAAAGTTTTCTCTTTATTTCTCCTTAGGGTATGGCATTCCTCCACAACAGTGTCATTGTTTCCCACGGCTCCCTGAAGTCGTCCAACTGTGTGGTGGACAGCCGATTCGTCCTGAAGATCACAGACTATGGCCTGCAGAGTCTCCGCACCTGCAGCTACCCTGAGGACACACATGCTTACTACGCACGTATGACTCACACAAGCTCAGAGTTACTAAACCTGCGTGACACATTCACACACGCTAATGTAGTATTTAAAGAGATGGATCATGCACAAGTGACAGTGTGTGTGATAAGCAAGTACAATTAACTGGTGTTAATCATTTGGCAGGTAAATTATGGACAGCTCCTGAGCTCCTGAGAGCAGACTGTCCTCTCCCTTGTGGGACCCAGAAGGGGGATGTCTACAGCTTTAGTGTGATCCTGCAGGAAGTGGCTCTGCTAAAAGGAGTCTTCTTCCTCGAGTCACAATCCCTCACTCCTAAAGGTCAGTGAGCATCAGCTGAATGCAGCCTCGAGTCTCTAACCAGAGGTCTTATCTGCTCTGGACATGATGAAAGTGTCTTATTGTTTACATTCCTGTGGGACAGCTGGATGACCTGCTGCCATCAACTCATCATTAACTTATCAGTTCACACAACATGCGTCACTTATTATCTGAACTCCTGAAACAAACATGTTGTTGTCTGGATATCACGATTATGCAAAATGGAAACCTGTGTTTGTAATCTACTTTAACTGGCAAATGTATAAATGTAGCACATGCTCCTGCAAATGCAAGATGGCTTCCAAAGCAACTAGTCTTGAATAATTAGTAGAAACCATCCGTCTGCTGAAAATAAAGTGCTTCATAAGCAAAAAGGATGCCTCAAACTGCTTTAGCTTCAGTTTTCTGTCTTAAATCTCCTTCATTTTTCATTAAATACATCCTGAACCAGGTGTTTGCTCTGACTTCTGACACTGAGAAACAGTTTTTTACAGTTTATTTTTTAAATAAGATCAGTCACTTTGAGTTTCACATGCAGGCTGAACATGAAAGTGGTCTTCAACCAGTATGTCTGGCATTAGCCGCCAATAGAAAATAGGCGGGGAAACTCTCAGGTCGGAAAAAGCCACGTAGATCTACATCACATTGTCATAGACTCACCCAACTTGGCTCACGGCCAGTTCTACATTCCCAACTGGCATAAGCAAACCGTTAGCATTAGCGGCTCCACAACATGGCAGAACTCCTCCAAGCTTGTGTTATTTGTGGAGATAAACCGTTAACCTTGCAGGATGAAGAGACAGTAGAAGAGTCGCATTGCTGTTAGCCAATCAGAAGCAAGACGTCCAAGTATCATGAACAATAATGAGTTAGACTCAAAATCCTGCAGTTTTATGCCCCCACCCCCAATCAAGACATAATTGTTAAAGCTTTTTTAAGTGATATGAGCTCCTTCAATTCCTCAGAGATCATCCAGGCGGTGATTCAGGGCGGTGTCCCTCCCCTCCGTCCCTCCCTCTGCTTCCACAGTCACAGCGAGGAGCTCGGGGTCCTGATGCAGCGCTGCTGGAGCGAAGAGCCAAGCGAGCGGCCCGACTTTAACACCATCAAGATCCTGTTGAGGAAGCAGCACAGGTACAAAGAGCAGAATTATTTTGGCGTACATTATCTGGTTTGGATGAATATCTTTGAAAACAGAAACAATCTGGATTTAAACTAGTTTACGAAGTTTTTTTTTTGTCTGTGAGTGTGTGTTCATCATCCCATAAATCACTGGATGGATTTAAGCTAATTAACCCTTGGAGTTGGCCCAGTTCAAGACAGCAGACACATCTTCTCCTAGCCACCATACATGTGGCTGTAATTTAGTCAGTTTTACAAATACTGAACTAAAATTTGATGTGGCCGTAGCTGAGAGTCATCTATAATACACATTTAAAATACAAGCTGTGTTTCTGGTTCCATGTCTTTAGAGGTTATGGTTCCAACATCCTGGACAACCTGTTGTCTCGTATGGAGCAGTACGCCAACAACTTGGAGGAGCTGGTGGAGGAACGAACGCAGGCTTATAATGAGGAGAAAAGAAAAGCTGAGGCCTTGTTGTACCAGATCCTACCACAGTAATTATACTTGTAGTATTCTGAGTTTAAAAATGCAGCCGGCGACACGGTGGAAGCAAAAAAACTCGTGTTTGTGTTTCAGTTCTGTAGCTGAGCAGCTGAAACGAGGCGAGACAGTTCAGGCTGAAGCTTTTGACTCCGTCACTATCTACTTCAGTGACATAGTGGGCTTCACGGCTCTATCTGCTGAGAGCACGCCGCTGCAGGTTCGTAGTACCAGAATATCATGGACATCTGAAAATACACTCACAAGACTGCCATCTAGTGGTGTAAACCATTACTACACTACTTTTTCAGACTTAATTGTCCTACTTTCTGCCTTTTTTCTCTTCCTTGTCCTTGATTGATGGTGTCCCACATTTTGATTAGCTCTGCTTATAAGAATCCCAAACTCAAACAGAAATAACATTTAGCTTGAATAGATAGAAACAGAAAACAATAAACAGTAGTTCCCCCAAGAAATGGAAACAAAAGATAGAAAAACAAAAGCATTTTGGCTGATCACAAACCTCTCCAGATAGCTTTATAACCACGTGTTTATTTTATTGACTAAAACTGTTTCTGCTGATTGTTTTAGTAACAAAAGTTATCTTCCATATTTAATAGAATATCAGGTCAGATGAAACATGAAAGCCCACGGGGTGCAAATAAATTCAATAATTAGATTTATTCTCTGTGTTCTTTGTATTTTCAGGTTGTGACTCTCCTAAATGATCTCTACACCTGCTTTGATGCCATCATTGATAACTTTGATGTCTACAAGGTAAAAAAGAGTAATAACGTGTTATTACTTCTGCATTACTTGATGGGCTTAGAAAATGTTGCTGTTTTTTCAGGTGGAGACCATCGGGGATGCATATATGGTGGTGTCGGGTCTGCCGGTCAGAAATGGTAAACTACACGGGCGGGAGGTGGCCCGGATGTCTCTCGCTCTGCTGGACGCTGTCAAGAACTTCAAGATTCGACACCGATCCGATCAGCAGCTTCGGCTTCGCATTGGCATTCACAGCGGTACAAAAATACATTCTACGGTATTACTAAATGTTTCCAGGGTACATTGACCTGTTGATGTTTTTGTGTTCAGGCCCTGTGTGCGCTGGTGTAGTTGGGTTAAAGATGCCAAGGTACTGTTTGTTTGGGGACACCGTCAACACTGCATCACGAATGGAATCCACAGGGGAGGGTGAGAACCATCGTAATAATTTTAAAATCTTAAAAAAAATATATATATAAATATATATATATATATATATATATATATATATATGATTTTATTTCCTAAAAGCAACAACGCTTCAGTCGCAGATTGCCTCAGTTAGAAATTCAAACCCACACAATACAAAAGTCTTATTTTCACCCAACTTTTTAGCAACTCTGAAGCAACTTTTCATTTCAACAATGCGTTACCTTTCTCAGTGGCCTAGTGGTAGAGTGTCCGCCCTGAGACTGGGAGATCAGGGGTTTGATTCCTGGTCGGGTCATACCAAAGACTTTGAAAAAATGGGACCCAATGCCTCCCTGCTTGACACTCAGCATTAAGGGGTTGGATTGGGGGGTTAAACCACCAAATAGTTCCCGAGCGTGGCTGTGTCTGCTGCTCACCGCTCCCCCAGGGGATGGGTCAAATGCGGAGAACAAATTTCGCACACACACCTGTGTGTGTGACAACTAATGGGACTTTAACTTTTCTAGAGGAGTTTAAACAGCTGGTACCAGGGCTTAAATAGAGCCGGATCTTACCGGAACAAGATCCGGGAACTGTCTTATTTTCAATGGACCATCCTGGCAATTGTCTGCTAGGTTCCGACAACTCACGAGACCAACTTGGGGGGAGCCCGAAAAAGATCCTGGTTCTACATATATTACATTATTAATGTGGACTATCAGGGGATTATTTTGAGCTGAGAGGCGCAGAACTCTGATCGTCAATGCGCTCCAGACAGCTGCGTCCTGAGCACGGCCACAGCAACATTCTCAAAGTGTCGCCACCTCCAAAAAACATATTTACCACGCGATCGTTCATGTCGGCTCATATGCTTTTATGCTTTGTCTTTTGTTTGCGCCTGATGCGTTTTGCTGCTGCGGAGCGCATTGCCTGTTTTGTCCTCCGGCGACTTCACCTCACTGGTGTAGCAGACGTGCAGCGAGAACTCCGCCATTTTTGTGGTCGGTAGATCTTTTTGAACTGCAGTTCAAAGGTAACTCATGAGGTGAAAACATATGAAGCCAGGTAGCAGCTTTTCTTTAGGACTGAGAGGAGATGCAGGAAGATAATAAACAGAGGCAGGACAGAAAAATAGTCAAATAAAAAAACAAGAAAACAAAACAAAGTGTTTAAAAAGGAAAATTTAGGTAGATTTATCCCACGACCTGTTTTTAACTTTCTAATATTTGATACAATCCAGATGTCCTTCAAACCTCATTCCCTTGCAGGACCGTAAAGCATTTCGGGGGCCAAGGCAAGAATAAAGCCACTTTCAGCGCGGCTTTGTTGGATATCGGAGAAATGGCAGATTTCGGTTTTCTTTTTTTCTTAATCCAGTGGAATTTCAGTGTTTTTCTGACACAGCTTACATGTGAGGCCATGTTGGGCGCTCGTTTTTGTACTTGGTGGTTGCAACAACAGACACCATTGAAGGTAATCATTGCCACAGAAGTGAGGAACAGAACATGAAATTATTCTTTCAATGTTTAGAGCAGCAGGAAACTCTCAGAGGCTGCAGGCGCACCAGTGAGTTTGTGGTCGCTGCACAGTTGGAGTGGGAAAGGGCTGAAGCAGGTGAACGATAAAGATGCAAAAGCTACCATTGTTAAAAGAAACCTGTGTTAACTTTGAAAATGTGGGCGCAATTTTTAAATACTTGTCAAAAACTCCAGCGAACACCCCACCCACCCCCACCCCACCCCACCGCATGCGTGTTCCGGCATCTGCTTTGCCTTTAGTGAACTTTGGTTTGACATCAGTATTTGCGTTCCGGGAATGTTTGATTTACAAATTAACCACTGGCTGATGCCCTTTGTAAAACAATGTTTACATTCCAGTTATCTTTATTAAAGGGGACACATTATCCAGAACTCACTTTTTGAATCCATTTGTGCTGCCATGTAGGTCTTTCCTGCCTTTATTTACACTACAAATGTAAAAGGAAAAAAGTAAATCATTTTTTCTCTTAGTGTTTGGTTTCAGGAATTATGAGCCGGAAACAAGTTGTTTCAATAAGTCCCTGTTTGTGACATCACAAACAGGGAAAGTAGCATTCAACCACCTCTCACATGTAAGAGAGAGCTGCTGCTGGAGGAGCAGCAGCTCTACTCCAAGCCCCTCCCAGGTGAAAGAGCTTCTCAGCTTATTGCAGTCTGAGCGAGAGATGGGTGGGCGTGGCCAGCTCCAGCTTGGTTTCTTACAGTGAGAGAGCCCTGAAACGGCTCATTCTGGAAGGTACTAAAACTGTCAAGAATTAAACTGCTGAAATCGCTTTATGTAAGAAGAACTTAGTGAATGTGTTTTGCATAGAAGATGGATTTAATATAACTTCAGGAAAAAAGCCATTATATGTTCCCTTTAATAAATGCATCTAAAACAAGTTTTAAAAATGTTATTTTATTCTGAAAGACTTAAGAGGATACTGTATTATTGACAGAATATTAAAGAATTTGTACATTTATTTAGAAGAAAGTGTTTGTTCTTTCAAATAAAAATGTGTTTGTATGTCCATTTCTTAATGGTGAAAGTCTGATAGATCAGTTTTAACCCTTTAACTAGCAGGTGGAGCACATTTTAGTTCACAGTTTTTAGTTTAACATTTTTTATCATGCACTATCATTAAAATAATATTATTGCTTTTTGTATTATAACCTTTATTGATCCAAGAGTAAGAAAAATGTAAAAGATCGATTTTCATTTGTTTTTCATCGTAAGGAATTCAAAGGGTTAAATAAATAAAATAGTTTCCTTATAGCAGTATAACTTTAGTCTGTTGAAGATGCAAGTTGCAGTTTGTAGCTGAGGTCCTTTAATTTTTGTCTTTAATTAAATTATCTCAGAAGAAAAAAATGTAAAGGCTGATTTGATTTTTTAAATGTAGGGTGATGATAAAAGGGAGGGGGAGCAGAGGCTGCAGTTAGAAATATAACAGCTGCAAATGAAATGGAGTTATTAGCATAGCCATCTACATTGTAATACGGTATGTTGTGTCTAATGATGTGATGTGTATGACTTGATCATCCCCTCAGCACTGAAGATTCATGTGTCAGAGGCAACTCGCCAGGTCCTGCAGGACTTTAGCTGCTTCCTTCTACAACTCAGAGGAGAAATCGAAGTTAAGGGCAAAGGACGTATGAGGACATATTGGCTGCTAGGAGAACAGGAAAAAAACTGACAAAGGCTTGTGGAGACTGAAGGAAGACACGTGTGGGAATGACCTGGATTCATGGATGAAAGTCAAAGCTGACAGGCCTATCTGAACTGGTTTCATCAAAATGAGAAGAAACAGATCCAGTCAAGACAAATGTTTCACTGTAAATTAAGTAATCTGGAGGAAAGATTTGTAAATACAAAAATAAAATTTATTATTACTTTTGTGGTGTTATTTTTTAATATTACTGTAGAAGTGATTTATCACCTCATTGTTCACATACTTTAGAATTATGAATTGACCATATGCTGGTGAAGGCTCTCAGACATCCAGGTCATGGTAATCCAAAGGGTTCAAATGAAGGCAACTGGACTTGTTTGGTTTCTTGAAGACATTTCGCTTGTCATCGAGGATCTTTGTCAATTCTGACTGGAATATGAGAGAGTCAAGCGTATAAGCTAACACAATTTACCATAAGAACATTTTAAAAAAACAGGATATGTTAACAAATAAAATGAACCCAATTATTACAGGTATTTAAACTACATCTCAAACCTATGTTTTTCTTATAATAAATGATAAAATAATAAAATGTTTAGATCACCAACACTGGCATCATTTAACTACGGTGGTCTATTGTTGACACACTTAATATATTTTGACTAAAACAACAGTGTATAATGTCAAGCGTTTGTTTAGGAAATAATTTAAAAGTTTTAGCAGAAATCACTGATTTCACAGTAATCAGACAATATTAGAGGAGCCATGCTTTAGTAACAGGTAATTAAAATAAAAATATACAGAAATATAATCTTGTTGCTTCACCATTCCTTTGTAAACAAGGTAAAGGGGTGTCCATGCAGGTGGTCTCACCAAATAGCACGCCAGGGATTGCCTCCAGATATCCTCCCCTGCTATTGGCTCAAACCTACGTCACTCTGTTTAATGAGTAACTTGATTGGTTTGTCATCGACGTGGTAACCGCCCCGTCCCTCCACTCGTTCGGTGCGGATGTCCGTTATGTTACTGTGGTCGGACGGTGTCAAGGAGCAGCAGTCATAGTTCAACCTTTCTTAAAATAAGTTTTAAAAACACATATTAATTGGCCGAAGTGATTCAGAGCAAAGTTCTTACCCGGATCACAGCCCCGGACTCTCCATTACACCGATACAAACACCTATAACGCCCGTGCACCGGTTGTCCCAGCACTTCACAGCTCCGCGGGGCCCGGCGAGGCGCGGCGGGAGCAGATGGAGCCTGCACCGGCGAAAGCGAAGCCACAGGGCCGGCTCCTGGTGTCCACCCCTCTGGATGCCAAAGACGAGTTGGAGGAGGTAGGGAGATCCGAGTTAGCGGCCTGATTATACAATTGTCCAGTTTATAAACCGGGACAGAGTTGGTGTGGAGAAAGGTAGAAGCAGTTTTATTTAGAAACAGAAGGTACAAAGACATGATGGAACCATTTTATCAAATTCAAGCTGCTAACAGGCTAGTTAGCTTTGCTAGCAGAGGGGTAGCAGCGGTAGTTCAGCAAGGTAGCCTTGTGAGGTGTATGGCTACTCTGCTGAAGACGTGAATCTGAATGAGAAGCAGCTGTGGTGTGTTCTTGACATTTGTGCTTTCAGAAACGCGGCGTTAGAGATCTGAAGACCTAACGTTTATGGAAGTTAGCCTAGCATGCTAATTCAACGTAAACATATGGATGGGACCTATGTGACAGTTACGCATGCGCATTGTTTCACGTGTCAGAACTATTTAGACCTTGAAAGTTGATCTATGCTTGTTTATTAAGTTAAACCAGGCCTAATAATTAGTTTAGAACAGCGTATTGAGGTTATTGATCGATAATTTGCATAACTAGTAATATATATAAAAAAATACTAGCACACACATTAGTAATGTATATACCTTACATACTATACATATTATTACTTAGATTAGCCATTTTTTTATTTTATATTTTGCTTGTTTTTACGTTACTGTATTTTTTCACAACTCTGTTGCAGTGAAGCTTGCACACAAGAATTTCACTCGCATGTACTGTACCAGTGTACCTGCACATGTGACGTGACAATAAAAGTGATTTGATTTGATTTTGATATTTAAATATTCCATTCTAGTGTCATGCTGAATAAATTGTATTGTGTTTATGTTTTGTTTGTACTCACCTTTAGACTTTATTGTGTCAGTGAGGCTGGTTTTGAAATTATTAATATGGATAGGAATATTTGTGTTCATCTCATTCTGTTTGTGACAGTGCTTATATGCTTGCAGTGTTCTTGTTGTGTTTAATGCTTGACATTTTAATTTATTTATGCTCATAGTTTATTGTTTTTCCTGCTTGTTTGGATAGTTTTAGCGGGACTGTACCGTTTACAACATCAGCATGTTGACATGATGGAGTCTGCATTCCATTTAAACATCATATCTCCCCTTCAGCAACATAGTCTTAAATCACTTAATTAAATCAGTTAATTAATTGAGTACATTGTATTTCAGACAGTGCTTTACTGCACATTTAATACAGCTTAAGCCTATAAAACTTTTTTTTCCTGCTCTATTTATTCCCAGCTCACCTCTCATCATCACTTCTCTCTGACTCTTGAGCCTCTTTGTGAAAAGGAGGGGGCCCGGTGTTGTTTGGTTTGTGTTCCACGTTTGTTTTTTGTGTTTGTGCAGCGATTGGAGCGATGTGTCGCAATTGTCCAGGCAATAACCAATGGGCTCTCAGAAAGAGAAGCTAACGATGCACTCACTGCCAACGTAAGAAATATATGTTAGTGCAACAAATCGCATGACCAGTACTTCTTATATACAGTGACTATGTAAACAACAAACCTAACTTAGACTTTTGGAATAATTTTTGTAGGTTTGTAAAGGTCAGCAGCAGCATGAGGAGGTATGCCTTGGTTTGTTCATGCTGGTCCTCACGGAACCAACCCAGGCCCAGAGGGTGAGTCACATCTTCATCTTCAGTCATCTCTAGCATCGCTGCGGCTGTAAACGTCATAACTTTTTCTGTGTGTGTTCTTTGGAACAGTGTTACAGAGATCTGGCGCTGGTTAACAGAGATGGGATGAACATAGTCCTGGTGAAAATCAACCAGATATTGATGGAGAAGTTCCTCAAACTGCAGGACGTTCCAAGGACACAAGTAAACACTGTGGAAATACACACTCGTGGAAATTTGCACACAGGTCTTTGGAATGTGGCGGTTATTAACGGTGTGTTTTGTGTGCTCAGCTGGTGTGGGTGGTCAGAGAACTTGTTAAGAGTGGAGTTATTGGAGCCGACGGTGTTATCATGACGCTTTTGAAACAGATCGCAGGTCAGACTCCAGCAGATTATATCTTTGTGATAAAAGCGAAGCTTTGTACCAACGTAATAGTGCTGTTTCTTTCCTACAGGTGGAGATATCTCCGCAAAGAACCTATGGTTGGCTGAGAGTGTCCTGGACATCCTGTTTGAGCAAAAGTAAACTTTCTTCACATCTTATTTTGTAGCTCCTATCACAGGTCACGGTTATTTCTTCCTGCAAGCTCCAGATTCAAAATATGCTTTTATTTTGAAATAAATTCCATTATGAAACATCGAATTTTTGTTTATTTTAAGGGAGTGGGTGTCAAAGAGTGGGATGCTAATAGCGATGTCGGTCTACACTTACCTCCGACTTATTGTTGACCATGGAACCCCAAACCTGTTGCCTCTGCGCCAAAAAGAAGTCGATTTCTGCATCGGCATGCTGAGAGAAAAGGTGATGAAAGCGAGACAAAGCAGCTGTATTCATCTCCAGTTTATCACACTGATAACCTTGTCTCTTTGTGTAGTTCATGGAGTGCCTGATCATTGGAAGAGATCTGGTTCGCCTGCTGCAGAACGTTGCTCGAATCCCAGAGATGGAGCTGCTATGGAGAGATTTGTTGCACAACCCACAAGTTCTTAGTCCTCAGTTCACCGGTAAACTGAGTTACTGGATACCTCGCCTTACCAAAAATACTTTTGTATTTGTGCTAAATTTTATCTCCATGAATATGGAGCCAACTTTTTGTCAACTGAGTGTTTCTTATCATTTTTATATGTAATTTTTACTATAAATGGACATGTGTGATGTCATTATTCCAGGTATCCTCCAGCTTCTGACAGCTCGGACGTCTCGGAAGTTTCTGGCCTGTCGCCTCACTCCAGACATGGAGACTAAGCTGCTATTCATGACCTCCAGGGTACAACCCAACATGTCTCTTCACTCATGGCTCAGGCGCGTTTTTTGTTTTTCCACCTCTGGTTTACTCGTTTCATCGCATTTGCACAGGTACGGTTTGGGCAGCAGAAGCGGTATCAGGACTGGTTTCAGAGGCAGTACCTGTCCATGGCGGAGAGCCAGTCGCTGCGCTGCGATCTGATCCGGTACATCTGTGGGGTTGTCCATCCATCCAATGAGGTGCTGAGCTCTGATATCCTGCCACGCTGGGCTATCATTGGGTGGCTGCTGACCACCTGCACGGTAAGAGGACATGGTCGTAGGCTGCAAGCGTGAACGCCATGTCTGTTTAAAGTTGTAATGAGCTGTTTTGGGGGGGGGGTTGTTTTGCAGTCAAATGTAGCAGCCTCCAATGCCAAGCTGGCTCTCTTTTACGACTGGCTTTTCTTCAACCCAGAAAAAGACAGCATCATGAATATAGGTAACTAACTCGTGCACAAAACACAATGCTTTTTAGGAACTCAAACAGACCCTTGTTCCGAAGACACTCGACATGGTGGTACCGTACGTCCAAACCTGACCTTTATTTTTGATTCAAGTTTATTTATATAGCGCCAAATCACGACAAGAGTCGTCTCAAGGCACCTCACATAATAAACATTCCAGTTCAGGTCAGTTCATTAAGCCAATCAGAAATAATGTTTCCTGTATAAGGAACCCAGCAAATTGCATCAAGTCACTGACTAGTGTCAGTGACTATACAGCAATCCTCATACTAAGCAAGCATGTAGCGACAGTGGAGAGGAAAACTCCCTTTTAACAGGAAGAAACCTCCAGAGAATCCTGGCTCAGTATAAGCAGCCATCCACCACGACTCACTGGGGATCGAGAAGACAGAGCAGACACACACACACACACACACACACACACACACACACACACACACACACACACACACACACACACACACACACACACACACAAGACAAGTAATGTGTCTATAGTTATATTGTGATGTCTTAGTAAATATTCTATGATGTGATGCTGCAGGTTTTATTGTCTTTTTCACATCCAGAGTTTAAGGATTGCTCTAATCTTTTTTTTTTTTTTGTCATCTCCTTCTTAAATAGAAATTTATATCTAATGTCACGCATTACTCGTGCTTATAAAGATGTGTGCTGTATGATTTGAATAGAAATTATGACAGATGACTGTAGGTCTGCAATGGTGTCTTCAGCTCCATTTGTGATAAGCAAACTGCAGATGGTCCTGACCTCTTAAGGACTGGAACAAGGCACGGTGTCTTCCACAGTCTGCAACCTTCTCCTGGGTCACGTTTTGACCTGAGTCTAGTGTTAGCCGTCAGCTTTGTAGTCAAATCACCATTTCCCAAGTCCAAGTCAAGACTGACTCAAGCGACTAGAGTCCAAAATCTTCCTGTCCAAGTCCAGCGTCAATTTCAATCGGTATTTGTTACGTTGGCAACCAGAAAAGTTTGTGAAATTGCTATTGTTGGAATTAGTGTGTAGCCGTTGCTAATGTTAGCTTACAAGGCAAGGCCTTTCTGAGATTACAGATGAAATGCTGATTATATATTGTTTCAAATATATTTTAAGCTTTTTTTTTTTATCATTCGGCCACATGCTAACGTGTTAGCTTGATGATAGCGTGGGAGCATTGAGCTGTCCCAGCCTTGTCATCTACTGTCCTCCTGCATAATTTACATCTAGCGCCGCTTTTTCCTGACTTTGAGGAAAACTCTTTTAATGTAAATTGCACAATGTGTGGAATGTTAGGACTCCCTCTGGACATGTTGAATAGGTCAAATAGTGATGCTCTACTTTTGCTCACATTGGAGTCTGTGTCCAGGTGCATGTCATTGGCGTGCTCCTAGAGTGAGGACTCAGGTACTCAGTCCATGTTTTCCACAGGGTGTGGCATTGCAAGATCTTGTGATTTCTCCTTCTTTAGGTTGCCTTAATTCTGTACAAATCTATTTTACCACATTCAAAGCAGCTCTAGACCTGCATGCTGCAACAGTTCCAAAAGGTTTTACTGATGATCACTTTGTCTTATAAAATCATTAACTTGGATTAGCAGCCATAAATCAGAAGGCTGATATAGAAACTGACCATTGTTGATAATTAAAGTCCCATTAGTTGTCACACACACAGGTGTGTGTGCGAAATATGTTCTCCGCATTTGACCCATCCCCTGGTGGAGCGGTGAGCAGCAGACACAGCCGCGCTCGGGAACTATTTGGTGGTTTAACTCGCCAATCCAACCCCTTAATGCTGAGTGTCAAGCAGGGAGGCATTGGGTCCCATTTTTTCAAAGTCTTTGGTATGACCCGACCAGGAATCGAACCCTGATCTCCCAGTCTCAGGGCGGACACTCTACCACTAGGCCACTGAGAAAGGTCAATAATGTGTCTTAATGCAAAAATGTGGATCTTCCTTTAAAATCATCTCAATGCTTTTACTTTCCATTCATTTGTAATCCCACGCTTTTGAGCAGTGGTGGCTGTTAACAGTTAGCAGCGTGAACGTTTGACAAGCTGCTGATTAAGACAAAAATAATAGTTAATAAATGTCTTAATATAATGAGATGCTGTTGAAAATGATGACAGCATCTAAAACACTTAACATCGTCCGGACCTGACTCTGTTCTGACTTAAGTAATAATATTTATTTCAGAGCCTGCCATCCTGGTGATGCATCACTCTATGAAACCTCATCCTGCCATCACGGCCACACTGCTGGACTTCATGTGCAGGGTAACAGGAAGCTTAAAAATGATCAACACTGGTGTAAAAACACTAGAGATGAAATGTTTTCAAACAATAACACAACCTCTCTTCTCTTCTCTCTCCCAGATCATCCCTAACTTTTTCCCCCCACTTGAGTCTCAGGTTCGTCAGGGAGTCTTTAATTCACTCAACTTCATTATGGAGAAGCGGGTGCTGGCGTAAGAAATACACAAACCAACTTCATGATTTTATATTTATAACAACTTCATGTTTGTTTGTCACGCACTGATCACCTTGATGGACTTTTATCGATTTCTGACTTGCAGTCACCTCGCTCCGTTATTTGATAATCCCAAACTGGACCGGGAGCTTCGATCGATGCTCAGGGAAAGATTCCCAGAATTCTGCAGTCCACCATCTCCTCCCACTGAAGGTAACGCATGTCTGCATATTCCAGAACACAGTCAGCCAAAGGGCTCAAAGATGTCAAACAAGCATTTTAAACTTGTAATTTAAATTTTAGGAAACACATTTAATGTGATTAACAAATGAGAATGTTTCTGCATCCTGCAGTTAAGCTGGAAGAGACTGTTTCCATGGAGATGGACAACCATGTTCTGGACAAGGAGGAGAGTTGCTATGACAACACAGAAGCTGCTTTCAGTGATGACGAGGAGGAAGTCAACAACAAAGGTAGAAAAGGGGGGATACATTCAGATTGAACCAAAATAACCTGGTTTGGCTCTAACCGGTCCACACCACATTAAGTCAGTGTGGGTTTGCTGTGAGTCTGGTTTCGCTTTACTATTTGAGACAATCTGCAAAAAATGGCACCATATCAGGTTGTAATTGGTTGGCTGCATGGTGGCGCCGTGGTTAGCACTGCTGCCTCGCAGCACGAAGGTTGCAGGTTCGAAACTCGGCTGCAGCCTTTCTGCGTGGAGTTGCGTGTTCTTCCCGTGCATGCGTGGGTTTCCTCCGGGTACTCCGGTTCCCCCCACAGATCACAACATGCCCTATAGGTTATAAATTATAAGTCGCTTTGGATAAAAGCGTCTGCTAAATGAATAAACATAAACATAATTGCTACATTAAATAGTTTTAGAGATGTAGGTGTTATGAGTTAAAGGTGAAACGTCTCATCCCCTCTATTATTTCCTGTACATAATCTGAGTCAATTACATCACACTAACTCTTGACCAATCACTGTGCAGGAAAGAAGAGAGAGTTCAGGTTTCATCCAATCAAAGAGGCTGTGATGGAGGAGCCTGCTGACATCACGCCCTGGTTAGACCAACTAGACGACACTATGAAGGAGAAGGTGCAGCAAATTCAGAAGACCAGGTGAGATCAGGGGGTCAAACCAGCCTAGAAGAACACTTGTCCTTTTCTTCTTGATTATTATTAGGGATGCACCGATCAGGTTTTTTGCTGCCGATCACCGATACCGATATCAAAGAATGCTGATCACCGATACCGATCACGTGGATTGGCCAGAAATTTTCTACAACATTATAATGAGTGCTACAAACTACATAATCTGGGAATAAAGGAAATGTAACCTAATCTAAAATGGTCTGATCGGTCTGCTTTGATCTATTTTGAAAACTCCGATCAAAACCGATAGGGGCGCTATCAGCTGATTGGGATCAAATGCCGATCCATCGGTGCATCCCTAATTATTATCATTATTTTTTTTACATTTTTAAAACAAGCTGTCTTCTCCTCAGTGACACAGAAACTCAGTGTGAGGTGATGCAGGAGATTGTGGATCTTATCCTGGAGGTGAGTTCACTTTCATGCAGGTAACAACATAAATAAACAGAGAATACAGGTGACATCATCCTTCTGCAGAAGTGACGAGAGAGAGGAGAGGAAATAAGCACGTAAACATGGGAGCATTCAGACATAACTGGAATTAAAGTGATCCAAACCAGATCAGGACAGTACATTTGAAATTTACTTTAGCTCTTCTAGTAACACGTGTTCCTTCAGTTCGGACGATATAAGTGACCTCGCTTTCTAACGTTAATGAGATGGGTTCCTTTAGTTTTCAAACTAATATAAAGTCATGTTGCATTTGTTCATCTTGTTTTAATTATCATATTTGTCAATCCTCTATATGATTAATGAGATGTGCTACACTCCTCTCTGCTGCAGGAGGACTTCGATACAGAGCAGATGTCAGCACTAGCTTCCTGTCTGGCTGAACTGTTTAAAGATCATTTCAGAGGGGAGGTCCTCCCGGAGGAGATCACTGAGGAGTGAGTCTCTCCTCTCTGCTCCGTTTGACTCTGTCCGTTTTAGCGTTGGTGCCGTTTCTGATTCCTGGTCTGTTTCTGTCTAGATCTCTGGAGGAGTCTGTGAGCAAACCCGTCTGCCTGATCTTCAGGAACCTGGCCACCATGCAGGAGGACAACAGCGGGTTTTCAGTGCTGCTGGACATGTTGGCAGAACTTTACCAGAAGCAGCCAAAGATCGGTTACCACCTGCTGTATTACCTGAAAGCCAGGTGATCTGATGTGTAAAGCTGATGAATAGACTCTGTATGACCCCCACGTGTAAACAATAACGTGTTTTCCTCGGTGCTCCCGACAGTAAAGCGGCAAACGGGAAGATGATGCTCTACGAGTCATTTGCTCAGGCGACAGCTCTGGGCGATCTGCACACCTGTCTGATGATGGACATGAAGGCCTGTCAGGAAGATGACGTTCGGCTTCTCTGCTACCTCACACCCTCTATTTACTCTGAGGTACAGCTCCTCTGGGGCTGGGCTCCCCTCTGCAGTCTGAGCTTGAGATGTGTGAAAACTTAAACTGTGTTTGCTGTCCAGTTTCCAGATGAAACGCTGCGAAGCGGCGAGCTGCTCAACATGATTGTAGCTGTTATTGACCCCATGCAGGTGAGATTGGGCGTCCCCGCAACTCTAGCAGGCTTCTTGTTGCCACATGTCCACTAACATGTCATCTGTGTGTGTGTGTGTGTGCGCAGTTACAGGAGCTGATGTGCCACGTGATGGTGGGGAGCCTGGTGATGTTTCGGAAAGACTCTGTTCTCAACATCCTCAGTATGGAATGAATTAAGTGTGTCTGGTGTTGGCGTTTGGACTCCAGTTTGACATCATTTCCTTCTTTCCGTCTTCAGTTCAGTCTCTGGAATGGGAGACGTTTGAGCAGTACAGCACTTGGCAGCTGTTCCTGGCCCACAGTATCCCACTGGAAACCATCATCCCCATCCTGCAGCACCTCAAATATAAAGGTGACGTAACGAAACACTCACAGCTACCAAATAAAAGGCACGTTCTGATTTTAACAGCTGTTTGTCTCTCAGAACACCCAGAGGCCTTGTCCTGTCTGCTACTGCAGCTCCGCAGAGAAAAGTATGATCAGCAAAAATCCTCATCTTCCCATTAGATGCCACACATCCTTAATTTCCCTTCTCTGTTAATGTTGTGGTTTCTGTCTATCCCAGACCAAGTGAGGAAATGGTGAAGATGATCCTGAGTCGGCCCTGTCACCCCGAGGACCAGTTCACCACCAGCATCCTCAGAAACTGGGCGTCAAAATATGACGACACACTGGGAGAGCACATCAAGGCCCAGCTGATCAAGAACAACAACCAGCCCCGAAAGAGACAAAGGTGAAGACTCCCTCAGTAATTTGTTTTAGACCATTTTCTGTGTGACAGTTGAAAACGAAGCTTCTGTTCTGTGTTTAGCCTTCGTAGTTCCAGCAGTAAACTGGCTCAGCTGACCTTGGAGCAGATCTTAGAGCACTTGGACAACCTGAGATTAAGTCTCAGCAACACAAAGAACAACTGTAAGAGCACTTCTGTTCAACAACAATCCGTCCTTGATGGTTTGGTAACTCCTGTTTGTTTCTGTCAGTCTTCACTCAGACTCCAATCCTTCAGGCTCTGCAGCACGTTCAGGCCAGCTGTGATGAAGCTCATAAGATGAGGTGATTGCGTGCAAACTGTGTACTGTCACACTCACTGGTGATGTCATGGTGACTTATGTTTTTTTGTGACATCACTTCCTCTCTCTGTAGGTTCAGTGACTTGTTTGCTCTTGCAGAGGAGTATGAGGACTCTCAATCAAAACCACCAAAGTCTCGGCGGAAAGCTCCAGCTTCATCGCCTCGCTCTCGAAAAGGAGTGGCTCCACCCACCAACAACGAGGAGGAGAGTGGATCCAGCTCTGCCTCGGTACGTATTCCTGTCGTTTACGTTGATATTAACAGGACGCCGGACAACTAAACTCTGTCCTGGAACAAGTGGAGAGTCTCATTATGAGCTGTGTTTTTTTTTAGAACTTCTCTTGTTTGACAGGATGACTAGATTGCTGTAAGTAGGGCTGCTCGATTTTGGCAAAAACGATAATCACGATTATTGTGACTGAAATGGAGATCTTGATTGTTTAGGACGATTTTTCAATTTATGTCGATTTTATTTGTTTTTATTCAGTCATAAAACTGCTCAGGACACAATGAGGACAAAAATAAATAAGAAACAAGATGATCACTAAAAGAACTCCTGATTCCCAGTATAAAAAGACCAATATACTTATAGCTCATAGTCTATGACCCAAGGGCTATAGACCTTGGTTTAACTCATGTAAGTCTAACCAGTACAGACCCAAATACCAATATCTTGCAAATACTGACAGCACGAATTATACAGTGGCATTTATTGCAAATAAATTGATGTTCACAAAATGTTGCGTAACATTTATTGAGTCGTGTCAAGGTGCTGTAGGAGAGTGCACTAGCACCGTGTCCTCAGAAAGATGAGTTATTAGTTATCAGCGTGAGGAAGTTATTTCTACCTTATTTATAAACTATTTATTTACAAGTCCATCATTTAATGTAATAATTGTCCCAACCACAGCTGCACACACACACCCCAACCCAGTCTCAGCAATCAGGGGCAAGGTGTACGTGTGTTTAGCGCGCTGTACGCGCCGTTTTTAGCGGCTCAGGAGTCCGCAGGTACGGTGTGTGTGTCACTCACTCTCGTTAATCCAACAAGGAGCCGACTCTGGGAGCGGTTTCTTTAGCGACCGACACATCACTACATCATTCCCTTTCCTAATGTCCTGAAGAACGGTCCGGAGCGCAGGCGGAGTGTTTAGCTAATCTGCAGGAAATGTCGACGACAGTTATCCAGAAAGTAGCTATCCAGAGATGTTTCTGAGGTGTTCGCTAGGTACTTTTAGGATTTAAAAAGTCAAGAAGGGGGTCTGAAAAGCTGTTAGAAATAGCGTCAAAGTCACCAAGTTGGCAACACTGTGGGAGGAGCGCTTCATTTGCAACTCGGGGCAGCGCAAGTGGGAGGAGCAAATAATCGGCTTGTTTTGTTTTTATAATTGTTCAAAACTCAGATCGTAATGGTGATTAAAATCCGATTAATTGAGCAGCCCTACTGTAAGTGTTTTTAAATTTAACTTTATTTTTTAATCTCAAACCTCACTAGGATAATTGCCATCTTCTCACCGAGATAAAAAAAAATTCTTCTCTTTTAAAATTAGGATCTAGCCTAGATAAAACAAAGAAGTAAGTACTATTAATTTACTCAGGCATATTTTGAAGACTTTTATTTATATTCAGACAAAAAGCCCCCCCAAAAAAATCTCTTGATTTTATTTGGTTTTCCAATATATTAAGAAGTAAATCAGTAGATTTGTAGTCCTAAAATAAAAAAGTGGAACATAATCTCCCTTGGAAACATGTCTTTTAAAGGGGCAACAAGTTAGATCTTTATAAAAATGTTTGTTCAAATTGACCCAATCGCATCATTTGTTCCTGATTTTAAATGTACCTTTGGGCAATCGGAACACCCGATCTCCACAAATTAGAGATACAAGCTTTTGCTGTGACATTCTTGTGTTTTGTAGGAGGAAGAAGACTCGAAGCCCAAAGCTCCTAAGAGGAAGCGGAAAGGCTCGTCAGCGGTTGGTTCTGACAGCGAATGATGGATCCTTGGACCAGTCACGCATACGCCAACAGAGGCCGCCAGCCGACCAGTCGCTCAACCACTGGAGGAAGCCCCAAGACGGGGTGTAGAGAGACAATGCAGACTTTTGCATGACAAGACTGATTCTGTTTCCATGGAGACAAAGACCAACTGCAGGCTGGCTGTTCTCCCTTGATGCCCTCGGAGGAGACACCACAAACTCTTGAACTAAATGGACTGATTTTAACAGCAACATTAATGAGCGTGACCCTTGCTCCTTTTTTTTACTGGAGGGTGGCACGGACTCTTCATTTGGAGCAAACTGACTTTCTGCTGTTTTTAGCAGCTCCTGCCTGTTTGTTTCACTGCAGTAAAAAAGCTACTCATCCGTTGTTAAGTCATGTCAGATGAATTCTTCATAAAAAAACAAACTGATGGTTTCAGGGCGTCGTAAGTCTGTTACTGGGGTGATGCTGCTTTTGGGCTCTACGGCAACACAAACAGAAAAGGATCATTCCAACATTTTTACAACGTGCAAAAAAAAAAACAGTTCAAAATAAAGTGATGTGGTCTTTCTGGCTTTTGGTAAAAACACACTTACATTTTTATCCATGGAAAAAAAAATATTTTTATTGTCAAAGCATCTTTTACATAAATTAATTTTAGGATTTTTTTAAAGTGGAACCGATACATCACAGGTTCTGATTCTGAACTTTGTGGAGTCAGAAAACAGCAGATGCCCTCTTGTCAGTGTTTTATTTACAGCCATGTGTCTTTACAAAGCCTTAATGGAGTCCGTGAGCTGTTTTAGAGCACATAAAATATAAGAAATAAACAAATGATGACCAGATCATGTCTGCAGAAGGTCCCAAAGAGCACCAATAACAGCATGGTAAAGATTTCAATTCATTTTATTTCATCGCCGCATTTATTTTACGGGGAAAAGGCATAAATGTTGGGTCTATCCAAGTCAGAACAATAAAATGATGTGGTCCAACATAAAGCAGGTAAGTTAATATATGTTGGCTATTTCCAATTTAATTTTCCTGTTTGGTCTGTAGTGAATCAGTTGAAATCATGAAAAGATAAGGTTCCTTGAAAAAGTCTTGACAGTAGGGGTGTGTGATAAATCTACATTTATTGGTTTAAGTCTAGTAAGTAAAACTGAGCCGATATTAACCAATATTTTTCCATCTGTCTGTTTCAGAAGGGGTATAATAAGTAATTATTTGGTCATATGACCAACGTTTTTCATGTTTTCTAAAAATCATTGAACTTTTTTGATATTTTAAACCACACTTTGGTATAAGAATCATAAATATTTATTATCAGCTCCTGAAAGGTTTCAGCTCAGAGAAATGAAGAATGTTTGTTAGGGCTGAAGAGCCAAGATGGATCTGCAACTTTTACAAAGAGAAGTTTTTCCATCAGTTCACCTAAATAAAACTTGTTAGGATCCCCAGCTACTGCAGGTCCTTTTGAAGAGACTATATCATTTTTCTAATAAATACTTACAGATGACCCGCGACCCTACGTGGACAAGTGGGTTCAGAAAATGGATGGATGGATGGACTTACAGATGAGAAATAGGGCCAATGAAAAAAGTTATTTTTTAAAAATAGAGCAGAAGGGGGAAATTTTGGTGCACAGCTGCAATCACAATCCCAACAGGAGCAAATAATCAATAAATAAATTTATATCATTAGAAAAACAACAATTAATTTTATTTATTACAATAACTTTTGCAAATAAATTTTGGATATTTTTTCCCATAATGAAACTGGTGGAAAATTAGTCAAAATACCATAAATATATCTAAAAATATTATTTGATCTCATTCTATTATTGAAATTCAAAGCAGTTATTCGATAAATATTAATTAAAAAGTGGGTTAAACCTACATGTTTTGCTATTTTAAAAAATATTGATTTTATTCTCAACATTTTAGCCAAAGCCATTGAAGTTGTAGACACTTCAGATTCCTAAACTTAGCCCTATAATAAAGACCGTTCCTGCCATCTAAAAAACCCAATAACAATATTATTTTATAAACCTTCCATTTTGCATATATGCTGCTTCTTATGGAGTAAGTATCATCTTTGAATTTTGACACTGAGTTTTCAGAAGCACAATAAAATTGTGTGTATTTGATAGATCTTTTGAATTTAGGGGGAAAAAATCTAAGAAAATCAAACAATGAAAGCACAAAAAATGCTATGGGCGTGTGTTTTGTTTAAATTGTTAGGCCTCGACCAGGCCTCTAATTGAATCGGATTGGATTCAGCTGCTCCTGCTGCATATAAACCAGATTCATACCAGATCCGAACAGAATCACACACACAGAGTGGTGGAGAAGTGCGCGCTGATCCAGCTGCAGGGGTTATTTTGGTGCGTCAGGTAAAATTTTACACTTGAGACTTTTCATGACACAAATGAATAATAAATTTTGGAGATTATGTCTGTCGCTTTGCAGGCTCAAGCATCATGTCAGCTGTTAAATCCGGAGTGTCTCTGCGGACGCTGGTTCTGACCCCAGAGCGGATCCCGAGCTTCCTCATCCCTTCCTCCCGTAGTCCGTTCGTCACCCCGAGGCTCCGCCGAACTTCCACCGACCGAACCAGACTGCTGTCGGACAATGATGATCAGGACTCGTCGGGAACTAGCCAACCTGGATCTCCAACCGACCCCGTGATCTCGCCCCGGTTCGCGCTTCGCCTGCCAACGCCGCGGACCGGGCGGCTCCGCCGCACCACAGCTACGGATGAAGCGTCCGTCGACGCGGACGCGGACCGGGCCACGAGAGCAGCCATGTCTCTGTGTCACGTCCCAAAGGTGACTACGTCATACGGATTCCGAGCAGTCTTGTCGGCGAGTCCGTGCACACGCCGGCGAGAGTCACTCTTCCACAGAAGCGAGCCCGTGACCGTTAAGATCAACGATGTTGAGTCCCCGGAACCGGAGGGGGCTCTCTCTCTCCCTCTCCCTCTCCCTCATCCTCCTTCTCCGTGTGACCCAGGCAGGTCCCGGGTCAGCATGCGGCCCGTGAAGGCTCTCGGTCTGCAGATGATGATGGAGCTGAAAAAACCAGCTGCTGCTCTGCGGGCTCTGACTCCATCCCGGAACGCTTCTCATCGCAAATGATAGACCGGACACTTTTAACAGCAGGACCGAATGAGATTTTTTTTAAATGTATTAATAAAGGATTTTAAAGGATTTTATATCTATCTCTTAATGACTCGAACTCTAAACTTTATGAGGTCAAACTGCCAACAAGTAAAGTCTACAGAAATAAAGGATGTGACTAGACAAGGACTAAACCAGCATTTGAATGTCTATTGCGAAAAGTATTTGCTCGATAATGCATGAAAAGGGCCAGATTTGACTCGTAGTAGGTTATGTTTCGTTTGGAAACTGTAGATTTGAGCTGTTCCTATTGTCAGAATATGGGTAATGATTCCAGATATGAAGCTAAATTGGCATTTTCTAGAGCCAAAATTGTGAAATTACAAAGATTTTTCCATGTATATAATTGGGGAAAGTCTTTTCCTGGTCCATGATTTTGGTTAGTGTCAATTAAAAAAGGGGTATACGAAATGCATCCCTGCTTTCCGTTCATGGCTAACGGAATTTTAATGACTTAGTTTCTTTTTCCCGAACATAAAACTACTACCGCCCTTCATGTGGGTTATGATCAATGAACGGTTTGTACAAAATCTGTATAAAATTGTTTTGATTTCCCATTTGAAACCCCTCTGGCAAGTGCCGCATGCAAAAATAAACAGCTGATTTTATATAATTCATAGTAGCTATAGTTAGAAAAAGGCAATTAGTTCAACTACCAAAAAGCAAAAAGTAAAAGCCCCGTTATAAATAACAGTTGTTTCAATGACGTGCGGCGCGACGTAGTGACGTCTCAAGCACTGCGACGCCGGAAATGTAGTTTTGGAGGTAGAAGTGCCTGCTAGTTGTGGCGGTAAGCGTGTTGTCATATCATGGGAGTTGCAACTGAGTTATTGTTAGGAATTAATTTAGTCTAAAACAAATGGGTCGGTAGAGACGGCTGAACCGGACACGTACCGGGTCTGGTTGCTCTCTGTAGAAACTGGTCTTCGAACTAACTTTAGCTGCTGAGTTTTTAGCTTCCTAGCTATCTACACAAACACACACACACACTTCTGTGATTTCGGATATGATAACAGCCTGAACTCTTGAAAACCGAAGGTAAGTCTACCTCCAGTCTCTAATTGGAGCAGAAGCCAACATGTCTGGTTATACATGCTGTTTCAGCAGCTCTTGGAGTGAAACTGCATTTTAACCTGTCAACCATATGCTTTATAGTCTATAGCGGAAATGCCATAAAGTAAGTTTGTGTTTCTTTTCCCCTCCAAAACTCAATCTAATGTTTGTTTTTTGATTTGCTGAGTGTTTTAGCATGTTAGCAGATTAGCCTGGACCTCCGATCATCATTATTAACTAAAGCACTTAAAGATTAACTTTCATTTTGAACAACTTTAATGTTACAGACATTTCTTCTGCCTAATTTTGTTAACATTACAGAGGTCAGAGGTCATGTTTCTCCACAATGAACCCAGTCCGCAAACGCCTCAAGTTGAGCCCATCCAAACCACATCAGATCCTTGGCAGCACCAGCACCACCCAGAATGTTTGGCCACCTCATGACGCTTCGTTGCTGCCAGCAGCCAGTGCAGGAGTGGAGGTGGAGGTGGAGGAGGAGGAGGGTCACCTACTGGTGGAGGAAGACACAACTGACTCCAGCCTCATTATCACCATGGGTAAAAACAAATAAACTCTCTCTTTTTGGCTTGGTCAGATCATTGTGGGTGTCCTTTCCAGTCATATTGTTTTAAACCAGCGGTCTTTGTACTGATGAGTGCAATATTTGTACTACAGAAGACAATCAGATGGAAGTTAAGACAGCGAGGAGAAAAGCATTGAAAAAGAAAAAGCAGACACTGGATGAGGAGGAAGTTAGTGAGAAGAGCAGAACCTCAGAAACGGAAGAAGAGGAGGAGACCAGAGTGGACGTAGAGATCGACAGACAGCTGGACCAGTCCCTGGAGACAAAGTCCAAACAACACAATCTCACTGCTGTGAATGTGAAAAACATCATTCATGTGAGTTCATCCACCTGGAGACATAAGACGAGCTACTGATTAGTAGTTTGTCTTTTCACTGCCAGAATGTCACATCTGCTTTGCTTTTTGTGTTTTTTTATAAATAAAATAGAGCTAAATGTTATTTATTAGGGTGTAAAAAGTTCAAGTTATTTATATAAAAAATGTGCAAAGCTTTACACAAACCTAGATGTTTAAATCTGACAGCTTTTGTTTGCTTCACAGGAAGTGATCACTAACGAGCACGTGGTTGCCATGATGAAAGCCGCCATTAATGAGACCGAAGCTGTCCCTCCATTTGTCAGTTTGACATCCAGTTAACACTTTTATTCAAGTTATAAGCCACAATATGTTAAATTGTTTTTTGTTAAAGTATTTTTAACACATTAAACCTATATTTTTTTTTACTTTTTCTAGGAGCCTAAAATGACTCGATCCAAGTTAAAAGAAGTGGTTGAGAAGGGAGTGGTGAGTTTTTGATTTATAGGATTCAGAAATCCCATAAAACTGGGTTCCTTATGTTTGTGTTTCCTGTCAGGTGATTCCCACCTGGAACATCTCCCCCATCAAGAAATGCAACGACGCAACCAAGGTAAAACTGACAGACTTTTCTATTTCATATATTTTTGAGTAGAATAAAAATCAAATGACTGAATGTTTCTCTTCAGGCTCCTCAGTTTGTGGACATCCCACTGGACGACGAAGACTCCTCTGATGAAGAATATCGTCCTGATGAAGAGGAGGAGGATGAGACGGCTGAAGATGTGAGGCTTTGTTTTTAGTCGGCTGTGACTTTCACACTGATGATTAACGACTGATTACTGATTGCAGACGTTCCAAGAGAGTGACATGGAGAGCACAGCTTCGTCTCCCAGAGGGAGTCGATTGAATCGAGTGGAGGAGGACAGCTGCAGCCCCTGGCAGGTAACAGCTGCTCTTTGTTTACAAGAAAAAGGTGGATCTGGTTTGGTATTATTACACCTTCAATTATTTAAATTCTAGATGGAAGAATAGCCTGGTTGCATTTTAAAGCAGTGGTTAAACCTCCTCCTTCTTCAGACTTCTCGAGCTCGGTCCAGACGGTTGAAGGTGGGGTTAATGGGACCTCCCCCTCCCCCCAAAGCCCCGCCTCCTAAAGGGATAACTGACAGCATCTTCCTGGAGAGACTACATGCTGTTGAAGAGGAGCTGGCAGATTGTATGGAGCCCTACCAGGTGATGCCAAATGCTACAGGGACGAATACGGTTTCAGCTGCTTGCAACAGAAACAAAAATTAAAAACAAATTCAGGACATCTAAAAAAAAAATCCCCTACTGGAACATGATTCAATGTACTTTTGTGTGTGTTTCATTCAGCCCATGTCTGAGTCTGAGGAAGAATCTGGTGTGATGGCATGCCGGACTCGGTCCAAGCGTCCTCTCCGGAATGTCCCACTGGGTCAGCTGGAGGCGAAGCTCCAGGCTCCTGATATAACTCCAGACATGTACGACTCCAGCTCTGCTCCAGAGGACAAAGACTGGACTGACTGGTTGAGGGGCCTGATGACTTCAGATGTTGATAATGAAGGTGAGCGTTTGTTTCAGTGTCTGCTTCAGAAGCGTCTCATCATAATGGAGATCAGTGACATCACCACCTCTGTGTCTGTGTCTTTAACAGAAGAGGGTGATGACGAAGACGATCCAGAGTACAACTTCCTTGCAGACACTGATGAACCCGACTTGGAGGATTACCGTGACGACAAGGCAGTCCGCATCACAAGTCAGTACTTTGTAAATATAAAGAGATCATTTTATCACTGGATTTGCTGATAACCAGAACAAAATGCAATTGTGCGTTGTGGGAACTTGAGGGCTGTTTACATCAATGTGTCTGTCCAATCAGCAGGGAAGTACACCATCTCATTACTGAGAGTACAATTACCAATGCCTTCAGTTTTCCCACAAAAGGTCCTCACATCTCTCCTACTGGGCCTTTCCACCAGACGCGTAAGCGTTGCAAGTTTGCAAAGAGTAGTATGCAGCAATCGGTCGCTGTTATAGAGCTCCGGGAGTTGACGTCACTTCTCCCGGCATGCAACAGTTCAAATCGAAACGGCGCCATATTGGCATGCAGAAGCCGGCAGCTGGACTATTTGTTTTTGTCAGAAAACTCAATCAGACAGGAAATATGGTAGATTCCTGTAGTGCACCAGGATGCAGAACAAACGCGGACGACATAAGGAATGAGCCATCTACAGGATTCCCCAAGATCCGGAGCGCCGCAAACGTTGGATCATTGTAATAAAACGAGCTAGTGACCGGGCTGAAATGAAACTGTGGGATCCCGAGAGTAAAGGTTTTCGCTTATGCAGCAACCGCTTCCTATCAGGTACTTAAACCAACGTTTCCTCAACTGTGTGTGGTATTTATTTTAAATGCTTTTATTACGATTCTTAGTGGGCTTCCTAAACTTATTTTGGCGTGGCTTTTTCTGTCTTATTACTCATAGCAACAAGTAAACGTCACGTAAAACGTTGCCTCGGGATTTCTGCGTGCTGCCGTTTACGTGTCATGATCACAGCAATTAACCGGCTAAGCTGGATTTAATTTTTAAGCAATGGTTGATCAATTGTCAGATCACACATAAAAAGCACTTTGGATTGCTATTATCTGTCTCACCGAGACAGATCTCAGACGGATCCTGAGACACTTCTGCCTGACATTTTTATTTTATTCATGGAAAAAAATCAAACTAGTGATTTCTCTTGGCGTTCAGTTTATACATTCAAACAGCACAGCACTCTGTTTAAACTACTTACGTGTAAATCTGTTATTTGTCCATCCATTTTCATCCGCGTATCCGGAGTCGGGCAGTAGCGTCGAGAGGCCCAGACTTCCCTCTCCCCAGCCGCCTGAGCCAGCTCCTCCGGGTAAATCCCAAGGGGTTCCCCGGCAAGGTCCGGTAAGAAGTCCGCTCCGACAGCTTCTGGCGTTTTTAAAAAGTATCCCAGGGGCACGGTAAGGGTCGGAGATGTTTAGTCTATTTAATTACTGACTATATAAAACAATTTCTTCGGTTTTAAAGTGTGAAGTAAACTCCGATGGAGTAAAATCCAAGCCGATCCCGTTTACGTTCATGGTTAGATCCGTGTTTGTTTAGCTTCTTTTACCTGCCAATATGGCGTCTACTAACTGAGAGTCACGTGGGGTCCGGAGTTCTTTAGTGGATGGGCACGTTTCCAGTGTACAGAGGCTTTGAATCTACTTTTTATGTGGTATTTTTCCAGAACATGTCAAGCTCGAGTGCTGCTTTTAGCCATTCACAGGCAAGATATCCGAATATCAGGAAATAAGACTTCTACCCTCTTCTGCTCACCTCTGCTCTGGCTTACTTCTAGTTCCTGAAACAGGAGCGCCAGAGCTTTTTTTCCCCACAGAGGTCAACTTACAAGGCGTTCATTTAAGGTAGAGACCACTGAGTGAACTTGGTCTTTGAAAGAAAACTGACACATTATGGTTTAAAAAAAAAGGAGTTTTTTTTCTCTTCAGGTCAGGGAGAGTGATACTCTAGCGCCCCCTATCGATGAGTCACCACTTCCTGTTAAGCTAAGTTACCAGTGTCATGTTCTTTGTCTCCACTGCAGAAAAAGAGGTGAATGAGCTGATGGAGGAGCTATTTGAAACGGTACAAACTCTTCATTCATTCATTCATTCATTCAGCAGTGATCCTTTTGCTCATGCTGTTTACAAAAATACAAACCAAACAAAGTGGCATAGTGAACTGTTGGTCTAACACATGAGGCAAACCTTGCTTGTTGTTTGCTCATATTTTGGTTAATCGTATTTTTTTCATCAGCTGAAAGAAGACCTGGCTGGTCAGGAAGTGGATGAGGAAGGCCATGAGGAAGAGGAGGAGCCACAGGAGGAAGCACTTACTGTTCAGACACACACACTTGAAGACCGAGACATGTGTGTAACACAAAAAAACACAATCATCCAAAGAAATATTTCTGTCTTACTGACATTAGTTTTATTCACCCTTAGAGGGGCAGCTGATGAGGAGGCAGACGACGGACCAATCACAGAGCTGCGTACGGTGAGGCAGCAGCTGGATTTGATCAGGAGGAGACGGCAGACAAATGCTTTCTACAACATACAAAGTCCAGAACCGTACATGCTGAAGCTCAATGCCCTGCAGAAGCAACGGCTGCAGCAGCAGCTTCAACAGGTACAAACTCTTAAGTTTCGTTCCTGTGAGACAAAATAGAGGCAAAAATTCCCCAAGCATGTACAGCTCTCTATTTCTGCTGCTTTCAGCATGTCCAGCTGCTGATTCAGATTCACCTGCTGACTTCACCTGTCCCCAAACTGCACGGTGAAGCCGAAACCACCCGGCAGTTCCTGGTAACTCACACAGCTGGAATTAGATCTATATGTCGGTAAAATACTGAGTCACATGTTTATTCTAATGTAAACAAGTCTAAGTGATATATTTTTAATGTCTGTCAGTTTGAGTTGGACATGTTGGCTCAGAGAGGCGAGCTCATTGGGTCTGCAGGTTGTCCGGGTTTCCGCAGCGCCTTCAGAGCCTCCAACCTCCAGGAAGCGCTGGAGCTGCTGGAGGAGATGCGACAGACTCCCATCAATTATCAGCCACAGCGTCACAAGCCTGACGCAAGAGGGCACAGTGAGTAGCCTGCAGCTTGGAATCATGGGAAATTTAGGCGATCAGCTGATTATTTTTAAGAATTCTGAATGATCCAGAGATTTGCTGTTATGTTTGTCCTATTGGGTGCTGATCTCAGCATTTGATTAATGGATCTACTGTCAGAGGGTCAGATTTAACAAAGAGTGTGAATAAGCTTGTGTTTTCCTCTTTGTGCTGTCAGTGCGCTGTTTCCCTGTCATGCCAGCTGAGCTGGCCTGGTTATTTGCCACTCGTCCGGTGTTCCTCCACCCAGAGCTCCTGCCCTCTGCCAGCCTGGATCCTGCTATGTACTGCCCCCGCAGGACGGCGGCTTTCACGTCAGCTGAGGACTGGTAACGCACACACACACGCATGCACTCAGAGACTTACAGGTATAGTGGATTCATCTGATAACAACTCTGGGCAAATATCTCCTCTCACCGTTTCATCAGTCTGCTGGTGCTTGGCCTAAGGAACATGGAAGGGGCGTGTGATTCACCAAAGCTCGTATCTCAGTTCCTGCTGAGGAAAACTGTGGTGCAGGTCAGACGAAGAATCCTGCAGTGTTGCAGACCGGGTACTCCTGACAACATCGTCAAGGTATTGCAGACCCTCCGTTAACATGCCGGGTGGCTCAGCTCAGAGTGACTGACTCTTGATCCTCTACAGACCTTCAGGTATCAGCAGGTTGTGCGGCCGATGCCAGTAGCCTGCCGCCATGTTGATCCTGTGACGCGACGCCCACCTGTGGAGAGAGAAGAGGACATCCTGCCTCTCTGGCTCGTGGTACATAAACTGTTTACCTGCTTGGTTAAGGCACCAAAATGAAAATACTCTGGAGCACAAGCAGTCATGTGCAGAAGTTCCTGGAACTGTTTTGGATCGATATTTAAGGTTAACTGGACTAAACGTGATGTTTATTTCATTCCAGCGGAGCCTCCCTGTCATTTATCCCACCATCAGACACTTCAACAGTCCTGCTGGCCCCAACCCGGAGGTCCCGCCCTCCTGCAGGAGGACCAAGGCCCGCCACAGTCATTTGGCCTTTGTGCGCTCTGCTCCTGCCACCTACACCTTCCCACCTGAGACCAAATACCCACCTCATCTCCCCAAGAACCTAGACTTTAAGCGCTTGGGCTTTGTCCTGATCCAGCAGCACCTCCCTTCTCCTCCTCATGACTCCTCTCAGTTCTCTGAAGCTCCTCCCAACTCCTCCCCACCAAGTTCACCTCAAGCCCCCTTGCAGCGCCTCCTTCTGTCCAAAGCTGCTGGCATGAGAACTGCCTCCACTGTCTCCATGGTAACCATGGAGCAAATTCGACATCACTCTCAAACGCTTGCTGGATTGAGGAAGAACAAGAGGGCGGCTGCTGCAAGGAAACGTTACCCAAACGAAGAGGAAAAGAGGAGGAGTGATGATGGAGTTGCTGCTCTTTCTCCTCCTGAAGGTCCTGCCTCCATACAGGAGATGAGTGATGATGTCATCAGGGTGAGTGAAGAAGAGGTGGAGGAGGAGGGTGAGGTACTCCTGGCCCTGTCTGAATCTTCGCCCAGTGCTTCAGGAAGTGTCGCTCAGGATGACGACCTGGATGATCCAAAGGAGGCGGAATCAGGAAGTGAACAGGAAGTGACTTTGATCCCATATAAAGTAGCAGAAGATGATGAAGGAGACAAGTTTTCAGATGGATCCAGATCGTCTGTCAGCCAGCAGAAGGTCGAATTATTTTATTTCAAATTTTTTTTTAAATGCAGCCGATCACACCTTAAAACACAAAATATTATCAAGTTATTAAAAAATTTGATGTTTAACCAACTCCAGAACTTTATAATTTGTATTTTAGGAAGAACAGTCTTCAGAAGAAACGGACGACGATGATAGCGATGGTGATGATGACGAAGACTATCAGAGGGAGTCTGAGGATATGGTGTTTGCTCAAGATTATCTCCAGCGAGTAAGTTCACTAAATCTTGTTCTGTTTGTTTTAACACCCAACAGGTTCCCTGCTTCTCGCTCCTGCCTGTTGAAAGCAGAATAACAACAGTCATGAACAACCCTGCCACAGCTGCTGTAGCTAGCGCTAAAACAAGCTAACAATAACACGAGTCTATTTACACTAAAATAACCACAAAGTAAAAAGATCCACACTGTTGTCCAGTAGCAACAAAGCCATGTCACCATCAGTCTGTGATGTCATAGGCTTCATCAACTCCCTCAAATGAGTGTAGTCCACTCTGATGGTGCTGATGCTTTTAGCTCTTTGCTTCCAAAGGGAATATAGTGTCCTGCACCTATTTCCTGCATTAGCTCCTGATAGAGAATAGACAGAAAACTGTTCAGTTCAGTAACGCCTGACAGATCTACGTCACACTGTCATCATTTAGCATTTATGAACTCACCCATCTTGGCTCGTGACGGGGAAGGCTGTTCCTGATTTATCGTCCAGGAGAGAGCAGAGCACGTCCCGAATAGTAGAAGCTAACCATTAGCATTAGCGACTCTACAACACCGCAGAACTCTTTCAGGCTTGTGTTGTTTGTGGAATTAATACATTAACGTTGCAGAGTCAGTGACTGTCGTTGCTGTTAAATGACCCGCACTTGTATAGCGCCTCTCAGAGTAAGGACTCCAAAGCGCTTTACACTACAGTGTATCATTCATCCATTCAAACACACATTCACACACACTGGTGGGGATGAACTACGATGTAGCCACAGCTGCCCTGGGGCGCACTGACAGAGGCGAGGCTGCCCAGCACAGGCGCCACCGGTCCGTCCGATCACCACCCGCAGGCAAGGTGGGTTAAGTGTCTTGCCCAAGGACACAACAGCAGAGTTCTCTGTCCGGAGCCGGGATTGAACCAGCAACCTTCCGATTTCTGGACAACCCGCTCAACCTGTTGAGCTACTGCTGCCCTAAGCAGAGCACGTCTCGAATAGTAGAAGCTAACATTAGCATTAGCGACTCTACAACACCGCAGAACTCTTTCAGGCTTGTGTTGTTGGTGGAATTAATACATTAACGTTGCAGAGTCAGTGACTGTCGTTGCTATTAGTCAGTCATGAGGCAAGATGTTTGAATGTCAGGAAATAAGCCTCCAAAACCTGCGGTCTGCTGCCACTTTCTCCTCCAGCTGACTTCTATGTCCTCTAACAGGAGCATCAAAGCCCCCCCCCCCCCCCCCCTCCCCAGAGGACATCTTACAAGAGATTCATTTCTAATATAGCCCTCTTCAAAATGTATTAAAATGTGAGAAATCGTGATCTTTAAGTGCAGTTTCTGGTCAGCAGAGAGCTACAGAGTGTTGGCCAGTGTGAAGATGATCAAGTTTCGGGATCAATAACTATTGAAACCAGTTTGAAACCAATAGCTTCAAGTCTTAAAAACGTTTAGTGTTAATTTAACTTCAGTTTTCATTTGCGTTTAAAAGAATAAAATGGATTGTGATCTTGGAGTGCCCCTACATGTCAACAGTTTTTCTGTTCAGGTTTGTGAAGTGGTGCAGTACCACCCAGGCCTTTCTGAGCAGCTGTTGCAGGTGTTGGATGAACTTTCAGCTGTGGGACCTTCAGTGGCCCTGGGGACCGTTGAGGTCTTGTATAACAGACTAAGTTGTGTCCTGCAGTCCTGGCCTCAGCTACTCAAAGACTTTGCTGCCTTCCTGAACCACAAACAGGCTCGTAGATGTGGACTGGTGGGTGGAAACGCTGCGGCTTTACACGATTTTGACTCCGTTTACGAATTTAAACATTTCCTTCTTTGTCTAGCTGTTGGAGCAGCAGCTGTTTGAACACAGCAGGCGGTTTCTACGGCGACTGGGGTGGAGTCTGGGAGAAACCTCCTCAATCTACCAACAGGTGGTTTCTCTGCTGCAGGGAGGCTCCACCCCCTCATCAGAGGACATAGACAAGGTAGACCATCCACAGGAAGCAGCTTGTCTAGAATTAAATTCAAATTAGTTTGACTGTAAAACGTGTGCAGTTGTGATATTAACTATTCCACACTCTGATTTGTTTTCGTCTCAAACTTCAGTCCAGAAGAAGCAGCCATTAAGCTTTTCACTGATTTCTCCTCTCAGGTCTCCTCTCTACTCAGACACCATCCAGACCTGCAGGAGGAGGTCCAGGGTTTCTTCCAGCAGCTCCACACCGGTTCGTCCAAAACCACTAAAATGAACTCCGCAACCCAGAATGCCCATGACCAGAAGACGACGGTGGTCATCAATACTCCACTGGGAAGTGAGAGTGAGGAAGAGAGGGAGCAGCGAGCCGTCTGTGCTAAGAACATCACCGTGACGTCTAATGGAGAGAAGGTCATCGTCTGGACTCGGTCAGAGGAAAAGACACACATTTTAATTAAGATACACATTATAGAAGCGGGAAATGCTTGGTAACATTTAATTTAATTATATTTTATTGGGAATTTAAAAGAAAAACTGCTGATCTTTTTGTTAAACACACTAAGAGAGGATTTAGATTAAAGTAATAAAGATTTTGTTCCTTTTGGGTTTTTTCCTGCACATTGGGAAGAAGTTCTGTTTGTTTTTAACATTCCCTGTTTAGCATAAATCTGAGAAACACACTCGAGGACGTTCGGGTCTTCTCTGTTTCAGTGAGGCTGACCGCATCATCCTTACATCCTGCCAGCAGAGAGGAGCCAACAGAGAAACATTCAGACAAGTGTCTTCCCAGCTGGGAAATAAAACTGTGCAACAGGTGAGAGTAGGCGGAGCTTCAGTGTTCAGTGTATCAATTTTCTTTTACATATAAATAACACTTTCTTCCAGGTATGTCTTCGTTTCCAGGAGCTCATGAAGCTTTTCCTCTCTGCATCTCAAAAGTCCACTTCCTGTTCGCCGGAGGGCCAGCCGCTGAGCAGACACAGCGTAGCTCCTGACTGAACCAGAAACCTAAAGAAAGGCCTTATTGATCACAAAGCGGGCTTCTGAGCGAGGATTACTTCAGGCTTGCACCACAGGCTAGGGCTGTTTCAGTTCCTGATTATCTCTTAAATGTCACCAGAATGACAAATAAACTCTGACCTGCTGAATGAACTGGTCATGTAACGATCCAGACTACGTGGAAAAGACTTCTAGATGAAGTCTGTTTGAATTCCACTGAGAACACATTCAGATAGTATTTGTTGCCTAAGTGAGTCAGCCACACATGTAGTAGTAATAACCAATATCCTGTTATTATAAAAAAAAGCCATATTTCTTTATCTCCATCTAGATTTGATGGCTGAACAAGAGTGTTCCTTCCCAGCTTTAGGCCTGATATCTTCACTGTTAATGCCTCATGAGTAATTCAGTTTGTCTCTGAGTTCAGGTGTGATGCACTCAAAACAGGTGAGACTAAAACCTAACCTGGTCTGTTGAAGTCTGGTGCAGATGTTTGTTGTTTTTATATTTTACATCCTGCTTGCCAAGCAGTAAAAATCACTATACCATGTTTAACTCTGAACCAACTTTTGTGGATTATTTTTATTATTACATGAATTTAAAAAGTAGCTTCCTCTTTAGTTTGAACAGATTTGGTTTTATTAAAATCTGAAATTGTTCTGGGCAGATTGTCGATAATCTTCTGCAGTTTTGATTCACTTGCGTCATTTTTTTCAAGAAGTTATGAAGGAGAGTGGGGAGCGTAGTTTGTCTGATTGTGGTGTTTGTTAACCTCGTTTCCATGTTCTGGAAGGATGCGCCTGCATTCTGCGATGGTTAGGAAATGTTTGTTTATTCACATTGAATATGAATGACTCCAAGTCATATTTAATAAAGAGATTTTATTTTTACATTTCCCAATTAATGCATTTGTCTTTGTCTTCTTGTTATCATCCATTTGTAATATATAATAAAAGCTTTTGACAAGCAGCTGAAATATTCATGCTGTTTTAATAACAAAAATACATTTTGTGTTTACCTCAATATTTGTCAAGCAGAAAAAAGAAATTCTAGATATTTTCATTCAGAAAAAAGAAAGGCCTAAGAATTATTTATAAACTGGCAGGTGATTTGACCACAGGAATGGTTACATCACATGTGTTGTTGGACCAATGGGCGTCCAGCGTTCCGGTATTTTTCAACAAGTCCCGCCTTTCATCTGACGGCTAGGTGTTATGGTCAAGTTACAGGAGATACGATCAAAAACCGATTATATTCTTCAAACTAAAAGCATCATGTTACACCCTCCCTTTAATGGAAAGGTTAAAGTAAAAATTTTAAGAAAACAAAAGGTTTAATAATAAGTTTTAAATAAATGTTCCCAAATTTAACTTTTGACTTTAATTTATTCATTCAAAATCAGCATATGCTTTTTATTTTGAAAGCTACACCCGGAAATCAATCAGTTAGTGTTTCTTCGTTTTGATTGGCCACCGTTCTTCTGGCTCCGGGATGATGGTCGCATCTTTTTGATGTGCTTTTATTTTTTCCGTGTTAGTCCGGGTCTATTTTGTCTACACCGTGATGTCCGTCATCTGTCTGCTTCCAGCCGTCTCGCTGGCGTTGCTGTCTTTTTATCCGGTCACCGTGTTTTCACGCCGGGACGTGCTCGAGCTCGGGGACGCAGACTTCGACTACCTGGCAACGGAGCACGAGACCATGCTGGTGAAGTTCTACGCGCCATGGTAACCTAGCATAGTGATTTATGTTAGCTGTTTTTGTTGGGTTAAGGTGTTTTTCCTCTTTTGTCTCTTTTATGTTTTTATTTTATTTTACTACTTTCATTCTTAATTTCCTGTCTTTCTTTTTTATTTTATCCTTTCAGGTGTGGTCACTGCAAGAAATTAGCTCCAGAGTTTCAGAAAGCAGCTAGGCGACTGAAGGGGACTGTTCAGTTCGCAAAGGTAATAACATGAGTATGCATGCACAGTAGGGATGCACTGATACAAATTTTTTTGGGCCAATACCAATTGTTGCAGATACCGATATGTATATACGCGCCGACATTTATGCTTCTGGAATCAGCAAATTATGTATAGACAGAAAATTATGCTAGCAGAAATTTTTAATGTTTTGCTTTATTTCTATAAAGTGGAATTTGCAATTTATTATTATATACACACGACCAGGGCCGGAGTGGGACACATTTTCAGCCCTGGAGTTTCAGACCCCAGACCGGCCCACTTAACGAATTGTTATTAAAATCATGTTAGAACTTTATATGTATAGTCTACAAAGGCACACTACTCGGTAAAGCCTTGTAATTCAGTGCAAGAAAGAGTTGCTTTACAATGCATATTTGAACATCAGTGCACATCTCCAACATTGTTCTTTACAACACATTCTCTAACAATATAACAATCTACCTTCTGTTCAAACAGCTGTTCTGAGATTTTCAAACCTTTAAAATGAAATGACTCAGCACTCCCTTTCACACTTTTTCCAGTTTCCCTAGACTCACCTGCACACAATTAAAATAATCATCTGTAAAGCTTTGGCACATTTGATATGGAAATCACATTTTTTGTAACCAATTAAAATATTTTCTATGGCAAAATATGCAGGCTTATTTCATTTTACTTTCATTCTAATAGCGATCTGTTGTGGGCTTTGTGCATTTACTAACAGAAATACATCAGGTCACTACTATTATTTGGACATTAAAATTATTATAATGAAACTGATGTTTGCTTGTTTGCACATGAGTTGGCTCACTTTCTATCCGAACAGGAGCAATACCCTCACTGCTGGCTCCTGGCTCTTCTTCTGACACTACATTGTGTGAAAATGGTCACAATTCAGCATTCATTTTCCTTTTTTACACACTTTCTGATCAATGCTGAATCATCTAGTATTTTAGAACACTTTCATATAGAGTCAGGATAGTTTTCATCATATAAATTTTAATAATATTCAGTTCACTGACTCAATAAGTAATCCTACCTGTACATGCCCGCTCTGGAACGGTGGGTTTCTGCCTGGTGCTTATTAGGCCTACTGGATCTTGTGTTTGACTCTGAGGGGCTACAAGGCAGTTTGGTGGCATCAGTCACATCATACTGTTAACTATATTACATAACGTTATGTCATGACGCCATATAATTCATTATTGATGCTTAATTAACTTGAATGGTGATTTGCAGCCGGTAAAGTTTAACATCTTGACTTGCCTTACCCGTTTTATCTTCATTTGAAGTTAAAGACCGCGAGCTTGTTTGAGAAAAAAAAGGTGCTCATTTTTGCACATTTATCTGCATCTGTTTCCAGCGCTTTCCTCTTTTTAATTCTTGCCTTCTCCGCGCCACCCTTGCTCTTTCTACTTTCCATCTTTCCGTCAACTGCGTGGTCACGTGGTGCGCACAGGCGCATACGGGAAAAAAAACAACGAGCTGCAGCCTGCAGGTAGAGACAGCCGGGAGGAGCGTATGTGATCAGCCCGGCGGCCTCAGTGCCATGACTGAACACCGGCACCAAAAAATAAAAATAAAATGATAAAAAACAAAAACGAGAGCACCGACCGCATGCGGCCCAAACATCGCGCGGCCCACCGGGAATTCTCCAGACCCTCCCGATTAGCCACTCCGGGCCTGCACACGACACACATTTATGCTTCTGAGATGATTATCATGATTATCATCACTGTCACAGGACTGAATGTCGTCGTCGTCCCCCCCCCCCCCCCCCCCCCCCCCCCAGATACACAAATAGAAACAAGATTGAAAAATCATTGGTTGTCAATATCGGCCCACTTTTACTTTTCGGACCGATACCGATTTGTTAAAAGATGACTAACATCGGCTGATACCAATATATTGTGCATCCCCAATTATCATTGTAAACAAACATCACACCTGACCAGTGTGTCTCACCTGTCTGCCAGGTGGACTGTACAGCACACACCGTAACCTGTGGTCGATTTGGGGTCACGGGGTATCCCACTCTGAAGATCTTCAGGTACGGAAAGGACTCTGCACCCTATGATGGACCTCGAACTGCAAGTAAAAAATAAATAATAGAAAAAAAATTGGTTAAAATGTCATGAAGTCAATAATAATGAATATGTAAATATCTATGTGAATTCAGATGGAATCTATAACTACATGATGAAACAAACTGGTCCAGACTCGGTTCATTTAAAGTCTAAAGGAGACCTCCAGACCTTTGTCAAAAACTACGACGCAAGCATTGTTGGTATGACTGATGTACAGCGTGGGACTTTGTCGCTTAGCTTTGTTCATAAACAATGAAGACTTTATACGTTTTTTTTAATCACACGTGTTATTGAATTGATGTTGTGTGTGTGTGTGTCTCAGGTGTTTTCTCAGATAGTGACAGCTCCCATCTAGCTGAGTTCCTGAAAGCTGCTGGTCTGTTGAGAGGACAGTTCAGATTTGCTCACATCACTGATCTGCAAATTGCTGAGGAGCATGCTAACGCTGAGTGAGTGCACAAAGATACGCCACAAGACTACAAAAGGTGTTTAACATGTTACTGTGAGTTATCTACGCTTTCACAGGAGTGTGTTGCTGTTCAGACCTCCTAGACTGTCCAACACTTTTGAGGGCAGTGTCGTTGTCTTCAAAGATTACCTGACTATTAGCTCCCTGAGACGCTTCATCAGAGATCACATGTGAGACTCTTTTTTTTATTTCATTGAATGCATATGAAGGACAGTAAAGAAGCCAATGTCTCACAGTTTCACTCCATCTGTGTGTACAGATATGGAATGTGTCCTCACATGACGCTGGAGACCCGAGATCGTCTGAGAGTTCGTGACCTCTTGACGGCGTATTATGACTTGGATTATCATCACAACGTTAGAGGGTCCAACTACTGGAGGAACAGGTAGCATACAAACATACAGGTGGCAGGTGGTTGAGTGTGTGGACAGGAAATGTGTGTTTAGATCTCTTTGCTGTATGTCCTGTCACCAGGGTGATGAAGGTGGCATCTAAATACACTGGGCGTGGTTTAATGTTCTCAGTAGCCAATAAAAAGGACTTCCAAGCTGAGCTGGAGGACGAATATGGTCTGGGAACATCAGATGGAGGAGAGCTCCCGTTTGTCACAATCCGGACCAAACTGGGACACAAATATGTCATGAGGGAAGAATTCACGTAGGTTTTAGGGTCAAACGGGGCTAAACGTCCATTGAAATGCTTTTATTCATTAATTTTCTCTTGCAGGGTATCCGCGGGTCCTTAAATTTACTTTTCCAAAGGCCTTGAAAATCTTTAAAAATGACAAATAATGCTTAAATACAGTTTCCAAAGGTCTTAAATTACCAAAGACCCAATAAACTAGATTATTTTATTTCTATGACATTTTCGTGAATTTCAGCATTTTTTGTGTACGATACTGGCATAAGCGGAACCGTACACATTCAGTTGGTTGTGAAAGGGGACTATTTTTAGATGAGCACGTTAGCTGGTTAAGCTAGTGGGAGCTTGCGCCATGGAGAAGTGCAAGTTTAATGGTAACTGGATGGCTAATCCCATGTTTGCGACGTGGTTAGCACCGGTTCCAGGCAATAGCTAGAAATTATAGCTTAAAATTAATTTAAAAAATAGCTTCAATTTGGATCTGGATCGAAAGGAGCCAGTTGAGGTGGTTTGGGCATCTGGTCAGGATGCCTCCTGGACGCCTCCCTGGGGAGGTGTTTCAGGCTTGTCCTGCCGGCAGGAGGCCCCCGAGTTGACCCAGGACACGTTGGAGAGGTTACATCTCCAATCTGGTCCGGGAACGCCTTGGGATCCTGCCGGAGGAGCTGGTGGAGGTGGCCGGGGAGAGGATGGTCTGGTGCTCCCTAGTTGGGATGCTGCCCCCGTGACCCGGACCCGGATAAGTGGAGGAAGACGACGACAAGCTTAAATTTGGTCAAAGTGGCCTTAAAAAGGTCTTAAAAAGTCTTAAATTTGGCTCCCTTAAACCTGCAGATACCCTGTCTTGAAAATGCTGCTCACATTGCATGAATGACAGCTGGTCAGTCTTCAGGATACTAAAAGTTGACTGGTGTGTTTCAGGAGGGATGGTCAGTCACTGGGGAGGTTCCTTGAAGATTATTTTGCCGGTCGTCTCAAACGTTACATAAAATCAGAACCTTTACCTGAGAAAAACACGGCTCCTGTTAAGGTGAGCTGAGCTGCTTGTGAGCGTGACTGATTGTAAATACTGATTGTAAAAAATTTGTGCTGACCTCCTTTTGTCTTCAACACCGCAGGTGGTTGTCGCAGAATCATTTGATGAAATCGTGAACGATCCTGCTAAAGATGTTCTGATTCAGTTTTTTTCCCCGCTATGTCCACACTGCAAGAAGCTGGAGCCGGTCTACAGAGAGCTGGCTGACACGGTACACAGCTTTATTGTATTTTTGATTAAGTTTCAGTGCACTAAACTCTAGAATTAGGTCGTGTTGCTCTGATAGTAATCTGAAAATGCTCTTTATGTGTTCTCAGTTGCATTCTGACCCAAACATTGTCATTGCCAAGATGAACGCCGTCTATAATGACATCCCACTGGGATACGATGTCCAAGGGTGAGGATGACGATGTTAATGAGCACTTTTAAAGAAGTAAATTCATGAGTCTTTATTTCCTATGATTTTATTCTTCTCTCCAGGTTTCCAACCATCTATTTTGCTCCAGTGGGTAAAAAGGATGAGCCCATTCGATACCAGGTACCAGGTTTTAATAGTTTCAGCTTGAGTTCATCAATCTTTGAGACACATGATGTCTAATGGTTGTGGGACATCTTGATTTCAGGGCACTCGAGAGCTCAAAGACTTCCTAAAGTTCCTGAAGAGTGAGGCGAGTCATGGTCTGGTGCTGACTGGGTTTAAGGACGAACTGTGACAAAGATTCACCTACTGATCAGAACTGACTTTGATTAACAAAAAGATCAAGTCTTGTAACAGCTACACAGACATGAATGGGCAGCAAGAGCTCTGCTCCTGGTGACACACCAGAAACAACAAATCAGGACATGGTCCACCCATTTTTGTTTCTACCAATCAGATTCTTTCCATACTCCCCTCTAAAACCATGTCCTTGCTGAATAGAACTATTTATATATCTATTCATTTATAAAGCCATTTCATGTGCAATTCTTTGTTTTTTTATTCCAGAAAACTAAATGCATTTTGATATAATACCATCTGTGCAGTTTGTATTTGGTGCTGTGTTTAGTTTTTATTTATTTATTTATTTATTTATTTATTGACTTAATTACTTATACTTTGGCAGTCTTTGGTTATTTTGTGAGCTTTGTTATGTTGAGAAGCTCTGCTGAGATTATGTAATAAAACCATGCTTGACAACTGACTGTTAATTAAATTCTCATGAATTAATACGACTTAATAGCTTTTGTAAAATTGTTTTCAGCCGTTGTTTTTATGATGGGATTTAAAAAGAAATTTAATTTTTAAATTATACTTCAGTGTGCCTGAGTTTGCTCAACCATTATTTCCATGCCTGTGTGTTGTAATAAAGCTTAATAATAATAGCTGGGATCAACTGAACAAACTTTGCAAGTTCCACGAGTGTTAAAACACATAAAAGTCATTTTCAATCTTTGTAAAAAAAAAAAAATTTTTTTTTTTTTGCTAAATCGTGGGTTCTATTTCTATTAGGTTTTCTCCATAAAAGGCCTATTACTAGAAGAGTTTACCTCATTCACTCTATTGGTGAATGCGCATGTCAATCAAAAATAATAGTCTTTGCTAATTGGCCGGACCTCAAGTAATGTCTTGCCCATTTTGTCTGAGCCGTCCCTCTCCTCGTGCCACCCAGAACCTTCGAGGCTAGTGCTGTTAGCGTCGTGGTCTCAAAATGCTCGGCCAGCAGGTTTTAGTGCTTAGTAAGTATCGAAATTTGTTCTTAACTATACTTTCAATAGTTAGATGTCGGTTACTTCCCGCCAGTTTCTGCAATTTAGTCAATTTTGTGACCGTTTGAACGCGGGGCAGATCGGCTGGGACACAAAGCAGCTAAGGATGCGCTAACCAACTGTTATAACTCAGCCGAGCATCAGCTTCTTCCACCGGTATTAGCGTTGTTAGCCTACATGCTACTGATAGCATCCACACCCAACCGGCATCATTAGCATATTTAGCTCGTGTTCGGAAGTAGCGGAAAGCGTGTAGGTATGCTAGGCTAGGCTAGCTTAAGCTAACAGTCCTCTTACTCATCATGAGCGTGCAGTTAGACAACTGCGAACATTATATAATAATTAAAAAAGACATGAAATTACCTTTGATGCAGCTTTTAAACACGATTTTGAATTAGTTTTGTGTGTGCGCTGTGACTGAACTGAACAACAAAATAAGCATCCGCTTTAATACATTCCGATTTCGATTGATCTATTTGATAGCCTGTAATTGCGAATTGACAGCATTGTTATCCTGCAAAAATCAAAATTCATTCATTCATAGTGTCTGAAATCACGAAAGCTCTATCTGTACTGGTATATTCCGTCCATTTTGTCTTTACAATTATTTTAGACTAGAATAGATAGCTCCCTCAGTGGGGGGATTTTGGTGTCACAGCAGCAATTAAATTCATTATAGGAGCTAAAAAGAAGAGTATAACATAATAAAAAAATTACGACAACAAAAAAATTATTTAAATATTCGAAACACTCATTTTATTTGGAATGCAATAAGAAAATGTTTTATTTAGATGTATAGATATTACTAGTTTAATGATACAATCCAACAAAATTGATTTTAAATAAAGATGCAACAACTCAGTAAGGAGAATAATTTACTACAAAGGATTCTAGTCATAGATGCACTTTGGCCTACATGACTGGTAAATCATATTCATTAATTTTGAAGCATTTTAACAGTGTTGGACATTTGTCAAAAATGATCTGTCACATATTTATACACAGCTGTTTTTATTGATTTTTTTTTAATCTAATGTGTTGGTTTGTTATCGATCTGGCAGGCATGGGATTGCTAACCAGACTGATAAATTACTTCTTTAAAACCAACAATTTCGAATTGCTAGTCATTTAATTGGGTCACTCGAAATAATGGCTATCTGTGTTTTGAAGCAAAAACACCCTTCAATTAGGTGACTCTGTAGTGATTTCTCTGTTTTCTTGTCTCTTTTTAGACCAGAATGTGAAGAGAGAATCAGGACGTAAAGTCCAAACTGGAAACATCAATGCAGCAAAGGTCAGTTGTTGCTGTAAAACGTTAAAGCTTGTGTTAGACAGTCTCATCTGTCTTTTGAGTGCGGAAGAAAACTGTTTAATGTTTGAGATTAGCCAATCTAGGCTGTTTTTTTGTTTTTAATATGGAGACGTTGAGTAGCTGGGAAAGAAAAGGCCAGACTAGAGTAGAAATTCCTCTTAATAGACTGAGATCAGTCTCTGAAGAGAAAAATGCTTCATTTGTTTTAAAATTGTTTTTTTCCCCCAGCCCTTACATATATTGTTCTTGTGCAATCTATTTTAGACCATAGCCGATGTGATCAGGACCTGCCTCGGCCCACGGGCCATGATGAAGGTGAGTTTGTCTATACAGAGAATCACCGCACCCAGTCATTTACAAAAATAAAATAAGTCCGTAATATTCCATGTTTTCATGTCATTTTGTCTAGATGTTGCTTGACCCTACAGGGGGAATCGTAATGACAAACGATGGAAATGCCATCCTCCGAGAGGTCAGGGTCACATAAACACTTGGAAGTTTGTCACTTCATCATCAATTCCTTCAGTGTTTCATAACATCCTGCTTCTCCATGGCAACAGATTCAGGTACAGCATCCCGCAGCCAAGTCGATGATCGAGATCAGTCGCACACAGGATGAAGAGGTGGGAGATGGGACCACATCAGTCATCATACTGGGTATAAAAGCTTTATTTTTAATCTAAAGAAGCTCAGACTTCCCCTTTAGAGGGAATTCAGTTTGTTTTATTTAACATCCGTCATTTAATGTCTCAAATTTCAGCTGGAGAGATGTTGGCTGTAGCTGAACAGTTTCTGGAGCAGCAGATGCATCCAACAGTGATCATCAGTGCTTACAGACAGGCTCTGGAGGACATGTTGGACACACTGAAGGAAATCAGGTAGAGTCTGACAGTTTCCATCGTCTCCTTGTTACATTATAATTATTTTTGATTTGTTGTAAGCCAACCAAACAGCAGCTTAGAAATAACATTACACATTTATGAATGAGTTAATTTTGTGAAACTTGTACAGGAAGTTTGACTGAATATTGTTGTCCTCCTCCAGCATCCCCGTGGACACTTCAGACCGCTCCATGATGCTGAAGATTGTTCACTCTGCCATCAACACCAAAGCTCTGAGCCGCTGGTCGGAGCTGGCCTGCAACATCGCGCTGGACGCCGTTCGTACGGTGGAGCTGGAAGAGAACGGGCGCAAAGAGATTGACATCAAGAAGTACGCCAAAGTAGAGAAGGTACGATTGTTGCTCATTACACCTGATCACTTTAGGTTAGAACAGAAGATCAAGTGTTTCCTGCATTAATTGCATTCATTCTTTTGTCTCATATCTCCCGTGTTGTGTTCAGGTTCCAGGTGGAATCATCGAGGATTCCTGTGTGCTGAAAGGAGTGATGGTGAACAAAGATGTGACTCACCCAAGAATGAGGCGAATGATCAAAAATCCCCGTATCCTCCTGCTGGACTGTTCTCTGGAGTACAAAAAGGGGGAGAGCCAGGTATAGTGAGCTGCTTCTTTGTCTTGGAACATAACCAGATTATATAAATCAGTATTTAACTCACATTTATTCTACAGACAGACATAGAGATAACTAAGGAGGAGGACTTTGCCAAGATCCTACAGCTGGAGGAAGAATACATCCATCAGATCTGTGAGGACATCATCCGCCTCAAACCAGACTTGGTCTTCACTGAAAAGGGCATTTCAGGTACCTGAACAACTTTTGGTGTTTTTCTCTGTTGTTCAGTCTTTGCATTACAAAGGCAGCTTAAAAAGAACTGTTATTCAGTCCTAACTCTTCTTTACTCGTTCAGATCTGGCTCAGCACTACTTGGTGAAGGCAAACATCACTGCCATTCGCCGTGTGAGGAAGACTGACAACAACCGCATTGCCAGGTATATTTGTTTGTTACGCAGAGAACTTTAACCAAGTCAGTCCTACTCTGACATAGCTTTCTACGCTTGCTGTGTTTTTCAGGGCGTGTGGAGCTCGAATTGTGAGCCGAACAGACGAACTGCGTGAGGAAGATATTGGTTTGAAGGCCGGGCTGTTTGAAGTAAAGAAGATCGGAGATGAGTATTTCACTTTTGTCACAGAGTGTAAAGATCCCAAGGCCTGCACTATCCTGTTGAGAGGAGCCAGCAAGGAGATCCTGGCGGTGAGTTTCCCCCATCTTCTAAATCAGTCCGGTTAATATGTGCTTTGTGTAAGGACGTTTGTGTTCTGCAGGAGGTGGAGAGGAACCTGCAGGATGCCATGCAGGTGTGCCGTAACGTGCTACTCGACCCATTCCTGCTTCCTGGCGGAGGCGCTGTTGAGATGGCGGTGTCGAAGCGTTTGACAGAGCGTTCCCGCGCTTTGACGGGGGTCGAACAGTGGCCGTATCGCGCTGTGGCCCAGGCTCTGGAGGTCATCCCCCGAACCCTGATCCAGAACTGTGGAGCCTCTACTATTCGAGTTCTAACATCACTCAGAGTAACGACAAATTTTATTTTTGAGACCTGGAGCTTTTGGTTAGAGTTGAGCTACTGATTGGTTAACACAGGCATTTAACATTAATGTTTCTTTGTTTGTTTGTTCAGGCCAAACACACTCAGGACAACAGTGTGAGCTGGGGCGTTGATGGAGAAACCGGCTCTCTGTCTGACATGACAGCTCTTGGCATCTGGGAGCCACTAGCTGTTAAAGCTCAGACCTACAAGACTGCTGTTGAGGTCCGAACCGTTCTCAAATCTGATCTGATCAATAATACTGTTTTTTTTTTTTTTTATTTTTTTTTTTTTATTTAACCTTTATTTATCCAGATGAGTCGATTGAGAAATCATTCTCATTTACAACGAAGATCTGGCCAAGAGGCAGCAGCAACAGACACATAGTTGCTAATATCTGTTTACAGTTTTTATCATTTTTCTGTGTTTTGCAGACGGCCATCTTGTTGCTACGTATTGATGATATTGTCTCCGGGCACAAGAAGAAAGACAAAGGAGAGCAGATGGGAGGACAAGGAGCCGAATAGGTCTAAGTAGATCCAGGCTGAGCAGCAGAGTTACTCCGACTGTTTGTATCTAAATGTGTGTGTTTGCATGTGTGGAGACCACCTGACTCACTCAAACATAATAAAAACAAAGTTAGAAAGCTTGACTCGTTCCTCTGATTTCATTAATTCATATTTTTGTCTGACCACGCAATGTTGCAGAGACGTGTCAACCACGACAGCCCTACAACATCCATAGCCTTGAGATACCCAGGACGAATCTCATCTGCCCATGGGGCTCCGCCGCTGTGTAGTTGTTTGACGACCTCAGCAACTTCTGCCCCCGAGATTGGACAGTCCATCCCCAGGTCTCCCGGCTCTGGTTCCTCCTCGGAATGTGCATAGGTGGTATTGAGGAGCTCCTCAAAGTATTCCTTCCACCGTCCGACTATAGCCCCAGTTGACGTCAGCAGCTCCCCATCCCCACTGTAAACAGTGTGAGCGAGTTGCTGCCTTCCTCTCCTGAGGCGCCGGACAGTTTGCCAGAACCTCTTTGGAGCCAATCGATAATCTTTCTCCATGGCCTCACCAAACTCCTCCCACGCCCGAGATTTTGCCTCAGCAACTGCCACTGCTGCACCCCACTTGGCTATCCGGTACCTGTCTGCTGCCTCCGGAGACCCACAGACCAGCCACACCCTGTAGGCCTCCTTCTTCAGCCTGACGGCTCCCCGAACCTCTGGTGTCCACCAGCGGGTACGGGGGTTGCCACCACGACTGGCACCGGCCACCTTGCGACCACAGCTAGCAACAGCCGCCTCAACAATCGCAGAATGGAACAAGGCCCATTCAGAGTCAATGTCCCCCACTGCTCTCGGGACGTGGTCAAAGCTCTGCCGGAGGGGGGAGTTGAAGACCGTCTTGACAGGTTCTTCTGCCAGGCGTTCCCAGCAGACCCTCACTATGCGTTTGGGTCTGCCAGGTCTACGCGGCATCTTCCCCTGCCATCTGATCCAACTCACCACCAGGTGGTGATCAGTTGACAGCTCTGCTCTCTTCACTCGGGTGTCCAAAACATACGGCCGCAGGTCCGATGATACGACTACAAAGTCTATCATCGACCTGCAACCTAGGCTGCCCTGGTACCAAGTGTACCGATGGGCATCCTTATGTTCGAACATGGTGTTTGTTATGGCCAAACTGCGGCTTGCACAGAAGTCCAATAACGAAACACCACTCGAGTTCAGATCAGGCTCCCAAGTTCCTCCCAATCACACCCCTCCAGGTCATGCTGTCATTGCCCACGTGAGCATTGAAGTCCCCCAGCAGGACAATGGAGTCCCCTGATGGAGCACTATCTAGCACTCGTCCCAGGGACTCCAAAAAGGGTGGGTACTCTGAACTGATATTTGGCCCATAAGCACAAACAACAGTCAGGACTCGTTCCCCGACCCGAAGGCGCAGGGTGCCACCCTCTCGCCCCCCGGGGTAAACCCCAACACACAGTGGTCATCGGGGGCAGTTCCTGTGGCAGACCGGGGTGGTGGTCCCCATCTTTAAGAAGGGTGACCTGAGGGCGTGTTCCAACTATAGGGGGATCGCACTCCTCAGCCTCCCTGGAAAGGTCTACTCCCAAGGTTCTGGAGAGGAAGGCCCGATTGATAGTTGAATCTCAGATTGAGGAGGAGCAATGTGGTTTTCGTCCTGGCCATGGAACTGTGGACCAGCTCTATACCCTTGCAAGGGTGATGGAGGGGGCATGGGAGTTTGCCCACCCAATCCACATGTGTTTTGTGGATTTGGAGAAGGCTTATGACTGTGTCCCCAGGGGCACCCTGTGGGGGACGCTCCAGGAGTATGGGGTGGGTGGCTTTCTGTTAAGGGCCATTCAGTCCCTTTACCAGAGGAGCGTGAGTTTGGTCCGCATAGCCGGTAGTAAGTCGGACCTGTTCCCGCTGAGGGTTGGACTCCGCCAGGGCTGCCCTTTGTCACCGGTTCTGTTCATTACCTATATGGACAAAATTTCTAGGCACAGCCGTGGTGTGGAGTGTGTCGAGTTTGGTGGCAGGAGAATCTCGTCTCTGCTTTTTGTGGATGATGTGGTCCTTCTAGCTTCATCCAGCTCTGACCTTCAGCTCTTGGTGGGTAGGTTTGCGGCCGAGTGTGAAGCGGCTGGGATGAGGATCAGCACCTCCAAATCTGAGACCATGGTTCTCGACCGGAAAAGGGTGGCTTGCCAACTCCGGGTTGGGAGAGAGGTCCTACCTCAAGTGGAGGACTTTTAAGTATCTTGGGGTCTTGTTCACGAGTGAGGGTAGGAGGAATCGGGAGATCGACAGGCGGATTGGTTCGGCGTCTGCAGTGATGCGGACGCTGAGCCAATCTGTCATGGTGAAGAAGGAGCTGAGCCAGAAAGCCAGGCCCTCGATTTACCGATCGATCTAAGTCCCAATCCTCACCTATGGTAATGAGCTCTGGGTAATGACCGAAAGAACGAGATCGCAGATACAAGCGGCCGAAATGTTTCCTCCGTAGGGTGGTCGGGCTCAACCTTAGAGATAGGGTGAGGAGCTCGGACATTCGGGAGGGACTCAGAGTAGAAACGCTGCTCCTCCGGATCGAAAGGAGTCAGTTGAGGTGGTTTGGGCATCTGGTCAGGATGCCTCCTGGACGCCTCCCTGGGGAGGTGTTTCGGGCATGTCCTGCCGGCAGGAGGCCCCCGGGTCGACCCAGGACACGTTGGAGAGGTTACATCTCCAATCTGGTCCGGGAATGCCTTGGGGTCCTGCTGGTGGAGGTGGCTGGGGAGAGGACGGTCTGGAGCTCCCTAGTTGGGATGCTGCCCCCGCGACCAGGACCCGTATAAGCGGAGGAAGACGACGATTATATTTTTGTCTCTTTGTTGTAATGGCTTTTGAATCAAAGTCCTCTCAGTTATTGTGATTATTTATGGCCAGAATTTATTTGAAGTGTTCCAGAGTCTAAACAAAAATCCAGATGTGTGCACATGAGAACAGAAAAGTTTTACTGAAGTTAGTTGTTAATCGATTGAGCAGTTAGAAGTTTCTGTGTGATTTTGTTCACATTAAGATTGGCTCAGTTAAACTTTAAACAAATACAAAACATTTAATGTGCCTTATAAAACATTAGGATTCAAGTAAATGGCTATAAAGGTGTGTAAAATACTAAACATTTTCAGTATTAATGGTACAAAATGTAGAAAAAGTTGGTTTGTTTTCAGCACTTATTTTATTTTACCAACTGCCAGATAATGCTGGGTGTTTTGGCATCAATAGAGCTCCGGACCCCACGTGACTCTCAGTTAGTGGACGCCATTTTGGCATGCAAAAAAGGTAAACAAACAAATCCAAACAGTAAATATAATGAATTTCATCACTAAAATAATATAAAACAAATCTATCTGAAGGCTTTTGTTTTGAATTGCTGGTTATAATTAACAGTATTTCATTGGTTCAATGAAGAAGTCAGTCCTGAATAATATATTTATATTTTTAGGGGTTAATGTTCAAAAATCAAGACTTTCTTGGCTTATTGACTAAAATGATGATTAGACGTTTTATTGGCTGTTAAGTCACAAGGGGCGGGGCCTCAGTGTGGTCACCTGACATGAAGGAGGGAGGTCATGTGACCCACTGCACAGCTCGGTCACAACAGAGATGGCGGCCACGGGGAGGTTACTAATTAGTACGATTTTACTTGTTTTTACTTTTCGTTCATGTCTAAGTTTGTTTTACGGAGGAAATACTTACAAAAGAAAGGTAAGGAAATAGAAGTGACAGCAACGTGGTTTAAATTTAGACTTTAAAGGTCGAAAAGTATCGGAGGAAAATACAGGAAGTGATAGTGTTGATTAGAGATATGAAAGTCTTTATTTTTTGTTTATATGCTATATTAATCCGCTTATCCACGTTTCTTAATTCTATTATTTTAATGGTAAAATGCAGCTTGAAGAAAATATTTGAATGAAAAACAAACCCAAACCAGGTCAGTCATTGTTTTGTTTTGTTTCTATTTATTTTTTGGGAAATTTACTTTTTATTGCAATCTTAAACTTTTCACATGGCCATCTGAAGCTGTTTCTTAACTGACCAGATTTTGGTCTATCATTAATATTAAAAATGACTTTTATTGCTAATAATCAGGTTGATTAATGGCAATATTATTGAAATGTGAAATGTCCATTTTTTAGTCAGTGTCTTTAATCCTGTTACTGCTCCATGACTTACCCCTAACCTAAGCAACAAATGTAGCCCTTTGTCTTCAGGAAAAATTCTGTTTGCAGCAGTCATGTGAGTTGTGATAACTGAATCAGTTAAAAATCAATAGTCTTATCAGAAATGTGAATTCTGCAAAAGGACTCGTAGCTGATCAATCAGATAGTAAGCTGTTGCAGATTTTGATCAGTCCTGATTTGCAAATCTTTGTATTTTCGTATTTCAGCTGTTTGTGCAGCTGAACCCAAACTCAAGCTCTCTTCCTCGCGGTGGTGAACTGCTGCATGTGAGAGCTGTAGGACAAAACGACACGCTGCACTACCTGTTCTGCAGTCAAGGGGCACCAACACTGCTGCTCGTCCATACTAACAGTTCTTCTTCCACTGTCAAGGTTTGGCACATCGTCCGATTATGTAAATATAAATAAATATATTAATGTGCAATATACATCTTGTGTAAAACTGAGGAGAAGGTATACGTTGAAGATGGAAAAACTGGTCGTCCCACTAGTGACTGGTTGCATTATAAGTTTTAAGCCCTACCTCCTCCATATAAATAAATGGGACAATTTCCTGAGTAAAACATTAATGCACCACCAGATAATTGTATTGTTGAGTCACACAGTTGTTGCTGCTTGACTTATCGGCTGCAGTTGACACTGTCAATCATGGCTTCCTTTGCTCCATACTCTTTAGCATGGGTGTCACAGGGAAAGCACACTCCTGGTTTGAATCGTACCGCACAGAACGACCATTCTGTATCTTGGTTCGGACAATCTTCTGCTCTTCACCATCTTTCCATAGGAGTTCCCCAGGGCTGTGTACTAGATCATCGAAGGATTGTTGACTAGCAGTGCCTACACCACGCTCAGGACAATCCAGACTCTTTTCATGTGTGTTTCCACAGATGTGGAATGACCTACCAGAACAGGGGCTTCCTTGTCGATTTTCAAGAAACTCCTGAAGACCCAGCTCTTCAGAGAGCATCTTCTAAACTAGCACCCTCCCTGCACCGTCCCCCACTCTATTGTCTACTCCCTGTTCACTTCCCTTTATCATTTATTATGCTGCCTCACTGCCACCTACGATTGACTGACTAATGTTTGTTGTTAGCTTCAAGGTCAACGTGCTGGCTTCATTTTCTCTTGTAAGTTGCTTTGGAAAAAAGTGTTTGCTAAATATGTAAACATAGTTATCAGCTTGTTGCTGTATGTTCAGATTAAAATTATTCTAATAAACTTATTTGATCTTTTAAAAAAACTCATCATGATTTGTGTAGGGGAGGGGTAGGCAAGAAAACTCTAGGGCCATTCCCATCTGTACCGGGTCGGCCCGGGCCGGGTAGCCCCAGTCGACCCCAGCCTGGCCCGGTTGATTCCACACATCCTTGTCTTAAGCCCATGTGGGCTGATTCTACCCACCAATCAGAGGCTTGCTCTAATGGAAGGTGTGAATTTGCTGTCAGCAGTGGGTGTGTTGGCCCTGGTCGGCCTGAAGCAGACCCCCTCGAGAAGAGGGCTGAGAATGAGCCTTGGTTGGCCCGGAAAAATACCAGGCCACCCAGATATGTAAACAACCTACGCTACCCGGCCTGGGCCGACCCGATACAGATGGGAATGGCCCATTAGTCCCAGTCTGGATTAGTATTCATTTTCATTTGATTTTTTGCAGACCAAGTATGATTTCTATCTAAATGTTTGGGTTTTGTGTTTCAGGTAAACTGGTCCCAGTTTTCGAGTCGTAATACCAGCGGCAGCCTAACGGTGGAGCCAGAGAGCAGCATCTTGTACAGCTCTGCTGTCGTCTTCAGTCGGGTCAGAAACATTAGCCAGTCTGTCCAAAGGAAAAACCCTGATGTGTGTTTATTGGATAACCCTGTTGTTGTTTTTTAGCTGTGGGAGTATGATGACGTAAACAACACCGCTGAGGCATCCTCAGACCTTCTCCCTCCGCACGAGCTGCAGGACTTCAGCTGGTCTCTTTTCAACCTGTCTGGTGCAACATCTCTGCTCTGTGGAGCCCCCTCGGACTCCACCAATGGGTCGCTCTGCCTGCAGGTTTGTCGCTATGGTGACAAAAGTCTGATTTTGAATACTAAAGAAAAAGATCATAATAAAATGTTTGACATTTTATCTTTTTCAGTTGTCTGTGTTTGACTCGGAGGGGCGTAACAAGTTATGGCCTCGCCTCCTACATTCTGCTAACTCCTCCCAGGTGGAGGTATGGCTTAATGGCATATTGCCGAGATCAAATGCCTCCAGGTTTGTGTTGGAACTGCAGGCAGTGAGTGGGACCTATCCGCTAAGCAGAGTGGACACTCGCCAGTCCATCGATGACGAGTACACGCCGTCGATATTCAAGGTGATTATCAACGCCTTCATATGCTTTTGATTTGCCCTCCTCGGATGTCACCATGTCTTATTTGTGTTGTTTTTGTTCTTTCCTCTCTCAGATGTTCCAGTGGGTATCCTCAATAAACGGAAGCTCAGACATTCTGGGTTTTGTCCAGTGGAAGCCTGTGGCGTACAGGAAGTCCCATCCGGTGCTGGAGGACGCCACGCCTTGCCGCCACTCTGACCCAGATTCACAAAACGGAGAGGAAACGGCAGCTTTATCTGCTCTGATTCGAGGCTTCTATTCAAATCCAGAAGTTATGGGAATGAACGTGAGCTTCGGCATGGCAGGAGAACCCTTCTACAACAGCACCATGTTCCTCAGCTGGTTTGTTCACGATCTAATCGGATGTTTAAAATCAGAACAGGTGAATAAAAAAACCTGAGTGTGTTTTTCCTCTTTCAGGACCATGCTGGTGGGCGTTGGCTCTCCTCCCGTTGACTCGTTCTCTCCCCTGGTTCTCGCCATCATGGCGGTGTGTTTGGGGGCTCCTGTGATCCTCCTGCTCCTGGGGGGAGTTTTTGTCTTCCTCTATAAAAGGAGGCACGCTACGGTGACGGCCTACGAGCGAATCAACTGACGGCTGAGACCCAGCCAATGAGATGCAGAGGCTGTTTTTAAAACTGAAACATTTTAGAGAGTCAGGATGGACGAGGGAAATCAGGACAGGCTTTATCTTGTCTTGTAAATCGTTTTATTTTAAATAACAGATCAATTATTTGAAGTAGAAAGTTTTTCTAAATATCAGCAAGACTGTTAAGAGCGAAATGGTGCACAATCAGGAGCATTTATTATAAAAAAAATTATTCTAGTTGTGTATTTTTGAGAAATTTGTAAAGATTCAATGGATTTTTGATCTTTTCAAACCTGTTTTCCATCATGTTGATTCAAACTAAACAGACATCTTGTCCCAGTTTATCTCTAAGGGAAAAACATCATTTGTTGTATATTTAATGTTTTACTCAGCGGCTGCTTGCTTGCTTAACAGACTGGTGGATTTTCAGGGCTGATATTCAGCTGATTAATCCGCATTAAACGAGTCTACGGCAACATCATTTGTACTAAATGACAAATTTATGGAGGTTTTCTGAGCCTTAACAGAAAAATACAATTAATGTCATCCGAGAGGATTTGTCCTGAGTGGGAGGTTACGTTTAGAGGTTCAAACTTGAAATGATTAAAATAAAATAAATTGTATTTTGTAAATTGTTGGTTAAAGCTTTTGTTCAATCTGTGTCAATGTTTTATTTTAAGAAAATGTGCAATGTGTTTTTTTTAACTTGGGATAAAAAGAGAAATTTAGAATTTTTTGCTTTTTCTTATGATTAAACTCAAGTTTTTTTTATTGTATCTTTGTTAAACAAGGTGAGCATTGGCTGCAATGCAAGAGTTTTAACTAAAATCATGAGAAAGACATTTTGGTCAAATCACTAGAAAACTTAACATATTACTAAATCTAGCACTCAACAGGTGGACGACTCAGCAAAATGTTTCGCTTCAGTTTATTTTGTCAGAAACTTCACAGAGAAACAAAAATAAACCAAACTATTATTTACAATAAAATCATCGGAACGGCGTCTGCTGATGAAACCTTTTCGATGACAAGAGGAAAAAAATTCACAGCTGAAAGTCAGAAACACTTTGGACAGAGAAGCGGATGATGTCACAGCTGGGTTTCAGATTCTCACTTGTTAAACTGGAGGTTTCTGTCCTGCTTCCATTTAGTTTGGTGCAGCAGCCAATTAGAGATCAGCCAGGAGTGATGTGGACCAACCAGGGAGATTTAAAACATCTTGAGTTGTTTTTGGCTTATTCATAATAAACACTTCCTCCACATTGTCAAACAATCTTTGTGTTTTAACATCAAAATAAATTTAAACTTTGTCCATTAAAGGGAGGAAAAACTTCACTATCATGTACTTCCTACAGAACTGAGGTCCTTTGGGAATGTTCCAGATCAGATTGAGGATATAATCAACATTTTGGCTCCAATAAGTGAACCTGAAGTGTTTCTGAAATATTTCAGTTTCACTTATTTTCACTCAGTCCAGGTCCTTTTTTTAAAAATCTGATCATCTCCAATTTCAATGTTTTAATTGACTTTTATCTCTCTCTATAAACTCTGTGCATTAAAATATACTTTAAAGTCTGTCGTCGTGCTGAGTTTGAACATTTCTGGTTTTAGTGTTTTAGCAGGAAGTGATGACGCTGGTGAAGATGAAACTTCTTCCAAGAGGAACTGAGCTGAGAGGCTCAAACATCCTTCTGCCCCCTCGCCATTTTTTTTATAAATACAGTTCATGTAGACCAGTCCATTTTCTGGCAGGTTTGGATTCCATCCTGGTCAATCTTGGTGCAGTCTCAAAACTTGGGTTCACCTCAGAACCACCAGCTGTTAAAATTACTGCTGTATGATAAAAACTAGAGAAGGTCCCCATCCTAGATGGATTCAATCTGGCGGCGGACCTTTTCAGAAGCCAGGCGATCCAGCTGGCGCTGACGAATGACCACCAGGACGGCAAAGAGAGCCGTCAAAGCCAACATGGCTGCCTCGAACTTCCAGAAGAGATGTTCCTCCATCAGAGCAGAGCGACAGCTGGATAAGAGCGTGAAGAGTTTTAGTTTTATTTTTTAAGACTGACTCACCTAACATCTGTACTAGCTGCCAAAGGTAAAATCTTATGAAAAATATTAATAATTTCAGGAAAACTCAAAATTTTGAGGAAACTTAAATCCCTAAATATGTTTCTGCAGCTTCACGTGTCCCTGATGAGTCAGAGAAAACACGATTGAAATCTAATCCTGGTTTAGATAATTATGATCTGACCTTTTGTACTCCTCCTTGACAGTCTTGGTGCAGTTGACTCTTTCGACGTATCCCGTCTGGCTGCAGGCGGACCGCGCCTTCTGAGACGAACAAACAGAAATGTGTTACATTAGCACCACTGGTTAGAGCAGATACGACTCCTCAGAAGACCAGCTCACTTACAGAGTGGAAGTCGCTGCAGCGAACGCACTCCTCCAACACCACAAACTCCTCCGTTAACCAGCAGGGGAGGGCGCCCAGCTTTAAAGCAGCTTCAGAGAGACGTTAAGACACAAGAAAAACATTTATGTAAAGTTCTCAACCTGAACAGTTTGTGTCGGGAGGTATCAACGTACCTGTGGTTTTCTCTTCACTCAGCAGAGCTGCTCCGAACACTCTGAAAAAAAAACTTTAGGCATCAAATACGTGAATACTTGAGGGTTTTACAGACATGGCGTGGACTATAGGGGACACTATGGACATAATTCAGCATAACCTTATATTCTTGCTTGTTTTTGCCTGAAATATTTGGGTTAAACTGAACATTCATGTAAATGATTCGATGATCTGTAAATGACTCAGTTCTAACTGATAACTGTCTACCTAAACAAGTTCTACGAAACCAGAGGGACTTCTGACCTCGATGCCCACAGACTCACCTGAGTGAGACGAGGCCCCAGAACAAAGCATGGAGGAGGAGCACCCGGGGTCGACAACAAGCAACTGGGATCCGACAGTCGCTCTCCATTAGTCCGCTTCTCAAAATGGAAGAAGACACCACAGCCACCTTGTTCCTGTGCTGCTGGTTACTGACCCGTAACCAAATGGTTCTGGAGCCGGTGCAGTCTTGACTCACACTTTCCTGTCTGTCTGCTCACATGGTGCTTAGACAAAATATGGATTTAAGGCAGCAGACAGCTGAACCCTAAAAGACAATCAAATCAGTCAGTAAATTTTTTCTAAGTTTATTTTTTTGTAACTAATCTGACGTTTTCTAAATGTATTGACCTGGACTTATTAATTATAATGATAAAAGTGAAGGGGAAAAAAAATTGCAGGTAATGTACAATTTAAAATGTTTTCTTTGGCAAGGATGAATCCCGAAAAAAGAACCCACGTGTCTCTCTTTACTCGTCTCTAATTAGAGATGCACTGATTCTGCTTCTGATGGCCGATACTAATTTCCTATTTTTGTGCTGCTCTCAACTGCTGTTACATTCATGGCAAAGAACAATAATAAACATAATTATTTTTATTTTCTAATTACCATAAAAATTAGGATTATGGAAATAAAATCTTTAACATGAACGATCTAGGCAAACCAAACAAAATCTACTTTTTCACATTTAGCTTGTCTGATCACAAATTCATTTTATGCGGCTGAATACGACCTGACTCTGATCCCCAGACTCCGACTCTGATCAGCGTAAAGTTTAACAAAACAATCTTTTAATATGTGAATTTATTTTAACATTTAATCCAAGATATTTTAAGGACTTAACGATCTTTAATTCATCTAAAAACTATTGCTAACAGATCATGATTCATATTAATCATCTGACTGCTACTAAGATAACAAACGTTGATACACTAGCAGCAAACCAGCTAACAAATATATTATTCAGACCATTTATCAGTCTAAACTTTGTTCACATAGATGAGTTATTAATAAACATGACACGTACACTAAAAGACACAAACACTATGAGGTTACAATTATTTGCACCCCACTCACACTGTTTACCTAGAAACTGAAGCTAACATTAGCAAAGTTTAGCTAACCGGACACTCACCGTAGTCCACTGGAACAACCGCCATATTTGAGTCAACACAAGAACCAAGAAGAAGATCAAATGTTTAAAAATTGAAATGCCACAAACTGTGTATTTGATTTAATGGTTTTTAGACGAAAAGCTGATGAAATTCACAGTCTGCAGCTACACCGGATTGCGAACAACCTCACACCATTTCGATAATATGGAAAAATACAAGTAATGCTTTCCGGTATGGTATTTTCAGAATAAAGGCAAGTCACAATTTTCATGCAGACAGGAACTATGTTTATACAAACATCATTGTTAACCCTAGAGACTCTTACGAATTTAACATCACTGTTACATTAAAAATTGAAAATTTTTTAATCTAAATGACCAACCTTTCACTTTCTCCTTGAAGCATCCACACAAATATACCATTTACAAAAATATCATCCTCTCAAATACATTTTTGTCTTTCATTTCCTTTCTGTACTGGTAACCTCCAAATCTGAGACCATGGTTCTCGACCGGAAAAGGGTGGCTTGCCACCTCCGGGTCAGGGGAGAGGTCCTACCTCAAGTGGAGGAGTTTAAGTATCTCGGGGTCTTGTTCACGAGTGAGGGTAGGAGGGATCGGGAGATCGACAGGCGGATTGGTTCGGCGTCTGCAGTGATGCGGACGCTGAGCCGATCTGTGGTGGGGAAGAGGGAGCTGAGCCAGAAAGCCAGGATCTCGATTTACCGGTCGATCTACGTCCCAATCCTCACCTATGGTCATGAGCTTTGGGTAATGACCGAAAGAACGAGATCGCGGATACAAGCGGCCGAAATGAGTTTCCTCCGTAGGGTGGCCGGGCTCAGCCTTAGAGATAGGGTGAGGAGCTCGGACATTCGGGAGGGACTCGGAGTAGAACCGCTGCTCCTCCGGATCGAAAGGAGCCAGTTGAGGTGGTTTGGGCATCTGGTCAGGATGCCTCCTGGACGCCTCCCCGGGGAGGTGTTTCGGGCATGTCCTGCCGGCAGAAGGCCCCCGGGTCGACCCAGGACACGTTGGAGAGGTTACATCTCCAATCTGGTCCGGGAACGCCTTGGGGTCCTGCCGGAGGAGCTGGTGGACAAGGCCGGGGAGAGGACGGCCTGGAGCTCCCTAATTGGTATGCTGCCCCCGCGACCCGGACCCGGATAAGCGGAGGAAGACGAAGACGACGAAGTACTGGTAACTTCTTTTAAAAATGTATTTAATTTGATTTGTTTTGAACTTTAATAGTTTATATTAAACACAACAAAAGAAAAGACACATTTCAAATAGTCTTTTATGAGTTTCTATGTTTACCCTACCTGTTTTCTTCCTAAAATATGTATAATTTCTTTCCAGTGTACAATCATTTGCATTATTATCAAATATTGATGATTTGAAATGTGTTTTTATTTAGCCATAGATGATCTGAAACCTGTACAGAGTGTCAATTGGTTCCTTGGCTGTCCATGACACTAAACATTATGGTTAATGAAGGCATATTATTTTAGTTTACAATACACAATTTTGTTTTATTTTGAAAGCGTGGGACTGACACTAACTTTAGTTTCCTGAAACAGTTGTAGAACTGTTGTAAACGTAGCTGTTGGCGGAAGTCAGAGAAAAACGTCATCAGTGTTTCTGCACTTCCACTTGGTGGTGTTTGTTACACTACAGCCTCAAGCATCACTTCTATATTAATCTGTTCCATAAACACGTCTTACTAAAGAAAACGGACGTTTTTTTTATTTAAAGTGATCTATTTCAACTGCATTGATAGTAATAGTAAATAAACAACAGTAAATGTCCAAAACCAAAAAATAAAAAACCACCCAAAACTCAGAAATAACAATCAATTTAATGTGCATTAGCATTAAAACACTTTTTTAAATTAACTTCTATGAAAACATTTACCAATATTAAAGCAAATTAAGTGTCTGATTGTCATTCTTCGTTTAGAGACTGTGAAGAAAAAAATGTGAACATCTGGAACCCCGAGGGCACCGACACATCTGGCCAGGTGGGAGTTTCTGGTTCCTCCACCAGGTGTGTCCCCGGCAGAACTTATCCATATTACACTGAAAGAGGAAAGGAAGGAGGAGCATTACTAACCCTTCATACTCACTCTGTATGTGAACAGAGAAAATTACACTTTTGTTATGAAGAGTGGACAATGACAACACACAAAGGTCCTTCTGGCACCGAAGGAAGACATTTACCAGGATGGTGATTCTGCGTCTCTTCAGGCGTTTGCAGATTCCAGGAAGTCGTAAGAAGTCGTTCTTCTTTAAAGATCTGACTACGTTTAACTCAGAGTTTACAGAAATCTTCTCCTGCAGGTAAGATCAGTTGATTATAAACACACGTGAGAGCTGTGTGATGGAATAATTTAATAGTCTACAAGTAGAAACTACATTTTAAATAGTTTTTTGTAACCCAGCACGCACCTGTCCTACCTGTAGTTGTGCTGTTGCAGGAGTGAAGTCTGGCAGACTGCAGTCGACCTTTGGCAGAGAGCTGATCAGCAGCAGAAGCACTGCACACACACCCAGCTTCATCTTTCAGTCGTGTACCGATTTGATGCCAATCGTGCATGAACAAATAAATGAATCAGTGCTTCAGCCATCCACAGAAAAACAACAACAACAAACAACTGTTGTGTAATAAAACACAATAAATTTGACAGAAGGAGTACAATAATCCTCTTAGGCTGGTTTACGAGTCACATGGCCACATGATGACATCACACTGATCCCCTTAAAAAAACTACTGTCAGATCATCAACACAATCAGTGTGTCCATCTCCTCCCCTGTCTTCAGGGGCATCAGAAGTTAAGATAATCATTAATGTTCATATTACAGGTAATCCTGAAAGTAAACAGAAAAATAGTTTATCTCATTTTTAAATGCTAAGTGCTGCATGCTCTTTTAAAATGGTGACAAAAAAGCTTTTAACCACTATTTCTGTTTAAAATAATCTAATTAGAGAATAAGCAATGCTAACATAAAAAATTCTCCATTTTATATTTAGCCTTTTTGTGCAGAAGGTGCTTTTTTAAATGTCAAAATGCATAAACTGGTCTCAGTATTTTTACTGGTCCCACTTGAAGCAGCAGATGTTTTTATTTTATTTTATTTTATTTATTTATTTATTTTGTCACATGCATCTTTATCTGGTTTACCTGTAGCTGCAGAGGGTTCATTCACTGATGTCAATTAGTCAAAAATATTAGTCTAGGTTTAAAAAAAAGGACGTTATTTGATAAAACTAATTTTACACATTTCAATAAACATCCCAAACACAGTCCAATTATAGTTCTATAATATAGTTCGCCCTGCTGAACGTTCGCTCCATAGCAAATAAAACTCTCATCCTTGGATATATGTTTAATGAAGAACATCTGATTTCATGTTTTTGACAGAAACTTGGCAGACGGAACAAGATCACATGCTTTTATACAAGTTGTGCCCTCCCGGGTGTTCTGTGTTTGGAACCCCACGTGCCGAACGGTGAGGAGGCGGACTCGGTCTTATCTACAGGGACTGCTTCTCCTGTCGGCTTATGAACCAACCCTCTTACAACTCCTTTGAGCTGCAAATGGTTATGGTTGGGAAAACTGATTCATTTTACTGTGTTTTAGTTTATCGTCCTCCTGGTCCTGCATTCATGTCTTTAGATGAATTTTCAGAGTTCTTGTCCGGTGTTATTAAACTTGAGAATGTTTTAATCCTTGGAGATATGAACGTTCATATTGATGATCCTTCTTGCAAGACAGCATCGGAGCTACTGAATCTCACTGAGTCATTCCATTTTAAACAGCATGTGTCTGGCTCTACACATTCGAAAGGCCATGCCGTAGATGTAGTTTTTTCTTTTGGCCTTAATATAGACCTGCTGAGGGTTGTGGATGTTCATTTTACTGATCACTGTTGTGTATACAGTGAACCCTCGTTTATCGCGGTAGATGCGTTCCAGACCTGGCCGCGATAGGTGAAAATCCGCGAAGTAGGGACACCATATTTACAGTATTTATTTAACAGGTAGTATTCAGTATTCAGACTTTTAAAACCCTCCCTTTACATAGTAATGTATTTTTACTTGTTTTTTTTATAGTTTTATTACAAAAAGTGCATTTTATGATGAAATTGATGAAAAAAAACAGGAATTTCTTGATATTTCGCATAGAAAAATACAGCGAATCGGTGAAAAATACCGCGAATCAGTGAAAAATACCGCGAATTGGCGAATTTCCTTTGAATAAGGCTCCAAAGAAAAAATCCGCGAAGTCGTGAATCCGCGATAAACGAACCGCGAAGTAGCGAGGGATCACTGTATTTTAATCTGTGTTTTAAATTAGAAAGTAAACCTCGTAAAGTAATTTCCCAAAGGCGAATTATAAGTCAAACTGCTGTTGAAAAATTCTCCAATCTGTTTGAATCAGAACGTTTTGATGGTCACAGTGATGCTGATCATTTTATTGACTCACTGTTTGTCCCTTCTAAACGAGGTTGCCCCAGTTAGGGAACAAATATCTTTTCCTAAAAACACTATCCCTTGGATGGATGAAAATATTAAGCTGTTTAGGAGATCTTGCCGTAAGGTGGAACATTTGTAGAAATCTACAAAACTTGAGGTCCACAGATTGCATTTAAAAGAGTTGATCTCATTGCTCAACAAGTTGATTAAACAGGCCAGATCATCTTACTTTTCTAACCTTGTGAACATGAACAGAAAAAACCCTAAATTCTTGTTTGACACCAACGGTAAAATTGTTTCACCGACAGCTTCCATGGTACCTGTATTTTCTACAGGGGACTGCAACAGATTTTTAAACTTTCCCCTGTCTTAAATTCTAATATTGGTCACTCAGAATGCTTGTGGTCCTCATTTATTCCTGTCACTGTGGAGGACATAAAAGCTGCTCTGGAAAACATGAGGCCTTCTTCTTTTTAACATTTCGCTTTCTACTGGGTCAGTTCCAAGCTACTTCAAGCAGCCTTAAGCCCTATTTTGAAAAAGACCAATTTGGACCCATCTGAACTTGGCAACTATAGGCCAATTTCAAAACTCCCTTTTTTGGCTAAAGTTCTGAAGAAGTTGGTGGCAGGGCAGCTGACTACTTTTCTGGACCTTAATAATGTTTTAGATAAGTTCCAATCAGGCTTTCGTAAGATGCATTCCACTGAAGCAGCTCTGTTAAAGGTATCTAATGATGTACTGATGGCGGCAGACTCTGGCCAATATACTGTACTGGTTTTATTGGATTTGTCTTCAGCTTTTGACACGGTTGACCATAAAATTCTGTTACATCGACTTCAAAATGAGTTAGGATTTTCTGGTACTGTTCTGAAGTGGTTTTCTTCCTATTTAAATAACAGAACATTTTCTTTATGTGTAAACAAGATTAGGTCTGAAGTCACATCTTTGCTTCACGGTGTTCCCCAGGGCTCGGCCCTTGGCCCAATTTTGTTTCTTTTATATATTTGCCCTCTTGGGGAGATTATTCAAAGCTTTAAAAATGTGTCCTACCAATATATGGGGATGACATTCAACTGTACTGCTCTTTCAAGGACACAGAGTTTAACAAGTTAGATGACCTACTTGATTCCATTGAGTGTATTAAGGACTGGCTAGCCAGTAACTTTCTTCAGTTGAACTCAAGCAAGACTGAAACATGATCATTGCTCCTGAACAGAAAGTGCTTTTAATCGAACAACACCTCGGTTCCCTGAGCTCCTCAGTCCAGACCAGTCTCAGAAACCTTGGTGTTCTTTTTGACCAGTCCACGTCTTTGAGCTGCCACTCAAACATTTAGTAAAAAATTGCTTTTACCATTTGAGAAACATTTCCAAATTGAGAGCATTTACTTCAAAATCGGACTTGGAGATGATTATCCATGCTTTTATTTCTTCTTGTTTAGATTATTGTAACTCTATCTTTACTTGTTTTAACAAATCAGATGTCAGTCGTCTCCAGTTGGTCCAGAACGCTGCACCAAGGCTTTTAACAGGAACCAATAGAAGGGCTCACATAACACCGGTTTTATCTTCTTTACATTGGCTACCGGTCAAGTTTAGAATAGATTTTTAAATTTTAGTTTTGACTTTTAGAGCCCTTAATGGACAAGCTCCACAATATTTATCAGACCTTTTAATCCCTCACTCTTCTGGCCGCACTCTACGTTCCTCGGGTCAGAACCTACTGAAGGTCCCTAAGACCAGATTTAAAACTAGAGGGGACCTGTCCTTTCAAGCTGTAGCTCCCAGACTTTGGAACGCCCTGCCCCTGTTTCTTTGTGTGGCCGACTCTGTTGATTCTTTTAAAAAGTAGCTGAAGACACTTTTATTTAGACAAGCTTTTATGTAAACTGACCTTGTGCTCCTGTCCTGTTTTATCTGTGAAAAGTGCTATATAAATAAAGTTTTACTTACTTACTTACTTACCGGTATTCTAAGTGCAGGTCAATAGGTCATCCGATTTCTAGGACCAATCTCTGATTCCTGCTCTAGATGCTGCTATTATAGTTGTCCAACAGAGGGCGATGTTCTCCACTAAATACATCAGAGAATTTCAAATGGTGAGACTTTTTTGAAATAAGATTTTAATTTATGTTACTATATTTTTTTAAACTCCAGTCATAATATAATATAATATAATATAATATAATATAATATAATATAATATAATATAATATATGATATGATATGATATGATATGATATGATATTAATTATATTATATTATATTATATTTTCAAAAAGTGTTTTGCTCTTAAATGTTTTTTTTTACTTTAACAAAGATTGCAACGGTTTCTTTGAGACAAATGGAAAAATTATAAATTTACAATTACATATAAAGATCGTTTAAATGGAAAAAAATTTCTGCTTGAGCTGCAGGAGATACCGAGAAGCTGGGGTCCAGAACTACAACTTAGACATTTTTGCCAACATTCTTACTGTATATTATGGTGAGCCTCAAAATGAACTTTGTCTGTAAAATTCTGAGTTTATTTTCCAAATTGTTAGGAGTCATTTTTCACCAGAAACGATTATTTTGTAAAATTAAAGAAAATTAAGATAATCATTGCATTATATATATGGCGTTTTTGCATTTGTTTAGTGCAGCTGTAAAAGATCAGGGTGTTAATTTTGTGCCTTAAATAAATAACCAACACTAAATTTTAAATTATTATTTGAATAGTATTTTCTATTTGTCATAAAAACAGAGTGCTTTTCATGTTTTAAACTTTAAATAATTCCAACACATCTGTAAAACTTTATGCAGTGGTTATATCAGAGGAGCTGAAGAGCCTCATGTGGCTCCAGAGCCAATCAGGACACATCATTTATCATTAAAATAGGAAGCTAATTCCTGCAGCGGTGCCACAAACATGACCCATGTCAAAAAGAACATCAAATCAGACAGGAGGAGCGAGTCAGAAAAATGGCTCCAGCTGCTGAAAGATTTGAAATGCAGCAGAAGCAGATTGTTCGGATTTGGCTCTGATTGGTGAAATGTTATTTGTGAAATCTGCCTGGATCGTGACTCCAGCAGCAGTCAGAGGTAATTGGGTTATTTATAAAACGCAGAGTGACTGATTGATTGGCTGCTGAGAGGGTTTGGTTGTATTTCTATCTTTGGCTGCAGGTCTATGTTTAGCTTCCGCAGCACCCTCCTCCACCACCGCCACCCGCCGACTACCAGCTGATATTTGTCGCACGTAACGTCGTCTCGTGTCGTGGCTCCGCCCCTTTTCTATGGAGGATTTATTTATTTTCTCCGTCTCCTCCGCCGCCGCTGCGTCCATTATCACCGAGACGAAACGAAGAGAGCCCCGCGGAATAACGCGACGACACCAGGCCGAGCGGAAGGGCTTGACTGCCGCGGAGGGGTGAAGGATGAGCGCCGCCGGCTGGACGGAGAGCCGACCGGAACCGCCGCCGCTGAGCACCGGAGGAGGCGACATGATGAACGCAGAATAAACAGACAGGAGGACGCCGCTGCGCCTGTCGGTGAGAGAGGCGATGGATGGGGTGGATGGATGAAGGGTGGACATATAAACAGGTGGATGGTGTGATGGAGGGTGCAGATGTAGCTCTCTGACCGTTGCCGGAGGCTCCACGCGCGGCCGCAGAGCTGCATCCAGAGCCACCGAACGCATCTGACTAAAATAATACGTGAACACGCTGCAGCTTTGCAGCCTCCATCACCATCACCACCTTCATCATTATTCACTGACAGACTTCGGCGATCTTTTCTTCCAGCGGCTCTCAGTCAGCATGTCTGGAGCCACCGGACCTGCACCGCCCCCTGGGGCCGGGTCGGATCTGCCGGACCTGAGCCACCTGACAGAGGAGGAGCGGCGCATCATCCTCTCGGTGATGGAGAGACAGAAGAAGGAGGAGGAGAAGGAGCAGAGCATGTTAAAGTGAGTGTGCTCTCAGTTAGTTGGGATCATGATCAGCTGCAGCAGCAATACGATGAAGATGTCATGTGACGTGAGGAGGAAGGTTACCTTGGACTTATGGCCACTTTTCTGGATAAATAGCAAACCCGAGAGCTGTTTGGTTACCCATCTAGAGCAAATCTGAATAACGCAAAGACAAAGTGTAACAAAAAGAGCCAAATGTAATCAAAATGACAGAAGCAACGACTTTTATTTAACTAAACAGCTCTGCGGGGTTCAAATCTGTATCTGTGTTTACTTTGGTGCAATAATTCTGCACACACGTGCTCTTTACTCTTGGCTGAATCCTCTGAAGGTTTTGTGGTTATTACCTTGAACAAAACCTTTGATTGTTTCTCAGGCTGTGTGCTTGTTTGTTACCGCCAGCCCTTCTGCTTTTGTTTGGTTTTAATTACAGCAGACTTAATCCAGTTATCCCATTAGGGAGTGTTGGTGGGCCGGTGATTGTGCTTTAATGTGGATCAAAACGTCTTGAGGTTTGGGGATCTTGGATCACGTTGTTTCAAATGTAAGAAATACATTTTTTTTATCAGTCAGTGTCTCAAAATGATCAGTTCACAGATCTGATTGTTGAAATGAGAACAAATTTACTGTTTAAGTCACCAGAAATACATTAGCTTTAAAGTGTTCATTTATACAAGGAATAGAAACAGATGAACCGGTGTTTGTAGGAAGGTTATTTGATGGTTTCTAATAATGTGAGATGATGTTTTTGGTTACTAGTCGAGCTGCTGTAACCACTGATGCCCAGCAGATGTCTCTGAAGACAATCCGGTAAAGTTACAAGAGTATCAAACTGAGGTAGAATCCTTTAGAGCTGTGAAAAACCCTGTTTTTGCTTTTTCTGGTCACTGAAATGTTTCATCAGTCAAACAAATTTCAATACCAAAGACAATTCAAGAAAATACAAAAAATGATTTAAAACTTTTCACAGCTAAGAAATTACTTCCTGTCTGACAACATGAAGTAAACTAAAAGATATCAAAAAGCAAATCCCCCACCCTTCTGAAGAAATTGAAGATCAGAAGAAATTGAAGAACAGCAACTAAAAATGTCATCCACGTGAGAGTTAGGAGAAAAACGACTGAAAGGACAAAACGTGTTGATCCCAGAGACTTTTGCGAAAACGATCGTGTGGATAAACCACACAACCTAACCCCAACCCCTTACTCTAACCCTAACCAGTGGGAAGGTGTGTCGCCTACCTAGAGTAACACTAACACTTAACATTTGAAAAAAAGAGAACCATACAATCAAACATGGTGGTGGTAGTATCATGGTCTGGTCTACAGCAGGACCTGGATACTGGGGAATTCTGTTGTACCAGAAAACCCTGAAGGAGAATAATCTGACCTTTGACCCTAAATGGGACATTTGTGCAGGAAAATCCTCCAACATGGCTGAATTAAAACAATTATGGAAAGATAAGTGAGACAAAATTCCTCCACAGGGATGTGAGACACTCATTACCAGTTATTAAGTTTCAGGGTGAACTAGGTTTACACTTACGGTTCAGGCTGTTGTGGATAGTTTTCCTCCTTAATAAACCATAATATCATTTAAAACTTCATTTCATGTTTACCCAAGTTATCTTTGAAACATTTAGGTGACAAAAAAGCAAAGCAGAAGAAAGTGAGCGATAAAAACTTCTTCACAGCTCTGTAGTTTGGTTGTTGACTTATAAAATCACACAAGAAGACATGATGCTGTCTCCTCATTTTTATATTTACTTTTAAAAACAAAAACTGGCAAAACTCTAAGTAGCTGCAAATAGAAACGCCCTTCTAAACAAACTAGCAGGTGGCTCGCCCTAGATGTTTCAAACTCCAGGAATTCCAAACAGTTCCAGCTTCTCTTTTATTTTTGTCTTGTTAGTCTGTCATGCCTTCTGTGTTTGCTTTTAATTTAATGAAGTTTTCTGTTGTGTTTTTCTTCATTTTGTGCGAGAGCTGCTGAAGTCAGATGGGAGATTAGACAGCTTTGTTCCGTTTGTTTTAGGTTTTTGATCTTTGCATCTTTGTCACTCAGATTTTCTGCTCAGTGCTTGAATATTCCTGCAAACAGCCTGATCTGTGAAAATAACACTGATCTTTAGAAGCTCCTCTCTGAACATCATCACAACCCTTTAGCCGTGTTTCCACCATAGAAGTTCTGGGAAATTTCTGGGAAGGAGAAAAGTTACGGGGAGATAAATTGAAGCTCAGCAGAGTTTTATACCCCCCCCCCCCCCAAGGCGCTTCACAACACAGTCAGTCATCCACCCATTCACACGCCTTCGAGGATGAGCTACGATGTAGCCACAGCTGCCCCGGGGCGCGCTGACAGAGGTTGTTTGTTGGTTGTTTGTCAGTGTCTGCTGATGTTATTCCCTACTGAGTTGCAACCAATCAGCACGACTTAACCACAAGTCCCATCCGGAGACACTACTGGACTGTCTCTGAGTCCCTACACCAGGTCAGGTACTCCACTGGTTACTAAAATGGCCCTTTTGGGCCAGCCTGGTGAAATGGAAGCACACGCATGGTGCAAAGATCTGGTAAATTTCCCCAGAAGTTCCGACATTGGAGAAGAGTCTATTCAAAACTCCCCCTCTAATCTTCAGGAAGTCCCCCTCTGAATCTGGAACATTCTCTTTCATCCCTAAAAATATCGCTGACCTCTAGAACTCATCACAACCTATACAAATCTTTGACCTCACTAACCAACACAACTAGATGTCTGAAATTATCGGTCTACCATTATTATTAGACGATAATAGCACTAATAGAAAGTATCAGAAACCATCCGTATTGGTGTTGTCTCTTTTAATGACATAACTTTTCATACATGGACATACAGTGATCCCTCGTTTATCGCGGTAGATGCGTTCCAGACCTGGCCGCGATAGGTGAAAATCCGCGAAGTAGGGACACCATATTTACAGTATTTATTTAACAGGTACGTATTCAGTATTCAGACTTTTAAAACCCTCCCTTTACATAGTACTGTATTTTTACTTGGTTTTTTTATAGTTTTATTACAAAAAGTGCATTTTATGATGAAATTGATGAAAAAAACAGGAATTTCTTGATATTTCGCATAGAAAAATACTGCGAATCTGCAAATTTCCCTTGAATAAGGCTCCAAAGAAAAAATCCGCGAAGTCGTGAATCCGCGATAAACGAACCGCGAAGTAGCGAGGGATCACTGCTATAATCAAACTCTTCATCTACATCTCCTCCCACTCAAAATGTCAGAATGTGACAAATCGGAGGTATAGATTTGAGATAGTTTTGTTTGTTTGGCACAACTAGTCTAACTTAAATTGTAGTAGTTGTCATATTTTGCACAAACTATGAATGATAGCAGACATGTGATGTTAGTTACCTAAAATGATGAGTTTTTATATATAAGGGGGGACCCTGCTTGTATTGGTATAGAATGACTTAACAAAAAGACTTCCTGATATCCAAGACCTTACTGACCATCAGAACCTCCCCCTTACCAGCAGAACCTTCATGCATACCAGTAGGATTTGACTGGCTGAGGTTTGGTTGCAGGATGATTTTTAGCCAATCAGGCACCAACAGAAAAAAAAGTCACATAATTATGGAAAAAACAAGTTCAGATGAACTTCAGCAGCTTGTTCTTTTTCAACGTTTTCCATCATTTCTGATTATTTTAATTTTCAATTTCAGTTCATTTTCTTTTCTGATAATGTTTTTTTATTCTGCTTCATCATCATCATCATCATCATCATCATCATCATCATCATCATCATCATCATCATCATCATCATCATCATCATCATCATCATCATCATCATCATCATCATCATCATCATCATCATCATGGCGTTTATGTCTGCAGGGATCAGGAGGAATCAAAACCTCCCCCGGCTTCGTGAGTACCTCAGTCAGACCTCCAAAGCCTGTCCTGGCCACACCTCTCTTTACTCATTCAGCCACTTTCTGTTTCCTAAACTGCCCCCCCCCCCTGCCCCCCACCTCCTGGTGAACATGCTACCTGTCAGCTGACTGTCTGTGTTACCTGGACAGGTGGAATCCATTCTCAGGGTTCAGTCAGTTGGTCAATAATGTTGCAGCCAATGTGTCCGAAGTTCTGCAGGTTAAAAGTCCGACTGACAGCGAGTCACAGACGTGAGTAAAACCTGGACAAGGTGAACTGATCTGAGGTCTGTTTCACCTGAGTGGCTCAACTCTATCTTTTGGCTATCTCAATATTTTACCGGTGAAGCCAGAAGGGTGGATATACAGCTAATCAGAGCCGGTGTTACAACATGTTATATTTTATGATGTTTTTTCTGCAGAAGTCTGAGTTTTCAGGCCTGACCTTCTCTTTCTGCCTCTTTAATGGGTCTGACGGAACTGACAAAAAAACAGGAAACCTCAAAATTATTGATTCTTTCAGGCCTCATTAGAATTTAGAGAAGATTTTATCTTGATGCCGGCATCTGATCAGTCCCACTTTTCCTCTTCTTCACAGGAAGTTGCATCAGCAGTTTGAAATGTATAAAGACCAGGTGAAAAAACTGGGGGAGGAGCCTCCTGCAGCACAGACTGCAAGGGCAGAGTCTCCCACCTGTGGCATCTGCCACAAGACCAAGTTTGCTGACGGCTGCGGCCGAGCCTGCTGCTACTGTCAGAGTCGCTTCTGCGCCCGCTGTGGTGGGCGTGTCCCTCTGAGAGCCAACAAGGTCAGTCTGTTTTTGTTTGTTTATCTTCTCGGGTTTACACACAAGATGCAGCTTCACTTTTCCAGAGAAATCATCTCAGCAGGTCATATTTATTTACACTTAAACCTTCAAAATAGTATAAAAAGAAACAATAAAATATATTAACATTGATATTTTTGATGAAAACTAAAGATCTAAACATTATTGTGTGTTGGATTTGTGTTTTAGGTGATGTGGGTGTGTAACGTGTGCAGGAAGCAGCAGGAGATCCTGACTCGATCGGGGGAGTTTTATTCCAGTGCATCACCTCCACACCTACCTCTGCAGGGGCATCCAGGGGCCATGGGACCCCTGAGTAATGGAGCTACAGATCAGTGAGTGTTATGTGTTTTTAAAGAAGTCCTTCACATATTTTTAATGCATGCGCAGTGGTCTCTAGTGGGAATGGATGCCTTGTAAGTCATACTATGTGAAAAAAAGGTCCAGAGCGCATGTTTCAGGATCTAGAAGACGGTTAGATCACTGACTCAGTTTGCTTTGAAACGTTGATGTTTTATTTCTACAAATAACACAAGCCTGAAGGAGTTCTGCCGTGTGGTGGGATTGCTAATGCTAATGGTTAGCTTCTGCGAGTCAAGACAGTCTCAGCTCTTTCCTGGACGCTAAAACAACAACGCGAGTCAAGTTAGGTGATATTGGCATAGATCTGTCAGACTTTTCAAATCCTGGAGTTTCACTGTCTGTTTTTAATCAGAAGTTAATGCAGGAAGTAGATGTATCGTAATTTTCACGTTCAGCCTGCATGAAAAACCCAGAGTGACTGATCATTTAAAAAAATTAAAGGTATAAAATGGTTTCTCATTGAAGAACGTCTGATTTGTAAGCAATGCTATTGTTATAAGAGGGGGAAATGAGGCTGAGGGTATTTTACCCTTGGTTATGTCTGCCAGATGTTACTGCTGAGTTGAAAACTTTACTGGAATTTTGATGTCTGACTCAGCAATAATGAGATCACAGAGATGCATTTACAATCAGACCCCTGATCCAACACACATGCAGATCCTGTGTCTATTTCCCCCCTATCAAAAACACACCCCTCACACACAGACACACAAAGTAATCAGATTAACAGATTAATAATCCTACAGCTCACTGGGGATTATTGCCGCTACTAAATACAGCAGGCTAACAGAAGCTAACAACAGTGATGTAATTTTATGGAGGGCGGAGTCAGAGGGATGCTGTGGCTGCTGGAGGAGGCGTGGTTTAGATCTGAGTGGGTGTGGCATGAGTTGCGCTGGAGCTGTCAGTTATAAACCTGCTGAGTGTGTGAAAAATGTATCAATGAGTCGTGTGTCGAACCAACATGATGCTTCAAACTTTCGAAAGCTTACAGAAAAACAGTAAGAAGATTTTTACTTCTCTCTCTGACAAAAACAAAACAAAAATATTGTAATTTAATCTGTTTGAAGTATCTATGTGACATGTGCATTGATGAGCACACACCAGATGAGATCAGTGCATGTAAGTACACAGCTTATGTTTTCTATTCTCGGTTATATTTAAAGCAATGTTTATGGTCTTAGTTGCAGCTCAGCTTGTTTTCAGTTGCTGCAAAGCTACATACCTGATGAATCAGCTGTCAGTCATGAAGTATTATGATAGTACTAGTATTAGTTAAAATGCAAATTCACAGGTAAATATAATTCCATGCAATTAAAAGTCTTTAAAAAACACTTCATGAGCACATGTTCTGCAGCCTCATGTAGATCACCTCTTTCATCAGCAGGTTAATAACGCATATTTATCACTAGTCCATTTTTAAACATGCATTAATTTGAACTGAAAACAACTATTAAACAAAAAAGTTGGTGTGTGTGTGTGTGTGTGTGGGGGGGGGGGAAGATAACATTATGTATAAAATGATTACCATAATATTATTATTGTTTTAGTATTGTTCTGACTTCTCCATATTTTATAACCTTCATTAGCTCAAATTAATTAAAAGAAGGAAATTTTTCTTTTCTTTTATTTCTTTTTTTGAGCACTTCAAAGAGTAAGCTTGTCATGGTCTGCGTCTGCCCCTTCCTTCATGTGCCTCCTGGTGTTCTTCATCCCTCTCTAGATTCACTTCTGTGTCTCATAGTGCCCTCATGTATCCTTTGTCTGTGTCTCTATTATGTGTCTTCTGTTTGTAGGCCTTCTTATCATTCCCTCAGGACCGGTGTTCATTTAGTTATCCTCTGTCCCTCCAGTTGCAGCTCCAGCCTCTTGTTCCCCAGCCCAGTATATGTGTGTGAGTTATTTATGTCTCTCTGTGTGTGTGTGTGTGTGTGTGTGTGTGTGTGTGTGTGTGTGTTAGTCCTTCCCGCAGCCTTTTAGTTTGGATTTGTAGTTTTAGGTTTATCTGTCCTCCCTGGGTTCTGTTTCCCCATTTAGGTAATTATTGTCACCTGCCTTCCCTCCAGCCCTCACTCCACACACCTCCTTCCTGTTCCCTTAATTACTCCTCCCTGTTATTTAAGCCCTGTCTTGTCTTTGTCTTGTGTCGGTCCATTGTGGTAATTCTGTCAGTCTCTCGTTCCTAGTCTCTAGCATTTTCTCGTGTCTCAGTTGGATCTCCGGTTTATTTTGGATTTTGGTCATTTTTGGACTCTGGCTCTCTGCCCTGGATTTACTCTTCGTTTCATCCTTCAAAAATAAAGGATTTAACTTTACATCATCTCCGGCCTTGTGTCATCCTGGGTTGCTGCATATTTGGGTCCTAAACATCCCCAAAACGTGACAAAGCTCTTATTTTTGAACTATGACTGGTAACTTTGAATTTCGTATGCAGGCTAAACGTGAAGATGGTCTTCGACCCCTAATTCCTGCATTAGCCACTGATAGAAAACAAGATAGGACAGTGAATCATTTTATTGTTTCGTTGTTTTTATTGTTTTTACAGTTTTTACTGTTGTGTTTTATATATTGTTCTTATTGTTTTTACCTGCTATTGATGCCTTGTTTAGATCCTTATTGCTTTTCTTTTTTTATTGTTCCTGCCTGTTCAGCACTTTGGACAGCTCTCACGCTGTATTTTAAATTGTGCTATAGAAAATAAAATTGGTATCGTATATAGTATGGGAAAACGCCCAGGTCAGAAAAAGCCCCGCACATCTACATCACACTGTAAAATTAATGGGTGAGTCCATGAATTAATGGACTCACCCATCTTGGTTAGCAAATGGGAAACTCTGTTGTTGATTTTGCATCATGGCGAGAGCAGAGCACGTCTTGGCTAGTAGGAGCGAACTGTTAGCATTAACAACTTCACAACATGGCAGATCTCATGGCAGGCTTGCGGTATTTGTGGAGATAAAACATCAAAGTTGAAGAGCAAACCGAGTCAGTGGTAGAGTTACTGTTATCCAATCAGAGGTGAGGTGTCCAGATATAAGGAAAGACTTCATATCCTGCCGTCTACTGATTCCCTCTTCTCTGGCTGAAGCAGGAGCACCAGGGATTAACTCCTACAGAGGTTGACTCACAAGGCATTCACTTAAAGACCCACTGCAAATGTGTTGAAAAAAATAGTGACTTTAAAGAGTTAATGTGAATTAAAAATATTTATTTAGTTTTGTGTTATCTATTTTAAATCTATAAACCATCAGTGTGTAGACGTTTGTGTAATCTGTACATGTTATATTCCAAAAAATTAATAATTATTTAGATTTTGGGAAAAACTGTTTAAATAAAAACTGAAAAATATTCATTTAGATAGGGCTGTCGCAGTTGAGGAATTCGTCCTGCGGTGATTCAGGGTGGCTTAATATTGCGGTGTGCGATATTATTGCAGCCCTTTTTTTTATTGCAGTACTATCTAAACATACTGTTTACACATTTAAAAAAGGTTAAAAATTGCCGTGCCTTCTTTTATAACACTTTACTGAATGCAGATCAAAGGGCAGTAACAACACAGATCGCAGTAACGTTTGTTTCTCCGACAGTCGGAGTCCGACTGAACTTAAAAACAACAAAATTCAGGAGGTTAAACTTTTAAATGCAAATTTGGCTGCAGCATCTAACAAATAAGAAACAAGTCCCCATTTTGTTTTGTTGTTTAAAATCGAGCATAAAAAATTACATGTACCGGGCGCGAGCGCGCCGGGGGGGGCACTATCATTTCACTTTCACACACACGAATGACGGTGATTTATAGCTCGGTCAGTCCTTGTTACCTACAAGGAAAACCAAGGAGGATGCATTCCTCCTGCAGGTAGCGAGTGAGCTCCAGCTCGGCTCAAACTCTCTTCAGGACGGTTGCAGAAGCAGTGCTTGTCCGGGACTTCAGCAGGTCTCAGAGCGTTTATTATTATTTTTTTGCCGTTGGTGGCAGCTCTGTCTCGGCCAAGGACTCTGGCTGCGCAGCAGCTGACGTACTGAAAACCAAAGTGCTCCCAAAGGAGCGAAGTAACGTTTCGTGTTGATACCAGTGCAGCCAACCTTCTCAACATGCATCATTGAGTTGAACCAAGTTCAGTAATCGCGGTGACCCATGATGCAGCGCGGTGGGTTTCTTCATATTGCGATATTTCATTTTTGCGGTTACCGCGACAGCCCTACATTTAGATTAAGAAAATAAACACAAATATATATCTTAAATCCACAGCACAATATCATAATTTACGCGTCAAATAATACAACCACAAACACTGTTGGATCTTTATTATTATTATCATTATTTACTTTTCTGTTATTTATTAACATACTATTTTATACATTTAGTTACTTATTCCATCTTATTCACATGAAGGCGTCATATTTTAGCTACTCACACACACATCTATGGGTGCACTAAAGTTTGTCTCATGGAACGTACATGGAGCTGGCTCCATAGAGAAAAGAATAAAGATTTTTGATCAGCTAAAGAGAGTGCAAGCAGACGTAATATTATTACAAGAGACTCATAGATCTGCCACATCCGCAGATGAACTTAAAACACCTGAGTTTCCCAGCATGTTCTCTGCCTGCTATAACTCTAGGCAAAGAGGTGTAGCTATTTTAATACACAAAAACATCAATTTCACAGTATTGGACACAGTCTCTGATCCAGAGGGTAGATTTATAATGTTAAAAATATCTGTATAGAACCAAAGCTTATGTATTGTCAGCATATACTGTCCAAATATTGATGACCCTCCATTCTTTCATAATTTTTTTCTCTGTACTCTCTGAACACTTGAACTGTCCACTTATACTTGGAGGCGATTTTAATTTTTGGATGAACTCTTTAACAGACAGGCTCAGTACAGCTGGGACTCAGCGCAATATGCAATCCACTAATATAGTTAAACAGTACATGAGTGATTATGGGCTTTGTGATGCATGGCGA